CAGCGAACTCTGAGCAGGCAAGGTAGCAGAGATTCCGCTGGAAGTAAAAAATGGTTGCTTCTCTATGGCAGGGCAAGCTAGCGGGGACCCTTTAGGAAGCAGGCCGCCCGCTCTATCGGTGAGGGCAAGCTAGCAGAGATTGTTTAGGCAATCGCTTCCAGTACTAAATTGACTACAAAACAGCCGGCCAGACACAAACAAGTACCACTTTCCGGCGGCCACAGTAATCCGAAAATCCCAAATATCCGGCTCAAAAAAAACCACGTGACACCGACGGGGCCACAGATTTTTCGGCCGACTGGCTAATCTGGAGCTTAGGCCCTCGGCTAGGGTTTTCTCCGGTGGCCATTTGACAAATTGGCTAGTTTTCAGAGCCCAAAATCCGACCGGAAACGCGAATGTTAGAGGGGGATTAGATCTTCGAAAATCGCTGTAAAATTCTATGGGGGCTTAAAGGGAGCTGGAGGCCAAAATCTAGTCCCGAAATCCGAGAAAATTGGCATGTTCAAGGGGCTGGAAAGCGCGAGAATCGACCTCTCCCCTGACAAGGTCTCGACAGCTACGCGAGACTCCAAAACACGGGCAAAAGTGCAAAACCTAGCAGAGATTATTTGGGAATGGAAGGGGCAGTTTAGCAGGTCTTTCGCATATTTTAACGGGCCACGTAACTCGTGATCTAGTCAGTCAAAAGGGACGATTCTAGCACTTCCCAGTCCCTTTAAAACCCAGAAATCCTGGCCAAAACATCAGGCGGTCACTCAAAGTTGTACCGATTTTCCACCTGGCCGCCGCGCCGGCCCCCGCCCGCATTACGAAAGCTAGAAAGCGGGTATTTTGGGGTTTGTGCTGGTCAATTTTATATAGCCAGTGAGAGAGAGAGAGAGAGAGAAATTCGTCTATAGCCGCTGAGCACAAACGGCTCCTCCTCCTCCTCGTGCTCCCACTCCGCCGGGGCCGAAAATGCGCATTTTAGAGGGGCATCCCCGAGGGAAGGTACATGCACTCAACGTCGGCAAGCGTGATGAATAATCAAACATCAATGATGAAAAGATCAGCGATAAGGCATGATAGAGGATACGGTAGATGAGTCAACAAATCACGAACAGCCGAAAGATCCCAAAAGGTCTTTGCTAGTCTGCCCCTCTCAACAACCAATTCGTACGTGCGCATCAGTAGAATCTGCTGTACCTGCCTTATTTGCAAAACACCTGGCGATTTGGGCAGCTGTTTTTTAGAGGTTTCCCCCAACCAAAGGGCAGAAAAAGTGGCTTCTTTGGAGAGAGCTGTAGAGTATCAAACTACAAAGTGTATCCATTTTTTTATAGAATCGAGGCTGCTATTAAAGCAGGCAGGTTAGCAGAGATCATTTGGGAATGGAAGGGGCAGGCTAGCAGAGATCATTTGGGAATGGAAGGGGCAGGCTAGCAGAGATCATTTGGGAATGGAAGGGGCAGGCTAGCAGAGATCATTTGGGAATGGAAGGGGCAGGCTAGCAGAGATCATTTGGGAATGGAAGGGGCAGGCTAGCAGAGATCATTTGGGAATGGAAGGGGCAGGCTAGCAGAGATCATTTGGGAATGGAAGGGGCAGGCTAGCAGAGATCATTTGGGAATGGAAGGGGCAGGCTAGCAGAGATCATTTGGGAATGGAAGGGGCAGGCTAGCAGAGATCATTTGGGAATGGAAGGGGCAGGCCAGCAGAGGTCCTTGAGGAATCGTAGGATCGTCGTTGTCATTAATGGACAGTAATAAAACATAAAGGAGAATCTTACGTCTAATAAGTCGCGAAAATGTCACATCATCGGTTTTTGCGTGGGACCACAACTTCCTCAATTTCCCCCGAGGAAATGAAGAGGTGAGAAACGGAATAAATATTTTATGGTTTCCCCCCTTCCGCCAGGGCGGGAACGAGCGAACGCGTCGACGACGTCGGCTTTTTTGCCCAAATCCGTGAGTCACAAAATCCTCGAGGAAATCCCGGATTTTTGACGGATTTTCGGTAATCTTCTAAATCTACTAAGGATGAGAATGGGGCCCTCGGTAAACAAGGATTTCCAGCCATCCGGATTTCCCGGGTGGACAATGGCAAAATAGGCGAATTATCCGCGCGGGTTTTTGGGAAACATTGGCCCTGCCGCGGCTTTTGGTGAGGGATTTTCAAGGATTTTCTGGAATTTTTGGTGACTGGGACCACGGCAGATTGGCATTTTCTAGGTTCGTTTTTTGCTGTAGTCACTGCCTAGCTTATGTTTATAGTCAGCGGTGCCAACCGGGAAAAATGGCTGGAAAGTCTACAATTTCATAGGGTAACAGATTAAAGGGGTGGTGACAGCTAGCCGAATGCGTAATTGACATTTTCAACGGCTGCTGCCATAAAAACCTAAAAAAAATTTTCAGGTAACAACACCCTTCCAGGCGACTGTCAATTGCTATTTTGCCGGCCACCGACCACACCCAAATTCCCAGAAAAAAATATCACAATGGAATCAGATTGTTTTCGTGTCGGGATCGGACCCGGGGCGGGTGGGCCATTCACAGACTCTTGTTCCCTTCACTCCTATTGAATGTCCTAAGGGCATATACCACTGTTTTTCCGGCTGAATACACGGGACGTCAGTGTCTACCTCTCTCTTCTCTTCTCTCTGTTTCTCTCTCCTTCTCGCTCTCTCTCGTCACCCTCTCTCCCTCTCTCCCCCTCCCCCCCCTCTCTCTCTCTCTCTCTCTCTCTCTCTCGTTCTCTCTTCCGCGATTTTTTTCCCCGATACGAAAATTATTTCCCCTGGCAATTTTTAAAACCCGGCACTTCGCAGAATTGACGCCTTTTTCATAAAATTAAAATCCGAATTCGCAGGATTTTGAGAGGATTTTCAGGGTTTCGTGGAAATTCATCAAGGCAAAACCAAAGTAATTTTTTTAGGGCTCACAAAACTTAAAAACCTTTTCTCAAACTTCTGCGGAAATTACGACATTTTCATTCTCGAAAATTATGCGAAAATTTCAGTTTAAAGGGACTAGAAAGTGCTAGAATCGACTCCCGTTGACTAGATCTAGACCACTACATGACACACACACACACACACAAAATGACGCTTGTATTTTCTATCTGACATGCTCAAGGCAGGTAGCTAACAGTTGTAGATAATAATACGTTGCTGTGTGACTTTTCGGAGCGTCGCGTAGCTGTCTAGACCTAGTCGATAGTAGGGTCGATTCTAGCGCTTTTAGCATCTTTATAACACAACAAAAAATTTCAGACAATGAAATTGAAAAATAGGTTGCTAAAGTATCCAAAACTACGGGCTACAAACTACAACCTGCGAGTGGGGGCGTCCAATTAACCTTTGACGAGGGACACATCTATAGAGACCTATAGAAAAATGGGCAATTATTTTGCATTATTATTTTTCCTTGTGAATGAAGCCTGTAGTCTCGAGTCGCGCTGAGATATAAAAAATTAATTGGGTCCAAACGGGTCAGATTAAAAATCCAACAAGAAAAGGGATTATAGTGGGTTGATTGTTTTGTCTTATACTTGAGCTGAACTTGCCCAAAAAACTAGGGTCTCAATAATGGGTCGGAGCATGTGATGTTTGGTCTAAATTCCCAAATGATCTCTGTTAGCCTGCCCCTTCCATTCCCAAATGATCTCTGCTAGCCTGCCCCTTCCATTCCCAAATGATCTCTGCTAGCCTGCCCCTTCCATTCCCAAATGATCTCTGCTAGCCTGCCCCTTCCATTCCCAAATGATCTCTGCTAGCCTGCCCCTTCCATTCCCAAATGATCTCTGCTAGCCTGCCCCTTCCATTCCCAAATGATCTCTGCTAGCCTGCCCCTTCCATTCCCAAATGATCTCTGCTAGCTTGCCCCTTTCATTCCCAAATGATCTCTGCTAGCCTGCCCCTTCCATTCCCAAATGATCTCTGCTAGCCTGCCCCTTCCATTCCCAAATGATCTCTGCTAGCCTGCCCCTTCCATTCCCAAATGATCTCTGCTAGCCTGCCCCTTCCATTCCCAAATCATCTCTGCTGGCCTGCCCTAATCCCTAAATTCGCGAAAATTGATGGTCGGGGTCCGCAGGTGAAAGAGTGGCAGGAAAGAGAGAGAGAGAGACAGAGCGAGAGAGAGAGAGAGAGAGAGAGAGAGAGAGAGAGAGAGAGAGAGAGGAGAGAGCGATATTTCTGTCACACTCCCTTTAGAACCTTGAGAACGACCGAAAAATAAAAAAATGGTTCTGGAACAAAAAGAGAGACAAAAACAACACCCTCCAAAATCCAAAGACTCCCTTGTAGCTTCCAAAAAAACCTTTAAGTGGCCAATCCTTCGAGAAGAATATTGGATAGCTTCTAGACGCGCAGCCCCCAGCTGCCTCCATGGATACGGCATTTAAAATGAAGGCCCAAAAGGCTTTTCCACCGCCGATTTGCTAATGACCATTTGGCGGGGCCGACTGGACAGGGAATATGTATGGCCAACCTGTGGGCTGATATTTGAACCCATTTGGGAAGGGATCAGACATTAATAAGTCGAGAAATCGTGTTTTATACTCGTAAATTTGCGCAATTGATTCTCTCTCTCGCACGCTCGCTCTCTCTCTCTTTCTATTTATTTCTCACACTCTCTCGTTCTCTTTCTCTTTCTCTCTCTCTCTCTCTCTCTCCCTCCCTCTCTTTTTATTTCTCTCTCACACTCTCTCTTTCTCTTTCTTCCTTGTTCTCTCTCTCTCTCACTCTCTCTCCCTCTCTTTCTATTTCTCTCTCACACTCTCTCTTTCTCTTTATCTCTCTCTCATTCTCTCTCTCTCCCTCTCTTTCTATTTCGCTCTCACACTCTCTCTTTCTCTCTGACTCTCACTCTCTCTCTCTCTATCTCTCTCTCTGTCTGGCAGGGAATTTATTTTGCGCGAAAGCAATCAGGCCAACGTTTTATTAAATATCACAAAAATATGATAAAATAAAATAAATGGAAAGAGACACAGTTTCTTAAATTCCGCACGTTCTTTCACGAATCCCATTTTTTGATGCATTGAGCTGCGTCGTCTAGCGTAGCCCGAATTTTTGCGTGGAAGACGTCGAGCTCAGCGTTTTTGATTCCTGAATTGTTTTTAACGGCGTAGGGAAGCGCAAAAATCGACCCGTGCCCTCGACTAGGCCTCGACAAAATGCCAAAATAAGCAAAAGAAAATCGGCCAAAAGTAGCTCGGCGTTCTTTTTTAAGTGTTTACATGTCTCTATATGTGTCGCGTAGCTGTCTAGACTAATCGAGGCAAGGGGGTTGATTCTAGCGCTTCCCAGTGCCTTTAAAGGGAGCGTGACAGGAACAAGGTACATTCAAATGCCCACGTTTTCGATGCGGCGAATGATCAAGCATTTCCAAAAAAAGTGGTGTGTAAACGATGACGACCAGCGGAAGCGCTATTTCATAGCCTTTTTGCATCTAAAACCACATAAAAAAGTTACTTTCTAAATCACCGCTTCAAAACTGTCCCACGGCATCTCTGTAGTTTGTAGTTTTTCGGAAATCAAGTCGTAGTTCTGCCTCAAGTAGACGTCTCGGCTAGACATATAAACAATACAGAAATTTTTTGAAAAAACTAGTTTTTCCACGACTTCCAGGTCCCTTTAAAATCGTACCTCATCCTGTAGTCCTCCCCGCTCAAGGCAGTTGGCAAAAATCGCGCTAGATCTTCCAAAGGACTCCCGTGATGGGTCAGCTAAAAATATTCGGTTTTAAAGGGCTTCGCAAGACGGAGAATCGACCCCTTCTCACCACTAGGTCTCGACAGCTACGCAAAACCCCAAAATACGCATTAGCTACCAAAATTTTGTTGGAATGACATATTTTTCGCTTCAAAGATGAGAGGCAACGGTTGCCGAAATAAATTCATGCGTATTTTGCAGGACCGCGTGGTTGTCGAGACATAGTCGATCGAAGGGGTTGAATATTGGCCTTCACAATTCCCTTAAAAACCTGAAAATCACGGTTTACTTTCCAAATTTTGAAAAACATGATGTCGAAAAATTAAAAATCAGCAAAAAGATTCGGTTTTAAAGGGCTTCGCAAGCCCGGGAATCGACCCCTTCTCTCCACTAGGTCTCGACAGCTACGCGACACTCCAAAATACGCAATAGCCAGGGAAGATCTTGTTGAATGGTATGTTTTTAGTTTCGAAGATGAGAACGAAGGGCTACGGAATTAAATTCGTGCGTATTTTGGAGTGCCGCGCAGCTGTCGAGACCTAGTAGGTCGAAGGGGTGGATTCTCGGCCTTATCAATTCCTTTAAACAAACCCAAAAATGACCCACCTGCCAATCCACAATGGCCTGCACCGAATATTCTCCATTATTTTTGGCCCACAATATATTCCCGGGCCACAGATCGCCATGAACCAGGATCGGGAATTTTGCTAAAAGGTGTACTTTCTTGAGTTTGGGGTACGGTAAGTACGTTTCTTAAGCTCCAAAACCGACCGGTAGCCCGAAGTCGAGCAAAATAGGTGTTAATATCATCGAAATATTTTGTCTGCGACCGGAGTACTGTGATTTCCCCAGATTTTTCCGGGAATTTGGCTTGCAAACGGTCGAGAAAACGGTGCAGCTTCTGAAATAAAAACTCTAAATTTCAGGGACTCGATAGCGTAAATCCACCCCTCCTTACGACTAGGTCTCGACAGTGTCTCGACAGCGCCGAAACGCGCGTCAATCACGGTTCGATTGAATTCTATGGCTTGTATTCTGGCGCCTCACGTATCTGTCGATACCTAGTCGATCGAGGGGTAGATTCTCGCGCTTCCTGGTGTTTTTAAAAACCTACCGTAGGGTGGGCATAATCCGCCATGGTTTCTGCCAGTCGCTGCTCGTCGAATTCAGCGATAAAATGTCGGTTTTTCGCTGCTGCAAGTCACGATTTTTCGGAATAGTTTATATACTTATAAAAATGCAAATTGTATTTTAAAGGGACTTGAAAGCTAGAAAATCGACCCTGCTATTCACTAGGGCCAGACAGCTACCCGACACGCCAAAACACGCTAGTCAAGCTGCGCCAAATAAACATGCGGTACACGAGTCAGGAGTATAACGTAGTTGTCTAGACCTAGCCGATTCAAAGTTTAAAATTCCGCGCTTTCCGGTTCCTTTAAAAGCCGAAACTACGTTAATATAACCTACAAAAAACCGTCAAATCCGCCAAGACTTTGATGACGTCCCTCACGCCCGCATCGCCGATGAGGTGCAAGATGTGGCGGGTCTGGATTTTGGGGAAGTACTCGATGAGGACGTAGCCTAAAAATTTTGTAATTTTTGGGCAATCTAGCAATGTCGCGATCCCTTTAGAAGCAAATTCTTCGGAGAAAGCAAAACCCACCAAAGCCCTGCCCGTTGAAGTTGAACTCGCGTCCCCCGTAGAATTTTGGGACCGGAATCGCCTGTCCGAGTCCGGCTTCATCTCGGCTTCGACTCAGGAACTGCAGCTCAGTGTCGTTGAACTAAAATCAGGATCGAAAAAGAGGAGAAGCCGCCAGAATCGACCCTTGCCTTCACTAGGTCTCGACAACCAAGCGACGTGCCAAAATCCGTGCTCAGACCGGACCGGACTTCGCGGCAAATGACACCCATGCTTCGAGGTAAAAGAATTGCGGAACAGGCATCATTTCAAGTCACGCTTAGTCGAGACCTAGTCGATGGAAAGGGTAGATTTTGGCACTTCCTGGTCCCTTTAAAGTGTCTGCTTACCGCTCGGGCATTTGTCTCCACGTCGTCAACATCACCTAGGCTGTCGGCTTGGAGTTGCATCCGGGAGCATTCGACGAGCTGAAGCCCGAGAGATAGGAACAGAGAGAGAGAGAGAGAGAGAGAGAGAGAGAGAGAGAGAGAGAGAGAGAGAGAGAGAGAGTGAAAGAAAGACAGACAGAGAGAGAGAGAGAGACAATAAGAGAGAGAGAGGGAGGGAGAGAGAGGGAGAGCGAAAGAGCCAATCAAAGAAAAACAGGCTTTTCCCTACCTTTAGTATCGCATTTTTTGGCAACGATGAATTTTCTGACGATTTTTGCCCCTCCCAGTCGAATTCCAGGTAAAAGCACGTCGAGATGAAGCCCTAAGCAAGTCATAACACGGCTAAAAACCTTTTATTTTACATTCAAAGTTCCCAGCGGCTTGGCGACACGTCTTCTTCCTGTTTTTATGCCAGAATTTTCAGGATTCTGCTTCCGAAAATCCTCTTCTATCAGCTCCCAGGTGAGGTGAGTACCCTCGATTTTTGAGGCAGACTGAGAGCTCTTCTGAAAATATTTATTTAGTTTTCGAAGCGCCGGAATCCTGCAATTTCCAAAGAATCTTTGCTACCGCTCTTGCCGGTTGGTTTTGAAGACATTTTTGGGTGGAAAAGTGGTCGTATCTTACCCTGGTAGCGACTGGAGACATCCGAAAACCAAGAAAAAGCGTGAAAAAATTTAGAGGATGTCGTAGCTTGGATGTTGTTGAATCTGGCCGCTTCTCTCCCCTATACCCCGTGGGCACATAATCACCGGAAGGGGGGTGTGGAGTGGCCACCTCCAAGCCGGGCCTTTTGAGCTGCGAGATTGGATACGGCACTTCACCCGCACGTCGAGCTCTCGGGGGGGCATTTCGGGTAAAATCGAGAGTTCGACAAAACTAAGGTTAGGCAACGCTCTAAAAAACACAGAGAGTGGGGTCCTGCGCTGTTAGCGGGGGGGGGGGGGATTTATTTTGTCAGTGCTCCGAAAAAAACGCGAAAAAATCGAAACACAAACATTTTTTCTAGCATTTTACACGATTTTAATGCGGTATAGAAACCGCATTAAAATATCATCAAAATATACACAATAATTCATGTCACAAAATACATACTCCAATACCAAGCCTGCGTCCGAAGTTGCGACCGGGTCTTGAAGCGAGCGTCCATTTTTGTCATGATTCCTTCGACGGCGTTTCTGTTTTATTGGCGGCGTCACAAAATAGAAAACAACGAGGCGTGAGAGAGAGAGAGAGAGAGAGAGAGAGAGAGAGAGAGAGAGAGAGAGAGACTGGTGGCCGCCGGCCTCGCGATGATAATATGCAAATCCAAGAAGTGAATTTTGTGCCACGGCCTATATCAAAACGCCAGTCAGACCCAGCCAAGCGGTTGAGTTATTTCCGGTGATTTGGGCTGTGTTTTTTTTTTTGAGGATTTTTGGATCTAGCTGCGCTTCTGAAGTCGAAATTTAAGCCCTAAGTCACTTCCTGAAAATCCTTCACGATGGACGAAGAGGCGGGGATGATGATACGATGCTTTGGGCCGGATAGCAGTGTAAGTTCGCGCAATGAGTTTCCGCGACCTGTTAGAGGGTTTTAAAGGGACCAGAAAGTCGGAGAATCTACCCCCAGGACCGAATAGGTCTCGACAGCTACCCGGCATGCCAAAAACAGCGTTAATTTGTTTTTCAAAGCCCGAAAAATTTTAGGATGGCACAAGATGAAATTTTTACGCCGGTTTTGGCGTGTCTCGTAGCCGTCTCCAGTATAAACCTAGCCAAAAAGGGACCGAGTCATACGCCTTTCGGTCCCATTAAAGCTGTTAAAAGACGTCTAGAGATCGACATGTCCGGGACTGACCGGTTTTTCTCTCCTTCCGGAAATATTCCTGATCCTGGCCCTACCGCTTCAAGTTCTGACGCTGAAGCGCCGGAAATGGGTGTCGAGCCGATTCCCGAAGACGACGTATTGTAAATTGGTGCGTTGCGGACGGAGAGAGAGAGAGAGAAGGCGAGAGAGAGTGAGAGAGAGACAGAAAGCGAGAGAGCGAGAGAGAGAAAGAGATTTCAGGCGGTCATCGCCCTCCTCTGCCTCAACCAAGCCTTTAACGCAATCATGCAAGCCACGCAAACAGAAAACCCGGATTCTGGGCAGTTGATCATCGACATGATCATATCAGTGATATGCATGGTGAGCTCAGAAATGTATAGGGCAGGCTAGCAGAGATTCTTTGCTCGTGACGCTGCTAGACCTATAGCCGCTGTAACCACGGCCAGGCAGGCTCGCAGAGCTTCTTTGAGCTTTTCAGGGGCTCTCCATCGCGTCCCTCGTCTTCTCCGCCGCTTTTGGCCAGAAATCGAACGGTTTTGTCGTCCTTTACTATCTTTTTCAAGTGCTGGTAGACATCGTGTTGTTCGTGCGAGAGGTAGGTGGTCGCTCTCACTTTCTCTTTCTCACTTTCTCTCTCTCTCTCCCTCCCCTTTTACCTTTATTTTTCAGATTTTGGATCACCCGGAGCTCGTCGGGATCAGCACCTACTTGCACCTAATTTTGCTGCTAGTTCTTAATGCCCTATTCTTGCGTGGTGATACCTTGGCGATGACTTTTGAGGTGAGAGAGAGAGATAGAGAGAGCGAGAGAGAGAGAAAGAGACAGAGAAAAAAAGCAAGATACCCGATTCCAGAGCGACTGCCCGATGGATCGAGCAGTTTTCCACTCGAAAATCTGCATGTCGTGGTTCACATCGGTTGTTATGAGGGGGAATCAAAGGGTAAGCACAAACGCCTTCTCTTAGAGGGACCAGGAAACGCGAGAATCGACACGTTCTATCGACCAGCTCTAGACAACTACACGATACGGCAAAAACACGGATCTGCCAAAAGGCGTTTTGGAACCGCGCGTAGCTGGTTAGACCTAATCGACTGCAGGCGTCGATTCTCGTGTTTTTTGGTCTTTGGAAGACTCGAGTTTGCATCTTAGACCTTACTCCTTGACGACCTGCCCGCCCTGCCGAAAAATACCGACTCTGAGTTGTTGAATAAGCGCTGGAAAATAGCGTGGAATAGGGAGAAGAAGAGTAAGACATTTTTCTCTCACTCTCTCTCGCTCTCTATCTGTGTGTCTCTTTCGCTCTCCCTCTCTTCTTACTCTCGCTCTCGTTCTCTTGCTCCTTTTCTATCTCTCTCCCTCTCACCCTACCTCTCTCTCTCTCGCTCTCTCTCTCTTTCTCTATCTCTCTCTCTCTCTCTCTCTCTCTCTCTCTCTCTTCTCTCTGTGCTTATCCCCCTCCTTCTAGGATGTGACAAAACGGGGGAGCGACCCTCTATTGCGCGGGTAACTTACCGTATCTTCTGGCGGACCACAGCGGCTTCTGGATGCTTACGGCTGCTCGCTGATGTGCTCGTTTTTGCGACTCCAGTTTTGTTGATGTGAGTGGCAAACGAGGCCGATTTGATGATTGGGAACTGCTCAAACTAAAAAAGCGGTTTCAAACACCCTTTCGACCCGATCACTGTAATTTGGGTTTGGCTATTTGCCATGACATGTCGATTTTGCCTTCCTAGGTCCTTTAAAACGCCGAAAATGCCCAAACTCCAGGCTTCTCATCGATTTCGTCTCCACCCCGACGGCTCCTCTATCTTTCGGGCTGGCCTGCGCGATGGGCATGCTGTTTTTGGCGGAAATTCGCTCGTTTCTCGTCAACAATTATGCCTACGTAAATATGAAGAATTCGGTGTGGTTCCAGTCGATGATATCGCATCATTTATTTGCAAAGGTAGGATCAGAAAAATTGTTCTCTCTGTCTCTTTCTCTCCCTCTCGCTCTCGCTCTCGCTCTATCTCGCGCTCTCTCCCCCTCTCTCTCTCTCTCTCTCTCTCTCTCTCTCTCTCTCTCTCTCTCTCTCTCTCTCTCTCGCTCTCTCTACCTCTCAGATTCCAGAATTTTGTCTGGTCCAGGTCCAGGTTTTTCCAGATTCTAAAACTTGCCCCAGCCGCCCGTGGGCGCCACACGATCGGCCAGCTCGTCAACATGATGGCGGTAGACGTGGAGAAGCTGGTGGCCTACATGCCATTCTTGGTCGAGACGCTGACGGCGCCATTAGATGTGAGTAGTAAAGGATCTCTGCTCGGTAGCCTTTCCTCAAGAATCTTTGCTAGTTGCCCATTCCCTAAGCATCTCTGCTCGCTATCCTCGTTTCCTCAAGAATCTCTGCTCGTTCCCCTTCCACAAAAACTCTGCACGTTGCCCTTTTCTCAAGAATCTCTGCTCGTCTCTTTTTTCCTCAAGGATCCCTGCTCGTTTTCCTTTCCCCAAGAACCCCTGCTAGTTGCCCATTCCCTAAGCAAATCTGCCAGTTGATCATTCCTGAAGAATCTTTGCTCGTTGCCCTTCCCTCAAGAATCTCTGCTCATTTCTCTTTCCTCAAAGATATCTGCTCGCTGTCCTCGATCCCTCAAAAATCTCTGCTCGCTTCCCTGCGTTCAGCTAACCTTCTTCAACTTCCCGAACCATTTAAAGCGCACGTTCAGGGAGGGGCCGTATACTCGTCCCAACGTATACACCCTATGGACGTAGGGACCGCGCGCACGGCCTGCCCGTGCTGTGACAGGCCATTCCGCTCCTTTGCGGCGTAGGGCGCCCCTCGCCCCCCGGGCCAGGTTGTAGCTCTGGCTGACTGGTATCCATCCGCGCCTCCCGAGCGGGGGACCCGAGTTCGACCCCCGGCCGCAGCGAAAATCTTTGCTTTTTTCCAAAAAAAGGTCCCTGAACGTGCCCTTTAAATACCAGGATTTCAGATCTTCCTCTACATGCTGATCCTCTTCATCATCCTTGGCCTTCCCTCCCTTGGCGGCATCATCATCATGTCGTTCTGCATCCCGTTCAACTACTATGCCAGCCGATTCATCAAAAACGCGCAGCAGGCCCAGATGTTGGTCAAGGACGAGAGGACCAAGGTCTCCAATGAGGTGAGTTTAAAGGGGTTGAGAAGCTCGGGATCCCGCAAATGCTTTCTGCTAGTTCGCCACAGCTGATCGCTTAAGGGATGCTGAAGTTGTAAATTTTCTGAAGAATCTCTGCTAGGTTGCCCCGTCTGAAAAGCTGTATCTAGGTGCTGAACGGGATGAAGCTCATCAAGCTCTACGCCTGGGAAGAAGCGTTCGAGAAGAAGATCAACAATTTGAGGGACAAGGAGGTAAGGTAGTCGGGAGAGAGAGAGAGACAACCAGAGAGAGAGAGAGATGAGAGAGAGAGAGAGAGACGGAGAAAGAGCGAACTTCTAGGTCCGTATCCTGCGCAGCGTAAATCTGGCAGCCCGAATCGTCGACGCCGTCAATACGTGTGCTCCGTATGTGGTACGCATTAAAATAAAATATTTTTCTAATTCAATAAATTTCAGATTTAATTCACTAAAAAACAATTTTTAGGCCACCGTCGCCACATTTGCGCTCTTTGTTCTCGTCACGACTGAGAACGTGCTCACTCCACAGGTTTGGCGCCTCCAAAAAATCTGGAACTCAGAAATCCTAGATTGCCTTCGTCGCGCTGACCATCTTCAACCAGATCAAGTACCCGATGCGCTACTTCTCGACACTGTTGAATTACTTGGTGCAGGTGGGCTCAGGTTTCCCAGTCTCTCTCTCTCTCTCTCTCTCTCTCTCTCTCTCTCTCTCTCTCTCCAAATCTATCTTTTTCCAGATTTCTTTGAATCGAGATTTATTTCATTTTTGAGGCGCTGGTCTCGAAACGACGTCTCGAAGCCTTCTTGGCGGAGGAGGAGCTCGATCAAGCCGAAGCGCTGCCTGCGCCCGAGGGAATGGCGCTAGCTATTAAAAATGTTAGCCTTTTTGCGTTAATTTGCTAAATGATCTCTGCTAGCCTGCCCCTTCCATTCCCAAATGATCTCTGCTAGCCAGCCCCTTCCATTCCCAAATGATCTCTGCTAGCCTGCCCCTTCCATTCCCAAATGATCTCTGCTAGCCAGCCCCTTCCATTCCCAAATGATCTCTGCTAGCCAGCCCCTTCCATTCCCAAATGATCTCTGCTAGCCTGCCCCTTTCCATTCCCAAATGATTTCTGCTAGCCTGCCCTTTCCATTCCCAAATGATCTCTGCTAGCCTGCCCTTTCCATTCCCAAATGATCTCTGCTAGCCTGCCCCTTCCATTCTCAAATGATCTCTGCTAGCCTGCCTTCAAAACATTTTTTAGGCCTCCTTCACCTGGTCGGGGCCAAATTCCCCATCTGTACTCCGCGACATCTCACTCACCATCAAAAAGGGCGAATTCGTCGCGGTCGTCGGTTCAGTTGGCGCCGGCAAGAGCCTGCCCCTTTCCATTCCCAAATGATCTCTGCTAGCCTGCCCTTTCCATTCCCAAATGATCTCTGCTAGCCTGCCCTTTCCATTCCCAAATGATCTCTGCTAGCCTGCCCCTTCCATTCTCAAATGATCTCTGCTAGCCTGCCTTCAAAACATTTTTTAGGCCTCCTTCACCTGGTCGGGGCCAAATTCCCCATCTGTACTCCGCGACATCTCACTCACCATCAAAAAGGGCGAATTCGTCGCGGTCGTCGGTTCAGTTGGCGCCGGCAAGAGCAGCCTTCTAAACGCTATCCTGGGTACGGTAACTGCGTTGCACGTTAGAATTTTTGCGAAATTTTAGGTGAGATGACGACAGCGGAGGGACTGGTCTGCAGAACAGGAAGCACCGCTTTTTGCCCCCAAGAACCCTGGCTTCAGAATGCGACGATTCGGGAGAATATACTTTTTGGGAGGGTGCGTCAGTTGGAGTGAAACGGAATTTTTGTAAATTTAGCCCTACGATCGACAACTATTCCGGAGGATTTTGGAGGCGACAGAGTTGGCGTCTGACTTGAGACTTTTTGACAAAGTGGACCAGACGATGGTTGGAGAGAATGTGGGTTTTTCTCGCTGGTTCTCTCGCTCTCTCTCTCTCGCTCTCTCTCTCTCTCTCTCTCTCTCTCCAACCATCAGCTTTTTCAGGGCCTAATGCTTTCCGGAGGTCAAAAAGCCAGAATCGCGCTGGCCAGGGCGTTGTATCAAGTAGGCTTCTCATGATTCTAAAAGACACCCGAGTCACCGTAGGACTGTGACATCTACCTCCTTGACGACAGTCTGTCCGCACTTGATGCCCACGTCGGAGCTACCGTATTCCAGAAGGCCCTCGGCAATCAGGGGTATTTGGGCGGGAAGACGAGAATATTAGTTACGCATGGTGGGTGAGAGAAGACGAGCAGAAGTCACTTTTCTTCAGGCCTCCACTTTACCAAGAATTGCGATCGTATCGTAGTGATGCTGAATGGCGAGATTCATGCCGTAGGGACGTATGAGGAATTGAAGGTGGATTTTCAGCGTTTTTTTTAGTTGATGCTCAACGATTCTTGCCTTACCAGTCCCTTGAATTTTTTGCAGGCTGGCAATGAGGTATTCGCCAAGATGCTAATTGATGACGAGAGTGCAAAGGCGAGGAAACGAGCCGAGAGCCAGGTGGAGGATGAAGATGAGGCGGATCTAGAGGGTATGCCTTTGATGGTATATCAATTTTACGTCATGAATTTTACTATCTTTACTGATTAAATTTTAGCGGCGAAACAACGTCACCTCAGCGTTGCGAAACAGGCGATGTCGATGGCCGAATCGATCGCTCAAGAAGGAGAGAATGGCCAAGCTGAAGTGGTGGGAAGCGGAAAGGTAAGCGGGGAGGAGCTAGCAGAGATCTATGGGGAATCGGGGCAGGTTCGCAGAGATCATTTGGGAAATCAGGCTAGCAGAGTTCTTTGTGGAGAGTGAGAGGGATAGAGTGTGAGAGTGAGAGACAGAAAGAGATAGCGGGAGAGAGACACAGAGAGAGCGAGAGAGAGAGATAGATAGAGAGTGAGTGAGTGAGATGAGCAAGTAAAAACGACTTCTTAATCAATTTTAAGGTGTCCGCAGCGATCTACATGGCCTACATCCGAGCGGCCACCATCAAATGGGCTTTGTTTTTGCTTGGCGCGTATTTGCTCAGGTACTTGTTTTGTATTTCTCACCTCTCTCTCTCTCTCTCTCTCTCTCTCTCTCTCTCTTTTGCTCTCTATCGCTCTCTCTTTTCTCAAACATTTGCTTTCAGCTGCATTTTCGGCATTTTCCGCGCGCTATGGCTCTCTTCCTGGACCAACGATAATAAGGATGGGGTGGCGACCGGAGATACCTACACAGAATTGGCTGGATTTTCCGCACTGGCCATTCTTGAAAGTCAGTTTGTAATGAAATTAGATCCACCGACTTTTTCAGTAATCTTCCTGATCGCCGCCCAGTTCGCATTGGTTTTTGGCTGCCAATCGGCCAGCCTGAAGCTGCACTCGCCGCTGTTGGCGTCAATTTTGAGGTGAGTGTGAGTGTTAGAGAAAGAGAGAGAGAGAGAGAGAGAGAGAGAGAAACGATAGATAATTCGAAATCAATTTCCAGATCCCCAATGTCCTTCTTCGACCAAACGCCGGTTGGGCGTATTGTGAATCGACTTTCTAGGGTAAGAAAACGACGTGATTTTGCTTTAAAGGGACTAGGAAGCGTATTCATCGACCCCTTATTTTTGCCGAGGCTCGACAACTACGCGAAAATGCTAATTTTCATCATAATCATTGATCAGACGCTTGAGAAAGAATAGAAAGGAGATTGACCTAGTTTTTTGGGTCTTGCGTAACTGTCGAGACCTGGTAGATGCAAGGGGTCAATCCTGACGCTTCCTATTTTCTTTAAAGGGATCACAAAGTTTGAAACGCGCTGAATTTAGGACCTAGAAGTGATCGATTCGCTGTTACCGACGAATATCGGCTCGGCCACAAATTGCGCCATGCAGGTTGGGGATTTTCGACCTCTCTCTGTATATCTCTCGCTCTCTCTCGCTCTCTCTCTCTCGCTCTCTCTCTCGCTCACTTCCATTCTTTTTAGGTATTTCTCGTGCTCATCATGGTCTGCATCTCCACGCCTCTCTTTCTGGTAGCTATAGTCCCACTGGCTGCGATTTATGTGTTGATTTTGGTATGTGAATTTTAATGAAAATACTTACTTTTTTATTTTCATAAATTGTTTTAATTAAACCACTAATAAATTGCTTAATCTAGAAATACTTTATCGGCTGCGCGCGGCAATTCAAGAGGATCGAAAGCGCCCAGCGGTCTCCTCTGATTTCGATGTTTGGCGAGAGCGTTAAAGGAGCCTCAAGTATCCGAGCTTATAATAAAGTGAGTCGCTCTCTCACTCTCTCTCTCTCTCGCGCACTCTCTCTCTCTCTCTCTTTCCGCCCTAACGCTCTCTTTTCAGGTCGACACCTCCTGCAAAACCTTCGCCACCTTTGCCGACAGTTTTGCCAGATGCAAATTTTGCACGTTTACAGGGAATCGATGGATTGGATTACGGTAGGTTTCCTGGGCCCCATCGTCATTAGAATCATACTGTAGTCTGGAGCTCCTCGGAAATTCCGTCTCCTTCTTGGCAGCGATCCTGGGGATAGTTTCTACAAGAATGTGGGGTCTATCGGCGGCTATGGTCGGGATGAGTATATCGTATGCGCTTACGGTAAGTGGGAGGGAGAAGAGAGAGCGAGAGAGAGAGAGAGAGAGCCAGAGAGAGAAAGCCAGAGGGAGAGGGCGAGGGCTAGAGCGTGAGAGATGGAGAGTGAGAGAGCGAGAGCGAGAGAGAACGATGGAGAGAGAGAACGATGGAGAGAGAGAGCGAGAGAGAGAGGGGAGCGAGAGAGAGATTGAACCCCACCTTTTTAGATCACAGACATGCTATATTTTGGCGTACGCTGCATGACAGAGCTGGAAACCTACATCGTATCAGTCGAGCGAGTGCAGGAATATTCCGATCTACCGGCTGAAGTAAGTTTAATAACCTGCCGTAATCGAATCCGCGCCAAAACCCGATTTTTTTTTCAGCGCGAATGGCGCTCCCCAATCCCGCCACCCAAGGGCTGGCCCCAGCACGGGAAAATCGAGCTGCGTCAGTACAGCACCCGATACAGGTCGGCGTTGTGTTGTGCGGTCCTTTAAAACCCAAATGCCAGGCCAGGGTCATCTGGAAAAGCTTTTTTTAGGGAAGAACTCCCGCTAGTCATCAAGGAACTCTCCGCAAAAACGCGGCACAGCGAAAAAGTGGCAGTTATTGGCAGGACTGGCTCTGGTAAGTCGTCACTTGGCGCGTCGCGTAGCTGTCTGGCCCGAGTCGATCGGAGGGGTCGATTCTCGCGTTCCTTGTGGTACTGGCTGGTTAGCAGGGGGAAACTCATTGCTGTTTTTGCGCCTATAGTGTAAAAGCTTAGCAAATCCGTCAAACACTTTTAAAAGCGGAAAAATTCGCTATTTTTTCCTTCTTTTTCCTGGATTTTTGCCAAAAATTTCTAAAATTCAAGAAACGTTTTTGATCGCTTTATTTTTTAGGCGCTTTTAGATCGAAGAAATCCGCCCCCCCCCGCTAACAGCTTAATACCAAGAGCTTCGGTGCTTTCAGGCAAAAGCTCCCTCACCCTGGCACTGTACCGAATCATCGAAGCGGATACGGGCAAGATTTTCATCGATGGAATCGATATTTCCACTATTGGCCTTCATGATTTGAGGGAGAAGCTGACGATTATTCCGCAGGTGTCTTCGCAAACCGGACTTCCAAGTGCCTTTAAAACTTTCAGGAACCGATCCTGTTCTCCGGGTCTGTGCGCTTCAATTTGGATCCGTTTAGCCGGCACCAGGACGATGAGATTTGGAACGTTTTGGAGGTAGGAGAGCGAGAGCTATTCAAATTCCCCCTTCCAGTCCTGTCAACTCAAACCCTATATCGCTGCCCTTCCGGAACAATTAAGCCACCCAATCGCTGAGGGCGGCCAGAATATGAGGTATTTTCTGACTGCTTCACCTTGCTGTCCCTATAAGAAACAAAAAAAACCCGTAAAATCTGAATTTAGCGTCGGCCAACGTCAGCTCATCTGTCTTGGAAGAGCGCTGCTGCAGAAGGGCAAAATCTTGGTGCTAGATGAGGTCAGGAATCCTAGCAGAGATCATTTGGGAATGGAAGGGGCAGGCTGGCAGAGATCATTTGGGAATGGAAGGGGCAGGCTAGCAGAGATCATTTGGGAATGGAAGGGGCAGGCTAGCAGAGATCATTTGGGAAGGGGCAGGCTAGCAGAGATCATTAGAGCCCTTGCAGGCCACAGCCGCGTGCGATGCCCAAACGGACGCTTGCGTGCAGCGGATCATTCGTACTGATTTCTCCGATTCTACCGTAATCGCCATCGCCCATCGGCTGAATACGATCGCGGATTATGACCGGTGGGTGAATTTAAGCGTCTTAAAGGCATGGTAACGGCTGGCTGGAAGAGCTACAGAAAAGACTGCTCCAAAACCCGATTTTTAGCATCATGGTCCTCGACGCGGGGCGGCTGCGCGAATTCGACGCTCCTGGGTTTTTGCTGCGGGACCCTGAATCGATTTACACACAAATGGTGGCAAAAACGAGAAAGGGACACTAAGAAATTGTTGATAAAGATGTTAATGTTGTGGTTCTTCATAATTTACGGAATATGCAAAATACGAGGCTTAGGCTTGGGCTTAGGCTTAGGCTTAGGCATAGGCATAGGCTCAGGCTTAGGCTTCGGCTTAGGCTTAGGCATAGGCATAGGCTTAGGCTTAGGCTTCGGCTTAGGCTTAGGCATAGGTTAGGCTTAGGCTTAGGGTTAGGCTCAGGCTTAGGCTTAGGCTTCGGCTCAGGCTTAGGCATAGGCATAGGCTTAGGCTTAGACTTCGGCTTAGACTTAGGCTCCGAATCTACAACAATCCGCCCAAGCCCGACTCCAAATCAGGCGATTTGGATGATTGATTAATGTGTTACAACGATGGCTGCCGGGTCGTGCCCGTCGTGGGATCCTGGCCGGCCTATCGAGCACTTTTGATCCCGACTCTGTGCTCCCCGACAATCAGGGCAGCTGTCCGTATTAAAGGCCCTCAACTACCACCACTCTACCCTATCCTATCACTATTCCTTTGCCTCTTGCCCGTTCATTTTGGCTTCGGATAAAACTGTGGTTTTCCTATTTCTTACTGAAGTTTAGGTTAAGCTAAGCCTAAGACTAAGCCTAAGCCAAGCCTAAGCATCAGCCTTTTCAGGATGCGCTTGGCCATACTCCTGGTCTTCCTCTCAATCGGGTTAGCAGAGGAAAAATGCACGAGGAGACCGTATGAAGCTAAAGGTAAGTGAGTACATCTCTCTCTCTCTCTCTCTCTCTCTCTCTCTCTCTCTCTCTCTCTCGCTTTCCCCCTCCCTCTCTCATCTCGATTTTTAGACGAAAAACGCCCCGGAAATAATGGCTACGTCGTCGAGGTGGTCGGGCTGACAGAAAGAGCCAATAAAACCGAGGGTCTAGTGCCTGGTGAAACGTACATGGGTAATCGTTCTGTCACCATCCCGTTAAAACGCGATTACCAGTGTCAATTCGGGGGTGGAGGACCGAATTTACGGCCCAGACCTTCCGAGGGTTTGTCCTGACAGCGCATACTGAAGACGAGAAGCCGGCTGGGATGTTTGAGGTGAGAGAGAGCGGAAGAGAGAGAGAGAGAGAGAGAGAGAGAGAGAGAGTGAGTGAAATAAAGATATAGAAAAAATTCATCATTTTCAGATGGAAAAAGGCAAAAGCGAGGCCCGCCAAGCTCCTGGCTGCCGCAAAGCCGGTGTCTCGCACACTAATCTGAGGCCCAAGACTGCAGTGTCGGTGATGTGGAGGGCACCAGAGGTCAATTTTTTAACGTTTAAAGGGGCTAGCAAATCTCAGTGTCTACCCATTCTATCGACTAGGTCTCGACAGCTGCGCCCCACGCCAAAACACGTGCAAATCTGGTTTTTGGCATCTTTAGAAACGCCGGTCGGCCCAAAATGTTGTTTCACTTGCTGTGTCAAGTGTCGTTTGGTTGTCTAGACCTAGTCGATCGCGGGGTCGATTCTCGCATTTTTGGTCCTTGAAAAGGACCAAAATTGAATCGCAAATTGTGCAAAATTTCAGATTTCAAGCGGGTGCGTCTTGTTCCGCGCTTCGGTGATTGAATCTCGATTCGTTTGGTATTCCGATGAGAGCCAGCTGACGAAGAAATTCTGCTTGCAAGGTGGGGAAGCCTCTTCTCTCCCTCTCTCGCTCTCTCGCTCTCTCTCCCTCTCTCCCTCTCTAGCTCTCTCGCTCTCTTTCCACTACATACCTTTCCTCTAGACGGTTTCCGCAACGTCGTCCCGATCGACGAGCCGATGGCCGAGTGCTGCGCCTGCGATCAGGCCAAGTACACACTAGAATTTGTCGGGTTGTGGAGCAAGGAGACGCATCCCAAGGATTTCCCGACGTGTGCGTTTTTAAAAGGGGTGTGAAGCGCAAATCGGCCCCTACCATCCACTAGACCTCGACAGTCATCATTTAGTGGAGCACCTCACACACTTCACCGACATGCTCGGCGCCTCACACTCGTCGAACTACTCGCTGTGGAGGTATGGGGGTAAGTGAATTTGGGACGTTTTAAAGGGCCGGTGAAGGTTGGAAGGTTGTACGGCTTTCTGAGGCCTACACACGACCACTAAAAAACTTCCAGAACCCGCCTCCGACGGGATGAAGGAGATTGCGGAATGGGGAAACACCTATCAAGCGGAAAAGGAGGCAAAAGAGAAGGTGGACTCGCTTTTTCTCTCCCATTCTCTCTCTGTCTCTCTCGCTCTCTCTCTCTCTCTCTCTCTCCTCATCTGTAACTATAAGTTTAGGCCTCCGAGGTGCGCACACTAATGAAAGTACGAGGTCTATGGTACCCGGAAGTCCAAGGGCGAGCCAATACTACGTTCATTGTCAACAAATACCACCACTTTGCATCCATTGCGACGATGTTTGGGCCGTCGCCAGACTGGTGAGGATGGAGAGAAAGAGAGAGAGAGAGAGAGAGAGAGAGAGAGAGAGAGAGAGAGAGAGAGAGAGAGAAGCTAGCCTACGATTTTTCAGGTGCGTCGGTCTCTCCGGAATCAACCTGTGCCTCCCAGACTGCACCTGGGTCCCGGAGCGATCGTTCGATCTGCAGCCCTGGGATGCTGGAAGTGATGATGGACCTCAGTACATGGTAGCTTAGCGGAATTTTTGGATTACTGTGGATTTTCAGAGCCCAAACACTCCAGCCGAACCGAGACACCCCATTGTGGCGATCACGACGAAAAGTGAGCAGGGGAGAGAGAGAGAGAGAGAGAGAGAGAGAGAGATAGAGAGAGAGCGATGAGAGAGAGAGGGAGAGAAAGCCCCCTTAATATCCAAAAATTTCAGCCGATAAGCTCTCACCCTTTTACGATGAAAATTCCGACACCATCCCGCCGCTCGCGAGGATTATTTTGAGGAGGACCGATGTAAGTCAAGGGTAAAAATCCGAAAATTCGAGTTTTCTACCGTAGACGGGCTTTTCTGGTCGTTTCAATACAGAAGTACAGTAGCTAAAAACCAATAAAAATTTTAGATCATTACCTCAACCTGCCGAAAAGATAAGGAATACCAGGCCGAGGCCTTCAACGCGACGAATACATCGGAAGATGAGGTTTATAAGGATCGGAGTAGGTTTTGAAAGAATTTCTCTCTCTGTCTCTCTCTGTCTCTCTCTGTCTCTCTCTCTGTCTCTCTCTTTGACTCTCTCTGTCTGTCGCACCCGCTTTCTACAGTATTTTTTCAGGGGAATGCATGATGTCGGAGTGGGAGTCGTGGTCCCTTTGCTCGGCCACCTGCGGAAAGGGCATCCGGATGCGGAGTCGCGTCTTCCGGTTTCCGGTCAAGGCTCAGGTGAATAAGCGAGAGAAAGAGAAAGAGAGAGTGAGAGAGATAGAGAGAGATAGAGACAGGATGGAATTCCATCTTGCAGATGTTCGACTGCCATCGCCAGACCACGGAGCGCCAGTTCTGCAATGCCAAAATTAATGAGTGTGCTGGTAAGTTGGGCATACAGAGAGAGAGCGAGAGAGAGAGAGGGCGAGAGAGAGAGAGAGGGAGGGAGAGAACGCTGTTTTCAGACTCCGAGGCGTTCAGCACGAAGTGCACCGTCGGCTCGTGGCAGGCGTGGACTGAGTGTTCGGTGACCTGCGGGCATGGCATGAGGTCAGCACCATATTAGATCAAAAAAATTTCTTGTCAGTCCCTTTAAAGAGCACATAAAGCCGAAAACTCGACCCCCTCCAGCCACTAGGTCTAGACAGATACGCGTCAGATCAATAGGGGTTCAATGCGTAGGAGTGCAATTTTTGCCAGCTTTTTTGGCGTTTAGCTGCGAGAACAAAAGGATTTACGCGTGTTTCGGCGTCTCGCGTAGCTGTCTAGACCTAGTCCATAATTTGTAGTCATAATTTGCGTAAGGTCAGCTTTAGCTTCTTTTTTTAACAGATCCAGAAAACTAACTTCAACGTCCCTTTAAGATCCCGGAAGCGCGCCTTTTCGAACCCTGAAGCCGACACGGCCGGCTGCAACGTGGAGCTGGAGAAGAAGGACGACTGTGTAGGTTTGGTTTTATGAAGATTTGCTCTGTATCTCTCTCACTCTCTCTCTCTCTGTCGCTCTCTATCTCTCTCTCTGTCGCTCTCTCTCCCTCCCTCTTTTTCTGTCTCTCATCTCTCTTTCTATCTCTCGCTTTCTAATATTTCCTTCGCCTTCCAGGCGAACACGGCGAGGACTGCTCGGTCACGCCGGACCCGCTCTGTAAAACGACCTCCTGGAGCGAGTGGTCGCCCTGCTCGGCGAGTTGTGATGACGGGGTGAAAGTACGGTAGGATGGGAGTAGATTACTGTAGTTTGGCTCTATTTTAGTACCCGGCTCTTTTATTTTGCGGAGCATGAGGCGAGGTGCTCGCACATTCGGCTGATGGAGAAGGAGAATTGCGTGTTGCAGAGTTGTAGGAGGCTGATTGATGCTCATTCGGATGGTAAGCGTCTCTCGCTCTTTCACTCTCGTGCCCGTTGTCACGCGCTCTTGATCTCGTACTCTCTCTAATTAACTCTCTCGCTCTTGCCATCTCGTGGTCTCTCTCTTGTCAGTGCGATTTCGTGCTCTTTCTCTCTAGCTTTCTCTCTCTCTCTCTCTCTCTCTCGCTCTCCTTCACCTTGTCCCTTCAGAAATCTGCGCCCAACCCAAGGAAGAAGGCCAATGCAAGGGCGCGTTCCCGCGGTACTGGTTCAACAGCGAGGAGAAGCGCTGCGATCGATTCATCTACAGCGGATGCAAGGGAAACGAGTACGTTTGAAAAATAATGAAGCGGCAGCTTTCCAGAAACCAATTCTCGACCGAAATCGAGTGTCTGAAGGCGTGCATCCCGGGATATGAGGTCAACCGAGCACACGGTAAGCGCGAGAAGAGAGAGAGAGAGAGAGAGAGAGAGAGAGAGAGAAAGAGAGTGTGAGAGAGAGAACGCCAGCTCTAACTATAATACACAAATTTTAGTCCCGAACCACCAGCTAGTAAACGAGTTCGGCGGAGAGGAGATCAATGATGGTGGCGAAAAGGTTTGAATTTACAGCTGAATCCAAGCTTTTATGGGCCATTAAAGGAACCATGAAGACGGTGAATCGACCCTTAACGTCTAGGTCTAGAAGATGTAGGCTAGAAAGCTAGAGAGATGCCTATTTTTTGGCATTACGTTTAGCCGTCCAGACCCAGTCGACGCTGGGGTCGATTCTTGGGCTCTCTAGCCTCTTTATGGTCCTACAAAAAATTACGATAGTTTCCAATTTTCAGATGAATTGTGAGATGAACGAGTGGACGCCGTGGGGAGAGTGTTCGACTACTTGTGGTCGGGGGAAACGGACGAGGAGCAGGAATATCAAGGTTGCTAGCCCCTTTAAACGCACTATAACTTCAGATTTCAGATTTTCCCTCGCAATGGAGGAAATTCCTGCCCGGAACATATGATCCAAGAGCACACTTGCCATCTCAGGCCTTGTCGTGAGTTTTTTAGTTTTCTCTCTATCCCTCTCTCGCTCTCCCGCTCTCTCCATCTCTCTCCCTCTCTCTCCCTCTCACTTTCTTTCTCTATCGCTCTCTCTCTCTTTCTCTCTCTTCCTCATGCGCTCTCGTTCTCAATCTAGCTCTGTTTTTTTCAGCAATCCGCAGCTGCCTAGCCGGCCCGTGGTCCAGGTGGAGCCAATGTTCGGTCAGCTGCGGCTCCGGAAGCCAGACACGGACGCGGCGGGTTAATAAAGGTAAGGGGTTAGCTAGCAAAGATTCTTTGAGACTTTGCGATTTCTAAGCCTAAGCTAAGCCTAAGCCTGGCCTAAGCCTAAGTCTAAGACTAAGCTAGACCCAAGCGTAATTAACCCTAAGCCTCAGCCCAAATTTCAGGTCGTGCCAACGATTGGGGCGAAGAGGTGTGCCACCTGGCCGACCGTGAGACCCGGGCCTGCAATATCCCATGCTAATTTGCATAAGACACCCCATTCATTGATAAAAATGGCATTTTTTATACGATTTTACATTTTATTTGGCTTGGCAACGTTGCAGAGATCTTTGGGGGAAATAAAGCGAACACGAGGGAGATAGCACCAATTTCGGGGGAATTGAGGACTGGGAAAAATACGTAATTAAGGAAGTTTGCGGAATTATTCGTTGGCCGGCTTGAGGAAAGCCGTCATCGGGTTTGATTCCGTAGTCGAGTCCATCAGCTCGTCGGTTTCGTCGACGAATTGGTCTGAAAAAATGGACATTTGTGCCTGGTTTCCACTTTCATGCTCTCTCTCTTTCGCTCTCTCTCTCTCTCTCTCTCTCTCTCTCTCTCCATCTCCCAAAAACTCACGGCTCCCAGCGTACTGCTTGTGCGATGGTGCGTACATGGCCAGCAGCAGGAAAACGTACAGGTTCCACATCCCGAAAGTTCCTATAAAATTATTAGATGTTTCTAAATTTTTTTCTGAAAATGTGTGTGTACTGCAATTTGTACAATTTCGTACCCGTAAAGAAGGCCGACGTCGGATTGGTCAAAAAGGAGCTCTCCGGCTCGTCGTCGTGAAGTTGGGCCTCACCGTGCTAAAATTGTGAGGATCGAGAGCTAGAGAAAGTGAGAGAGAAAGGGAAAGAGAGAGAAAGAGAGAGAGAGAGAGAGAGAGAGAGAGAGAGAGCAGGAGAGCGAGAGCTATAGGGTGCCAGAGAGCGGCAGGGAGAGAAACAGACACCGAGAGATTGCGAGAGAAACAGACACAGCCAGAGAGAGAGAAAGAGTGAGGAGAGAGACAGAAAGAGAGGGAGTGAGGGAGAGAGAGAGAGAGAGGGAGAGAGAGCAAAATTTCTACCTGCTTCAACCCATAGCTCAGTATCGTCAAAAAGGCGCACACCAGCGTCAAAATCATCAGGAATTTGAACCGGAAAATCACTGATTCAACCTAAATGTCATTTTTGTATTATTTGTAGTTTCCAAGGGTGAAAATCGATATTTTGCTATCCAAAAACTACCTTTAACCTCCTGCCCTCATTGTTCAAATACAGCTGTGCGGAGCGCTTGTTCTTGATGGCGATCCACACCATGTAAATCTAAAAAAACACAGTGAAAAATTAGCATATTTGTATTTTTTTGGTGTCGGATACTGTAGAACTGTAGTGTAAATTAGCGGGTAACAATAAAAATGTAAAAAATAGAGTATAATCCACCTTCCAAAACAGAAACGCAAAGTACAGCACGGTGCAGATGGTGGCCAGGTAGATGGAGAGGTACTGTAATTGTGGTCTTATTGAGAGAGAGGGGGAGAGAGAGAGAGAGAGAGTGTGAGAGAGAGGATAGAGAGATAGAGAGAGAGAAAGAGAGCAAGAGAGAGCGAGAGAGAGAGGATGCGTCCTATAGAAAACTCACGGCAATCCTAGTCCCGGTGGGGCTGGCCCAGATACTGTAGAACGGGTCGGCTAGCTGCATGCCCCGCTCGCACATGTCGTAGATGAGCAACACCGCACCGGTGGTGAGCACGAGCGAGAGATTTTTCCAGTAGGACCACTTAAAAAGTCCTTCTTAGCTTTGAAGGGGTTGCGACAGGAAAAAGAATTTTCGACGCAAAGATTAGACTCACCAAGTTGTTCCTTGATCGATCGTCGATCAAGTGCTCACCAGCAAAAATCAACCAAAATGAGCAGAGTACGGCGTAGAAAAGACCTAAAGGGTATTTTAGTGTTCTGCACTATGGCGTATTGTGGCATACTATGGTGTACTGTAGCGTCCTGTCACGGAAGAGTACAAAACACAACCCTCATACCGTACCTTGTCTCAAATCACTCAACAGCAGCATGAAGGGAACTCGGGAAAACCACAAAGGGATCCATTCGATAGGTACTGTAGAAATCAGAACTTTCTGAAAAGCAATAACTCTTACGGTCCAAAACGGTGGTAGCCACGCCGAGCGTAAAAATGGCCTTCTCCAGGAGTAGCGGTGAGGAAGTACGTGCCGATACGCGAGACCAGTACCAACGGACCATCACTAAAATTGTAATAACCTGTTTTAAAGAGGGTGGGAGGCGCTAAAATCGGCCCTTCGTTCCACTAGGTCTCGACAGAGGCCTCGGAAAAACGACACGCTCGAAAATCGCCGCGCCTTTGCACGTGTCCTTTGGTGTTTCGCGTAGCTGACTGGACCTAGTCGAGCCGGGGTCGATTCTCGCGCTTTCCAGTCCCTTTAAACCCCGGAATCGTCACTTACAAAGCATAAACGGGGCGACGATCGTCTTCATCCACGCCCACACCATCGTGAAGCCGCCGTTTTGGTTGATGACCTGGAGTAAAAGGAGGATTCCTCAAGGTTCTCTGCTAGCTCGCCATTTCTATATCTCTCGCTTTTTATCTCTCTCTCGCTCTCTCTCGCTCTCTTTCACTCTCTCTCTCTCTCACTTACAATCATGTTCAGCGCCGTCAACTCGCCCAGATCGCAATTTGGAGTGTTTATCGGATCTTTTTCGCAGCCTCTGAAATTTTTTTTGCCCTTAAAGGGATTGGTAAGTTCAAATATATTGATATTCACGCTAAACTTACTCTCTATCAATGGGAACTCGAATATTGAGTACATAAAGTGGATACGGTACGTAGCCAATCTCGAAAAAGTCCATCGGCTCGCAGTGCATATCGCCCTCGGTGTGGCCCTGGAAAGATGGAGCTTGAGGAAGAGAGAGAGAGAGAGAGAGAGAGAGAGAGAGAGAGAGAGAATGAGAGAGAAACATAGACTCAGACTCACCCATGCAAACTGGCACTCCAGATCTCTGACGACGTCGGCGTGAATCCAGTCCCTCCACGGCTCGCTCGGCTCGTTTCTGAACCCCATCCTCACCTCGAGGTGGAGACGGGAGCCTTTTCCTGAAGAAAAATATCTTGGACTAAGCTTGACAGTCACAGCTTGCTGGCACCATCCCTTTAAAGCGACCCCTTCCAACGCTTAGGTCTCGACAGCTACGCGGAATACTAAAACGCATATCACTTCCATTTTACAGAATTCTACACCATTTTTCAAGCGTGTTTTGGCGTTTAGCGTAGTTGTCTAGACCTAGTCGTCAAAAGGGATAGATTTTCGGCTTTCTAGAACTCTTAAGGGCCGAGAATTTGGAGCAACTTACGGTGCGTGAACGCCTTGGTGCTCTGGATCTCAGGCTGCACGACGCCGAGCAGGAATTGAAAGGAGGGGTGGTAGCGGAGGAGCTGGTTGTCCCTAAAAACCGATATTTCGCTCTCTATCTTTCGGTCTCTCTCTCTCTTTCCCTCTCCCTCGCTCTCTGCCGCGCGCTCCCCAACACCCTCTGCTAGCCTGCCCCAAAAATTGACCTCTTATGCGGCATCTGCGTCATAAAAACGAGCTCCCTCAGGTCATAGGAAAGCGGCTTGTGCTCGCTGAGCTCGATCTCTTTGCAGCTCTAAAATATAGCTAAAATTTGCAGAATGCAAACCAAACCTGGTGGTCAACCCAATTTTTCCCGGTGATATTTGCATCTACGCATGATCGGAACAGAAATTCCATCGAAGAGGTGGGACGCGGGGCTGAAAAATTTAGATATATCTTGTGCTCTCTCTCTCTCTTTCTCTCTCTCTCTCTCTCTCTCTCTCTCTCTCTCTCTCTCTCTCTCTCTCTCTCTTTCTCTCTCTCGCTCTCTCTCTCTGTCTGACCCTCTCTCTTTAATTTAAAATGCTCGGACTCACCAATCCATGCGCCAACAAGGAAAAATGCGATCTGAATCACGAGAAGCCCGGCAAAAATATAGGACAGCTTCCGGTTGCTGAGATTTTCGATGACCGCCCCCACCATGGCGGGCAACTGAAAATAGCATAAAAGAATATGAGAAAAAAATTGAATAGAATAGAAAATATTCAAGCGAAAAGGAATTTTCAGAAATTTTGAAAAATTAAAAAACTGGCTAATTTGCATGCGGCTGGTGAAAGAAGGAGCGAGAGAGAGACAGAGAGAGAAGGAGAGAGAGAGAGAGCGATAGAGAGAATGTTTCCTCAATGGTTTCTGCTTAAACAGGACAAAAAAAAGTTAAAATGAAAAAAACATTCTGGCTGGCAACTGCCTAGTAGCCTAGAAGAAATGAGATAATTAGGGAAAAACAGGTGGTCATCGCCGGGTCGGCTGGGCTGACCCTCCACAATCCATCAACTCGTGACAGCTTGGGCGGGGGTTGGACTACGAGTAGAATTTTTAAGGGGCAGACTAGCAGAGATTCTTTCGGAATTATTAGAACCAGGAAATGCTAGCCGGGTTTTTGGAAATGGAGCGGCAGGCAAGTTAGCAGAGATTATTTAGGAATTAGAGATAAGGGGCACACTAGCAGAGATTCTTGAGGGAATGAAGACTCGGGCAAGTTAGCAAAGGTTTTTAGGAAACAAAGAGGCGGGCAGGCTAGCTGATATCTTTCCGGAAATGGGCCTACCTAGGAAAAGCAGGCTAGCCAAATGCGTGAGAAAAGGTTAGGGTAATTAGGGCCGGCTAGTGGAGGTTCTTTCGGAAAAAAAAACAGAAAAAGAGCAAGCTAGCAGAGACTCTGGAATTAGCAAGCTAGCAATGACAATTTGAAGCCGCCGATTCGGATAAGATCGATATGGAGGTAGAGGTAAATGGATAGCCCTTCCCCCATCGTGTGTTCCCATTGGTGACCCCGTCCGAAATCGTAAATCCTGACACACACAGGGGGGAGGGCCCTTTCTTCCCTCTGTCTAGGCAAAAGGCTGCCCGCCAAAAGGAGCGCCGCGGAACGGAGGGAATGCAAGATGCAAAGGGCAGGGAGGTAGAAGGAAAACATCTGGATTTCATTTAAGGGTTAGAGCTAGAATTTAATGCCGAGAGAGAGGGAGAGAAAGCGGAGATAGAGAGAGAGCGAGAGAGGGAGAGAGAGAAAGCGAGAGAGAGATAGAGAGAGAGCGAGAGAGGGAGAGAGAGAAAGCGAGAGAGATATAGAGAGAGGGCGAGAGATGGAGAAAGAGAGAAAAAGAGGGCGCCAGGAATAGCCAGATGGAGTGTGAGATCGAGAGAGCGCTAGAGAGAAAAAGAAGGAAGGAGAGCGAGAGAGAGAGAGAGAGAGAGAGAGAGAGAGAGAGAGAGAGAGCTATGGAGAAAATTATTGTAAGTGCTGCTTTTCCGCTGGAAATCAAGCTTTTTGACAGTCATCAGGAATTTTTAAGGTTCAAAAATCCGCAAATTATAATGCACCAAAGCGTCCAACTTAATTCCCAGGCAAAAGGTTGAATTGGCCATCTGCCAACCCGTGTAATGTCGTGTGTCGCCGGCCTATTTGTTCAAAAAGGGGGACCGCCTCGATTGCGGGGATCGAGAAGGAGATGTGTCAGCCAACAAACACATTAACGGCCAATAGCGGGCAGGGGGGAAGAGGTCACGCAATAGGAAACATCTCACCAAAAAGCAAGGCGGAATGCATAACAATTTCTGTAAATCGGTTAGGATTTTAGAGCAAAAACGGGGCGCAAGTTGGGAATACGGCTAAGGGCATGTTTTTTGGTGAGCACGAGCAGAAGTTCGACCTTCCCACGGGTCGTATTGGTTACGCAAATTCGGGCTCGCTGCTCGCTCTTTCTCTCTGTCTCTCTCTCGCTCTCGCACTCACTCTCTTGCTTTATCTTTATCTCGCTCTCTCTCGCTCTTTATCTCTCGCTTAATCTCTTTATCTCTCTCTCTCTGTCTCTCATTCTCTCTTTCGCGCCATACAGCAAAAAATTAATGCGTCCCAAATTTTCATCGAGCTGAAAAACAGTCACTTCCAGACCCCTTTCAAATGGCATTTTTTTCTGCGTTTTTTGAGATATCATCTTGTTATCCGCCTTTTTTTCGCATCCGCCTCTTTGCTCGCACCTCCCAAAAAAGCTGCTGCTCCCGTTCCGTCCATCCCAGGAGCACGGGCAGGAATTCCGGTTTCTCGGCCGGCGTCTCTTCTCTTCGGTTTCTTCCCCCCCCCCATTGGCAGTTCCGACCGTGCCCGCGGCAGCAGATCGATATTCGAAGCTCGGCCTCGAGCTGTTTTGCAATGAAATTCAGCGCTATTTCATTAATTTTTGTCTCTGCTATTTTTATTGCTAATTCCAGGTAATTTTACAGATATCTAAGCTCGTTTTAAACGGACTTGGAGGCGCAAGAATCGACGCTTTCGGTCCACTTGGTCTCACAACTGCGCGACACCCCAAAACACACGTGGAAGCCCACCACAGTTTTACCGAAACCTAAAGGCGTCAGGAAAAATATGAGACAAAGATATTTACATGTAAGTAGGGGTGTCGCGTATTTGTCGATACCTAGGCGAGGAAAGGCGTCGATTCTCAGGTTTCCCAGCCATTAAAAATCGTATTTTAGGGCACAGTACCTCGTGGGCAAGCGGATACCAATTTCCAAAGGTAAGAGTGAGAGAGAGAGAGAGAGAAAGAGAGAGAGCCAGCGGGCGAGCAAGGGAGAGACAGAGATCTCTTTCTAATTTCTACCAATTCAGCTTTTGGATTGACGACAGAAGAAAACGGACAAATCGCCATCAAGGAGCCAGAATTAGGTAAGTAAAATTCTAACTTTTGACTGTTGTAAAAATACTTAAAAGGTAAGGATCAGAAATTTGGCATGAACTTCCTGCAACGCGGATATTCCCGTTTTTAGAAGCCCTAGACCGGAGGCCGCGAGCGCTGGCCTCTCCTCACCTCGTCCGCTACTACCCCAGCTTTGTGGTGCCGAGGGAATATTTGCGGGGGAAGAACTGTGGGTTATTATCGAGTTGACGCGCACTCTCTCTCTCTCTCTCTCTCTCTCTCTCTCTCTCTCTCTCTCTCTCTCTTTCTAGGTTACAACACGACGGCAAGCTAGCAGAGCCCATTGCGGACCTATCCAATTTTTTTTCAGGGCCAATCAGCACCGATGAGCTGATCCAGATTGCTTGGGCCCTGGAGGCCAGAAAGCCGCAAGGCCCCGGAATTTCCCGTCCGGTTTTGTCATGAATTTTTCGGTCATTTTATGTACTAATAAAAACGTTACATTTTGTGTTACGTGCATGAGCATGAAGTAGAGAGAGAGAGAGAGAGAGAGAGAGAGAGAGAGAGAGAGAGAAAGCTATCATCCTTAATTGCTAGAAGTTCCGCGAACTTCCAAATTTCGCCCGTTCACAAATCAAGGGTTTCCAAGGCCCTGCGGCGGTCCATCAGCCATTCCCGAAACGAGATCCACGCCCTAGGGGGCCCTGCACCCTTTTAAATTCCGGGGCACTCCAGATGCCACTAGAAGGGCTGAGAAATAGCGGTCTCTCCAGCTCTTTCGCTCTCTCTCTCTCACTCGCTCTCTCCCGCCGCCAAGCCACGACCCTCATTTTGATTCAATTCTCCGGATTTCTGGGGTGCTTGGGGCTGTGGTCCCCTTTCAACAATCTATGCGCTCAGCCCATTTTTTGAGTCCGAGGCGCCAAATATTTTCCGGAAGAGTCAGCGAGCAGCAGCAGCTACCTGTGGCTGAGGGCTTTGTGAAAACATCCGCGACTCAAAATTTTTACGCATTTTTTGTGCCTGCTTGTCTCTTTCCAATCGCTATCTCTCTCCCTCTCGCCCTCATTTTCTCTGTCCCGCGCATTCTCCTTCACTTAATCTCTCACTCTCACTCGTTCAATCCCTCTCCATCGCTCTCACTCTTGCTCGCTGCCTCTCTCTCTCTCTCTCTCTCTCTCTCTCTCTCTCTCGTTATCACTCTCTCGTACTCTTTCTCATTTCTGTCTCTCGTTATCACTCTCTCTTACTCTTTCTCAGCTCTTCCTCACGTTATCACTCTCTCTTACTCTTTCTCACTACTCTCTCTCTCTCTCTCTATTCATGACTTCCTCGGCCCTTTAAAGGGACCGTGTCAGGTAGGATTTGTCCTTTTACCCCCTGAAGAACCTCCGAACTTAAAATTCGGGTTCAATGCTGGAAACAGAATCTTCTCCATCAACCGTCATCTGGTCATTGGCGTCTCGAATTTCGCGAAAAACCTCTTGAAAATCCGAGCGGACACCACCGGAAATCCCGTTTAGTGACATCGAATCTACCCATCCGGGGTCTCGGGATTATTCACACCGGGTCGGATTACCCAATAGTTGAAAGTAGCTTTAAATTTCTCTTTGGAATCACCTAGCATTCCCAATTCTTTGGTAAAATAGCTTGTAGTTTGTAGCTTATTTTTCTGCTTATCTCCCTCGCTCACTCTCTCGCTCTTTCTCTCTCGCTCTCTCATGCTCTCTCACTCTCTCGCCCTCTCTCTCACTCTCACTCTCTCTATGGGATTTTCTCTCTGGCTCACCCATTCTCGCTCTCTCTCTCTCTCTCTCTCTCTCTCTCTCTCTCTCTCTCTCTCTCTCTCTCTCGCTCCCTCAATAACACCAAACGTCATTAGTCGAATTACCAAGTTTTCAACTCTCACCCAACCCAACTCTCGTTATTCAATTTCTATTGTCGTCGTCGAAACTCGGAGCACCCGTCCAACAATGGCATTTATGAAGTGCCCCCGGGTCCTCGAGAAGAATCCTAAAACAGCCCCCATCCACCAGTGAAGAGTTAGTCCATGCACTCGAAGGAAAGCGCTTGTTGCACGCTGTTTCTAGAATTTGCTAGATTTAAGCTTTTCGAGTTTTAAAGGCCCAGTCAAGGCAAAACCCATAAAGTTCGGCCGATGCCGAATATAATACCCTCACTCTATCTCTGCCAATCTGTTGATCCGGAACGACATTTGGGCAGAGCTCTTTGATGATCCATTCTAGCAAATTACCTTGCCGGCCCCTTTAAATGAATGTTAGAAACTTCTACAAGGATCTTTGCTCGCATGCCCTTGCTTTTAGGCTTCTTGCAGGCTTCAGCTTATTTTTTTAAACCTTTTCTACATACCTTTCAAATTGAGTCATCTTTAAAAGTTTCTCTCAGCGAGAGAGAGAGTGAAGGCGAGTGCGAGAGAAAGAGGGCGAGAGAGAGAGGGAGATGGAGAGGGAGAGAGAGAGAGAGAGAGAGAGAGAGAGAGAGAGAGAGAGATAGAGAACTACAGAGAGCTACATAGATAACCCTCTAACCGCCGTCCCAAGAGATTTCCGCGAGCTTGCCTTGTCCCGCAGGCTAGGTCATTTTTAGCTGTTTCCAAGAGCAGGATAAAGCAGTATTTCTTTCATTGCGTAATGTACTAAACATGGGCAAAGCCCATTTCCTTGCCATGTCAGCCCCTTTAAAACTGCTTGATCCATCCAAATTTGTGTTCGAGCTATAAAATCGGCAAAAATTCATGGACACATGTGAACGGGGGCCCCCATTCCGGTCACCCCTGGAGTCGGTCTCCATTCCGGCCGATTTCAATGGCCACATCAAGGCTTTAATTGCGCCAGATGGGACAGGGCGGGGGACATGGCACTTGAAGCTCTGGCGAGTATCTCAAGAATCAAGGCTCTCATGAATTGCTATTGAAATTTTCTCCATCTCCCTCTTTCACTCTCTCTCTCTCATTCCCTCTCATTCTCTCGCTTCCCAGTCACCTTAAAACTAATTTTCCAGGTAAATGAAAGACGAAATTCTGAGAATATTGTGTCTTTTACTATTTCCTATATTACTGCTAGCTGACGGTGTCTGCCAAACTTGCTCAGTGTTCAGCTACTTGGATGGGCGGCTCCAGTGCACGAATCCATCGCTTTGCTATGCGGAATATTGCTATTACTGTAAGTGTGGGCCAAAATTTATGAGGGCAGGCTAGCAGGAATAATTTCGGAATGGTAGGGGCAGGCTAGCAAAGATCAGTTAGGAAAATCCAGCCTTTTTCAGATATCACCTCCGATCGACGCCCTCTTTTCCTCGCCGGCTGCGTGGACTCGTTGGACCCGACGTTCTTCTTCTACAGAGAAGATCCGTACGTTTCTAACTGTCCATCTCCATCTCCCTGTCGTTCTCTCTCTTTCTCTCTCTCTCTCTCTCTCTCTCTCTCTCTCTCTCTCTCTCTCTCTCGAATAATCTCTTTTTGCAGACGCACCCTCTGCCGTACGGAGCACCACATCGGACTCTGCGTCTGCCGAGCCGAAGATGGGGCGTGCCACGCTACAAAGAACGAGACGCTCTATGCCGAGGAGCTACGCGGGAATCCTATGCACGAGGTGGCTCTGGTGAGTTTGGAGAGAGAGAGAGAGAGAGAGAGAGAGAGAGAGACAGAGAGAGAGAGTACTATGCCTTTTTAGGCTACTACCGGTCTCCGAATGGAATACGTTCGAGCCCGGATACTCCAGATGCATCTCGAGGATTTTCCCAGGACCTTTGAGGAGGCTAAGGACACTTTGTAAGTTGCGTAACCTGATTTCTTTACTTATTCGGTTCCAAAAAAATTACAAACAACGCCGATATTCCAATTTTAGCTACAACTCGGTACGAGGCGCTACTTTCAACGTCTTCCTACTACTACTCATATTACTGCCAATATTGTTGCCAAAAAACTTGTGATATGTTATGACTAGGTAATTTTACGGGTAAAATAAAGCTTATAACTTTTAAAAGTCCCACGAGTTATTTTTCGGCACTTAAGTTACGGATGGGCATAGGCTTAGGCTTAGGCTTAGGCTTAGTCTTAGGCTTAGGCTTAGGTAGGCTTAGGCTTAGGCTTAGGCTTAGGCTTGGCTTAGGCGTAAGCTTAGACTTAGGCTTAGGCTTAGGCTTGGCTTAGGCTTAGTCTTAGGCTTAGGCTTAGGCTTAGGCTTAGGCTTAGGCTTAGGCTTAGGCTTAGGCTTAGGCTTGACACACACAACAAGGCTTGACATCAAAAAATCAATTTATACATCGTAATATTGCTTTACATTCATTGCTTGGGCAAAAATCCGGCGTGGAACATTTGCTTGGCGCTCCAGCCGTTCTTTCCGGCTCCGGTATCACCGTACTGCTTCCACGCCCAGAACGTCCAGCCGCCCTTGGCGTGAGTTTGGCCGAAGGTGGCGAGCTCGGCCTGTAAAGGAGTCTTGGTCTCTCTCTCTCTATCTCTCGCTCTCTCTCTCTCTCTCTCTCTCTGTCCCTCTCACCTGCGAGAATCGGCGCATCTGATCATCGTTCATCCCACTGGCCGCAGCCAACGACCACTCTCCGACGAACAGCGGATTTCCGTGCCACCCCGTAAAGTCGTTCACCAGCGTATTCTTCGTGAAGTCGATGATCTAAATCTATTTTTAACGGGGCTAGAAAGCCATAGAATCGACCCTTCCCATCGACTAGGTCTCGACAACCACGCTTTCTTCCAAAAACACTACCCCGAGCTCGTTTTCATAGCCCCAAAGCGTCAAGTTAGCGCCGAAATTCAAGATTTTGCGGCGTACTTCGGGATGCAGCTTAGCTGTCTAGACCTAGTAGATAAAATAAGGGTCGATTCCCGTTTTCTCGTCCCTTTAAAAGGTGGTGTCCATGTTTTCGTACCTTCTCCGGATCCCATCCGTCAAAGCCCCAGACCAGATACTTGTGCCACTCGTGGCGCACGTTGGTGAAGCCCGACGTCATGAAGCTGTCCCAGCCACCCTGGCCTGGCTCTGAAAGTTTCATTTTTTAACGGGAACAGGAAGGCAGGCTTATGGATTTTAGACCGCGGTTTAGGCTTCGACTAAGGCTTAGGCCTAGGCTTAGGTTTATGCTTAGGCTTAGGCTTAGGTGAGGACAGAGACACCGAGCAACACATTTTAAAACTCACGCTGCTCAGAAAGCATGGGCGAGATGGACAGCAGACAATCCGAGCCGACGTCCTTGCGGATCCTGCCGTACGCATCGTAGTAGTACTGCTTCAGGACGGCCTCATCTTGATCGACCGGCTCGTTGAGGAGACCGATGCCTAAAATTTGACGATTTAGAGAACGAGAGAGAGCGCGAGAGAGAGAGAGAGAGAGCGCAAGCAGCCTAGTACCCAAAAATCCGAGATCATTCTTGTAGCGAGCGGCCAGCCATTGAACCAAGTCGAGCGTGTTGTTGACGTTCTCCGGGTACTTTGACCAGTAGGAGTGGCCTGCAATTGCGGTTTAAAGGGCCCTGGAAGCGTGAGAATCGACCCCATCATGACTCTCGACAGAGGCGCCACGCTACGAAATCATACCCGGATCTTCCGGCGAACTGTGATCATTGCCGTTTTGGCTGCCCTTTGCAGCATGGATCGAAATCAGGACCAAAACGTTGTGCTTCGGGCCCCATTCCTTGATGGCCTTGTCGAGGTAGCCAATCGCGCCGGGAGCCCACATCTTGTAGCCGTCCGGATCACCTGAAAGGGCAAATGATCCCTGCTAGCCTGCCCCTTCCATTCCCAAATGATCTCTGCTAGCCTGCCCCTTCCATTCCCAAATGATCTCTGCTAGCCTGCCCCTTCCATTCCCAAATGGTCTCTGCTAGCCTGCCCCTTCCATTCCCAAATGATCTCTGCTAGCCTGCCCCTTCCATTCCCAAATGATCTCTGCTAGCCTGCCCCTTCCATTCCCAAATGATCTCTGCTAGCCTGCCCCTTCCATTCCCAAATGGTCTTTGCTACCTTACCGCCAGGGCTGTGGTCAAATCCGGTGATCCAGTATCCGATCGGAATTCGAACCGTGTTCAAACCGTACGACCCGATCTCGGCAAAATCCTCCTCGGTGATGAAGGTTTTGCGGTGCTGGTCAAACTGGCCGTCGCCTAAGTTTGGGAATTTTGCAGAAAAATCGTGACTTACCTTTAGAATGGCCCAAGTACTTCATCGTGATGTACTCGCCGCGGTCGGCGTAGTCGGTCGGGACGCCGTTCCAGGCTGGGGAACCTACAGAGACTTGTTTTCTTTTGATCTCTCTCTCTCTCTCTCTCTCTCTCTCTCTCTCTCAAAACTTACTAGCAGTCATCCAGTGTTCAGCCACAAGCCACCCGCCGAGGTTGACCCCCCTCATCGGAGTCCTCCCCGCTTTGATGTCATCCTTGGTCTTCTGCAAGTCACCCATCGCCAACCCGAAAAGGGCCGGCAATAATGGGAGCCACCTCATCCCTAGAAAACGATCAGTTTATGCTTATTTTTCATATGCAAACCAACGAATAGAGAGAGAGAGAGTGGAGAGAGAGAGAAAGAGAGTGGAGAGAGAGAGAGAGAGAGCGAGAGAGAGAGAGAGAATACGGAACCCGTGACCCTAATTCCGAAATTGAACTTTGATCGCCGTTCCAGAATCTCCGGAGTCGTCATCGACCCGGTCATCAGCGTTGCGAGCACGTGGGGGCACGGAAATTACAATTTTTCGTTCGAGATACGCAGCGATTCTCCAAGCGAGAGAAAGAGAGAGAGAGAGAGAGAGAGAGAGAGAGAGAGAGAGCAGAAAGATATCCGAACGGATACTTCACGTATTTATACCCCAAAACGGTCTGCAATTTTGTGCCAAGTCAGAGCAGAGGACGTGGCGAACTTTGAGGGTACGAAAGTAAAAAGGTTAAGGTATAGCTGGAGAGAGAGAGTACCTGAAAAATGCAACCAAAAAAACAGTCTGTCCCGTTGGCCTCTATTGCTGATAACAGCGCTTGGTTTTTTGCCTTTTTAATCGCAACCCCATGCCGGTTCGCCGGTTCGCCGGATTGCCGGTCCGGTTTTCCGGTCAAAAAGGTAAGGGAAAGCGTTTTTCTTGGAAAAGCTATCAAAATAGGCCACAAAATCCTAGTTGCTATTTTTTTCGTGCAAGGAAAATCGGACTATGACAAAGCATTACGCAAGGAAAATCGGGAATTTTCCCGGCAAAGGTTTTTTGTTAAAAATAGAGCACACTTTTTTAGATTAAAAAAAGCCGCTACAAACTCCGAAAATTATCGCAAATTTGGTTTTTGGGCCAAAAATATGAAATGAACAAAATGGTAAAAAGTTTCGAATTCTCAAAAATGTTTTAACATATTTTTGTAAATTTCTAGTTATAAAAAACTACAAAAAAAAAGATCTTAAAAATAACATACAGTTTTTATCTGCACAAGGTAGTATACGCGGAAAAACAACAAAAGTTAGTTTTGCCCCTGCCAAAAATCCCCCCTCCCCCTGCTAATATGTAGTGCAGTACCGAAAGATTGTGGACATCATACAAAGAAACTGTTTATTTACAAAAAACCATGAAAAAAGCATAATAAAGACGAGGACGAGGATGGCGAGTTGACGGGCGAGTTGAAGACGTACGCCTTGAAGCCGTTCCGCAATCAGCGCGCCAGGTTGATGAACTGGAAAATCTGGTTCGATTGGATTATTTAAAATGCTGATTTATCTAAATCTACAAATTTTACATAGCAATACCTTAATCTCGACGTCACCGCGCGGCGCCGGCGGGCGGTTGACCAGCCTGAAGTCGTCGTGGAGGGCGTCGAAGCGCATCTTGGAGCCGATTTTGGGGTCGAGGGTCGAGACGGCGACTTGGAGAAAAGTTGGCTGACCGCCAAAATATCATCTGCATCGCTATTGGTTATTTGTTACACCCAAAACGCATGTAAAACACGAAAAATGTCATATTTTAATTGATTTAAATGAAAAATCTTATTTTATACTTCCAAAAATCACGAAAAATTGTAAATAAACTTCTTTTTCGTAGGTAGCGCACGTGTTCGTGATAAATATACTCGATTTTAAGCCGAAATTGCAGCAGAAGTTTAAAAGTACGACAGTTTGAGCTGATTCTTAGGCTCGCAAAATTATTTTAACGCGAAGACCTCCAATTAAAGCTCTAAAATTGGCATAAATTTTAGCCTCGCTTTTTTCATTTTTTTTTGACATTTTTTTACTTTTTAATAATTAAATTTTGGAGTTAAATTGAAATAAAGCTTAATAAAACGATGATTCCGCGGCGCTACTTTTCCCATGCCGGTCGCGCGCGCCCATCACAACAAGACACGAGAGGCTTTTCTCGTGCGCCGACTTGTGCAATACTTGGCAACTTTTTAGCCCTGAAATCTATAAAAAACTATTGAAAACTTCGCTAACTAACCTTGTTTTAGATGACGAACATCTCCAGCTTCACGTTCGACCCGGTTTCGCCGAGCCCGAATTGGTCGGTGGCGAGCTTTCGGTGATTTTATTGCCCTAAAACTAAAATTAAGCTTAGAAAATACGCGGAGAAGCTGCGTGAAGCGTGCGAGTGGATGGAGAACGCGTTGAACCTGCCCTTTCAGTGGGTTTTCTACAAACTTCATAATTTTTTGTATTCCAGGAATTGGCATGCCATTTCGACGTCTGAGACGTTTGTGAACGTTCTCTACAGCTTGCCGTGGTGCGTTTTATCTATTTTTGTTAGGTGCTTACGCATTATCGGGGCGACAAACGTTTTTGTGTAGGCCAAAAAATATCTGGAAACTTAATAGGAAGTGTTTTAATATGTTTTCTCGTGCAAAATAACTAGATTTCGGGTAGAAAAATTCCCCTAAACCCCAAGAAAGTTTGGAAAAACGAGATTTTTGTCATTTCTCTTCGAAAAATGCCAAAAAACCATTTAAAACACTTCTTCTAGTTATATTTGAAAAATTAGATCTGAAGCAAAAGCGGTCCCCCCGATAATATAAAAGAACCTTTTTCATTACATTACTTGTCTAGTCCGCATGAAACGGCCATTCTGGAGCGTCTCGACGAGCTCCAAGACGTGAAAAAGACGGTAGAAGCCGCTAAAACTTGCGTTCTCGCCTTTCTATGTCGTTTGCTTTATCCATGGGAGGTAGGAACTTGTTTTAAACGTTTTAATGTAAATTTGAGGCCTCAAACGAGCGGCTACAAATCTCCCAGTCCGTCGACAAGGTGCTGAACGAGTTCCCGCTGCGCCACTTTGCTCGCGCGCTATTTCTACTTGCACCCGGTATTTTTGGAATCGGAAAGTATGTGGATTTTTTAGAAAAGGGCACTTCATTCGACCAAATGTTCATCGCCATGCTGACGAAGCTGATCGCGGAGGCCGTGGAGTTCAAGGACGCGATCCGGGACACGATACGCTATTTCGTGAAGGTAAATTGCAACCTGCAAAGTCTGAATAGCTTTCAATTACTGTCATTTATTTGTTTTTTTATAAGCTTATTAACTTCTCTTGGGCTATTTACGATGCTAAATTCATTTCTGAGTCTATTTTTGCGACTAGTCACCGTTATTTTTTCCTAAATTTATCTATTTTTGCAAACTACAGTTTTATTTTGGTATTTATAAACTTAGAGGTTCATTTTTCTCACATGTTTCGTCTGAATTTATCGATTTTTATCAACTACAATATTTTTTTTATAAAAATAAACACTAGTTTTCTTTTTGAAATTTATTGTAGCTATAAAATCTCTCAATTGGGTAAATTTAAAGTCTAGAGTTTTTAGAGTCATTCAAAACCGATAATAACTTTTTCTTAATTTTTTTTTAGAACCTCCGCGCCACCGATCAACTCCTCGGCCGTTCGGCAGCTCTCCGCCCGGAAGCCGTGTACCCGCTGATGACGCTGCTCACCGAGCAGCTCTTCTCGCTTCGTCGGCTCATCGAATGCACAAAGGAGACGGGCATGAGGGTCGAGGCTCGCAGTTTTATGGATTGGTGGGTTTATCGGGGGTTTTTATTACAAAATAGTGTTTTTTTCCGTGAAAATAGCAATTTTGACGTATTACGTAATCATAAAAGTACAAAAAATACATCATACAAAACTTGATAAAAGGTTAGAAACTACCCTAAAGGTATATCTTTTTTTTTGATTTTGATAGTTGAGAAAGGTAGACCTTTACGTCAAAAAAGTGGAAAATAAGATTTTTTAATTGCATGCTTAAAGTATAGTAAACATAATAAAGCCCTAAAAATCAATTTATAAATAGTATTTTTTTGGCAAATCACTCCTTTTAGTGTCCCATCGCTGCTCGACAACATTTTCAAGAAGCTCAACGACGAGCTGCTGTACAACGCTTCGATTCACCTGGCTCGGAATGATGTACAGTACGTTTTATAGCTAAATTTGATATCTCTCTCTCTCTCTATCTCTCTCGCCCTCTCTCCCACTCTCTCGCTTCATATAATATATGTAAATCCTTTCCTTCTTAGACACATCTTCAAAGCTCGCCACTTTGCCGATAAGCAGGCCGTCAAGCTCTACCTGCTCGGGCTCGAGTCGCTCAACTCGGCGGTGTACGGCTCGACGTTGGCCCAGCATTTGGCGAGAGATCGGTGCGTTGTTTTGGAGTTTGTAGTTTAGCTAGAGCGAGAGATAGAGAAAAAGATTAAATTCAATTTCCAGTCTGATCTACTTGATCGACGAGGAGAAGCCGCTGCAGAAGCTTCTCGCGCGGGATGACCCGCAAAAAGAACCCGTCATCGAGGCCCTCGCCACAATCCGCGAATCGCAGCAGATCAAGCTCACCCAGCAGATTGACCGCGCCGGGCTCATCGAGGTCGGTGTTTTTCTATGTATTTGGCTTGCCAATTTCTTTAAAGCCCCGCAAAATTGTTTTTTTTTAGGATTTCGGCAAACTCACGCATCTACTCGGCCCTGAGGCGGTGGCATACGAGAATATATGCCAAATTCTGCCCGATCTACCGCCAGTTTTTGTTTCGGTACGTTAATTTTTTACTATCTATCTCTCTCTCCCTCTCTCTCTCTCTCCCTCTCTCGCTCTTTCTCTCTCTCTCTCTCTCTCTCTCTCTCTCTTTCTCTCCCTCTCTCCTCTCTCTTGCTTCTCTCTCTCTCGCTCTCTCTCTCGCTCGCTGTCTCTCTCACTCTCGCTCTAACTCTTGATTTCCAGCTCGCCCTCGCCCACCACGGCTACGACGAGGAGAAGACGCTCGGCGCCATCCTAGCCTCCGAGCTTCCCGTCTACCTCGAGCGGCTACGTGGAGCCAACATCGTCTCCCACGGTCTCCCCAAGACGTATCCGGTAATCGACTCGAGCCTCGCCGAGATGACGTGGCCGGAGACGTCTTCAAGCCGTTCAGCTGTCGCCCCTGGCCCTGCCGGGTTCACCGAGGAAACGCCGAAGAAGGGCCTCTTCTCCCTGGCACCGGTGAAGAAGGCGGATGCCGACGAGGTGAAGAAAGAGGAGCCCGAGGTAGTGAAAATTCCCTTAGATGTTAATATCGATACTAGGCGGTGAACACCGACTCGGAGAAGATCAAGAAACTCCAAATGGCGTTGAATCGATTGAAGGCGACGACCGTCGAGGACGCGTCGACTTCAGAGCGTCTCGTCTCGATGTCGACGTCGAAAAAGTGGGTTTCGGTTTTTGTAGGATTTCTCAAAGAAACTCTGCTAGCCTGCCTAGTAGTGACTATCTTTTTTGCGGTTGGATTTCGCTAAGAAACTCTGCTAGTTTGCCGATTCGGTATGCGCGTCGAGTTTTCGCTGTGCTTGAAAATCCAACATTTTTCTGCTTCGCGGACTCTTCAAAGAATCCCTGCTAGTATGCCCAACAGAATTTTGTAGTTTTACTGTCGCTGCCACTTTAAAGTATGCATTTTTTGTCGTGATGACATCCATAAAACTCACTGCTAGCCTGCCTATCAGGAATTTACTACTCAAGCTGTTGCGGTCCCTTTAAAAGCTACATCGATGTTTGCAGGCACTTCACCCCCGGCGGCTTCAAGCAGAGCCAGGCGGACAAGGTATGTTTTGCGTTTTAAAGGGGCTAGCAAGGCAAATTTCATGTTTTTTTTGTCGATTCTGGCTTCATGACTTCTTTAAAATAGGTTTCTTTCAAAAAAATTTTAATTTTTGATTTTAGTCCCTCCTCCGGCCCTCCTACAACAAGTACATGTACGAGACGAACACCGATGACGAGGAGCCGTTGGACGAGTGGCGGAATGAGCCGCTGAAGAAGGAGGAAGTGACGCAAACGGGGTAAATTTATTTTGGTACTCCCTCTCACTCGATCTCGCGCTCTCTCGCTCTATCTCTCTCTCTCTCTCTCTCTCTATCTCTCCCTCTCTCTCACTCACTCTCTCTATCTCCCGAAAATATCGCAATTTAGTGACGACCAGCCCCGGCCTGCCGATGCGCCGCCCGGACTTGCCGGCCACCAGCCACAGCGTGGAGGCAGAGGAGGAGGGCGAGGATATGGGTAATTTTCTACCAAATTTTTGCTGTGATGCATCTTAAAATTCTCTAAAAGCTTCATTCATTGTTTTAGTCATCACAACAAATACGGAACTCCTGGCGGCGAGCAGCAAGGGAATGCCGGTGGTGCTCAGGGAGGTCATCGAGGAGGAGGAGGTCGGTATTCCTGAATTTTCTATAGTTTTTAATTATTTCCTTCGACATAAAAATAATAAAAGTGAAAATAAATAAATATTGTTTTCTAGGTCACGGCGGCCACGGGCGAGGACGCGGTCGCGGCAGGCCCTTCCCGAGGCGCTAGGAAAACTTTTGATTTAATGGATTTTTCTGTTTTTTTTTTGTGGTATTTTTATCGAATTTCAAGTCCTGTTGCATGTGATAGCCTTGGGATCTTATGATATTTCTGCCTTGAACTTTTGTTGTTTGGAATTGTTTGAATTTCTGGTATTCGGTTTCGGGGTCAGTTTTGATAAATATAATATTGAAAACAATTTTTGACGCAGAGAAAGAGAGGGCGAGAGCGAGAGGAGAGAGAGAGAGAGAGAGAGAGAGAGAGAGAGAGGGAGAGACAGAGCGATAGCGAGAGACCGAACCTAATATACTCGACACGCAATCAGATAGAGAGATCCATTGACACCCGCCCCCCAAAAAAGGCGGCAGCTGTTGTAGGGCGAGTTGGCAAACATTCTGAAGGGTCAGGTGAGAGACCCCGGCTTTTATGTTAATGAGCCCGAAAGGCAGGCGTTTTTGGCTGGAAAGTGCCTTTAAAGGGGCACGAAAAGGCGAGAATCGACCCCTTCAATCGACTAGGTCTAGACAGCTACGCGACGCGCCAAAACACGCACTAAAATATTTTTGCTTTAGTCGAACGGAATTTCTAACTATGTTCTGGTGGTAAAACCGGAAGTGTTTTTTGGAGCGTCAGGTAACTGTCTAGAACTAGTCGGGAAGAGGGGCCGAGGCCCTTTAGTGGACCCAGGGTGCCCGAGAATCTCCCGGAATCGGAGTTTTGAAATTTTGGGAAGTCAGTATTTTCGTGCAAACGGTTTTCGGGTAGCATGTATTTTGGAATGTCGCGTAGTTGTCTGGACCTAGTCGATGAAAGCGTCGATTCTCGCGCTTCCTAGGCCCTTTAAAAGGGGCGTGGGTACGGTGTTTACTTAACCCTGCGGCCAGCTGCTAATGTGGGTATCACCCCCCACAAGGGTTGCGTGAAGCGGGCACCTGGCAGATTGGGCTGACGCTATTAAGCCATATTGCTATCAGACGGGTCTCCAGTCATTTTTTCGTCTTTTTTACGTTTTTAAAGGGACCAAGTACGCTCGTATGCTCTAGAAAAGTTGTTAGAAAATCATAATAAACCACCGACCTTTCAGAATGAATATTTTTATGTTATTTGCTGCCACCTTGCCATTTATTTCGGCTCGAATTTTGGATCAAAGAGACCCAAAGGCAAGCGTTTTTTTAATTTTAAGGACCAGAAGGTCCTGGCAAGGCGAGAAATCCACAATTACGACTACCGTAACGCTGCAGTTGTTCAGATTGACGCGAAACTTGTCGAATCCGTGCTCTCCGACGTCGTTGAACTGTCGATGGTCGAGATGCGCGGGAAGTTGAAGTACAAAAACTGTACATCTCCTTGTCTTTCTCTCTCTCTCTCTCTCTCTCTCTCTCTCTCTCTCTCTCGCTCTCGGATGCATAAATATTTAGAAAAGCCCTGAAAAACCTGCTCTACCCTACCACCCAAGCGAAAGTCGCGCAGCGGATTACGGTATGTAATTGCCATCTCGATTTGAGGTAATATTTTTTGCATTTCTAGAACGAGGAGCAGCAACTTATTGCCCGATTCGTTGAAGCTGTTCTATCGGAGCGGGATTACGGTTTGGAATACCCTTAAAACTGGAAGGTCATACTCAGAAAATTTCAACACTGGTCGCCAGACTACGCAGGTGTACTCTGGACCTCTGCAGATAGCTGGTAGGTGTGTGGGAGAGAGAGAGAGAGAGCGAGAGAGAGGAAGAGAGAGAGAGAGAGAGAAAGAGGGAGAGAGATAGCGAGAGAGAGCGATATCTGTTTTTCAGAATTTTTCATTTTTAGACCAACGTCTAACTCCTCAATTATCAGATCAACCCCTGGATTTTGAAATGGTAATCTACTCGAAATTCCTGGGCCGATTCTGAATTTAGAAAGACGTGTCTGAACCGGTAAAATTGGCACCCAAGCCAGCAGCTGAAGCTCCTCCTCTCCCTGAACAAAAAATGCACGTCGCCCTGGAGGTCGTGCCGGCGGTACGGTATTTTTGAAAAAATGTAGAACAACACGGGCTTGAAGAAGTGGAAATTCAAAAACTGCTCCTCCAGGCGATTCGGTTACGGTATCTTTTGCAAAATCTGGAGCTTCATATCCTGTTACAGTACCTAAACGTTCAAGGGTTTTTCCAGTGCCTTTTAGTGGTACGGTATCTCAGACAATATTTTGCGGGCTTCAACTTGGAGCAGTTCACATCCAGGTGCTTTTCAGAACAATGAAGTGCTGTTTCAGCAAGGATTAAGGTTGGAGGATACATTAGAGGTTGGTCGCAATATAAAATTGGTGATTATTGGTCGGTTTAGGCACCAGCACCTTCACTGCTCCGAGCCGCTGTTCAGCTACCGCTCTGGATGTCGATATTTCTGATTGTGTCTGTGGTATTGGCGGCGATAGCTTTGGCTGGTAAGTGAGTGAGTGAGTGAGTGAGTGAGTGAGTGAGAGAGAGAGAGAGAGAGAGAGAGAGAGGGAGAGAGAGAAAGCGAGAGAGCGAGAAAGAGAGAGAGGAAGCGAGCGAAAGAGAGCGAGAGAGAGCGAGAGAGAGCGAGTGAGAGAGAGCGAGAGAGAGAGCGAGAGAGCCAGTGAGACTGAGAGAGAGACAACGAGAGAGAGAGCGAGAGGGCGTGAGAGAGCAAAATTTGTCGTTTTTCAGTTGCAATTATTCGGCTCTGCCGCTGGAGACGGCTAATAAATCGTCGTTTACCCCAATTGCCCGATCCTCTGACCATTTCCGGTACGTTTCAAAAACTGTAAAGAATCAAGGCTTGCGGTAATCTGCCTTCTCGGTCCCTTTAATTTTGAATTCCAGGTTTTTCCTGTCACCCAAGATGTGAGAATGGCCCACCAGCTTTCATGACCCGGCCCGCATCGTCTGCCAGGAGATTTAGCGGGTAAAAATCTCTTTAAAATTAGTTAACTACGTTGTTAAAAATTATTTCAACGTTTAAAATCATCATAAAAATTCGAGATAAATTCCTTAGCCAGAAAAACAATAAAATAGCTAATTCTCGGGCTACATTTTGATTTTATTCTCTCGGGCCAAAAAATGTTATATTTATTTTTAAAACTATAATGACTATAAATTAACTATTACTAAGACTATAAACAACTAAAACGCATAATAAAAATGATAACTATATTTTACAAACTTGTTTAGGGAATTCCACCAAGACCGCGAGACGCAGGACACCTGGCGGACGATTGGACAAGTCAGGAGTCGACCAATATAACATGAAATTTTTATGTGATTTCATACTACTATCAAAACAAAATTCTTAACAATTTATGCAAATTACTACACGCTATTATTTGCATTAGCTATGCGAACTCTGGCGACTCGGGGTCATGTCGGCGTGCGCGTTTTTGAGCTCCTCGACCCGGCGTTTCACCTCGTCACTAAAAGAATATTTATAATAGTTTTACACACCTTTTAGGAATTACAGTGGCTACTTCTAATGCTTTAACGGCCCTTTAAATGCATTTAAGGCATCCAGAAGCGCTCTAAATTTTTCTGCCTTCCTTAGACTTGGTCTAGACAGATACGCGGCACGTCAAAAAACGTGAAATATTGGGTTTTCGGATTACTGTAGCGCGTTGAAACGCTGTAAGCTGTGGTTAAGGCACATTAAAGGGACGAGGAAGCGCCAAAATACACCTTTCTGTCAACTAGGTCTAGACAGCTGCGACGAACGCCAAAAACCGCCCCAAAAACTTGTCTTCCTAATTCTGAAGCGTTTTTCAAAGATGTTATGCTTTATGTAAATCAGATTAAAATTTTTTGAAAACTCCGTAGCTGTCGAGACCCAGTCGATGGAAGGGGTCGAATTTTCCCTCTCCCCCCCCCTTAAAACGTCCAAAAACTCACTCCGAATCCACGACCACATCCTTATTCCTGAGCGTTTTCAGCGTCCTGATCTTGTGAACTTTCTCGTAGGCGTAGTTGAAGAAGAGTTCGCTACCCTTTTTGAGATCACGTTTTGCGTAGAGTCCAATGCGGTGGCTCCCGTTGACGATCAGGATCTGAAAAATGGATTTTTCGCTGTCTGTCGCACTTTCTCAATAGCTCTCGCTCCTCGATCTCTCTCTCTCTCCCTTTCTCTCCCACTCTCTCCCTCGATAGCTTCACCCACTTTTGGTGCACAATTCGCTTCATCACAATGATTGGCAAACCGGACGAGATTTCCTATTCTGGTAGCATCGACTCCTTGCTCATTGTTGAGGTCTAAAATAGGAGTTGGCAAGCGAGCGAGAGAGACAGAAAGAGAGCGAGAGAGAGGGAGAGAGAGAGAGAGAAAACGCGCGAGAAACACTTACTAAAAATATACGAGCACCCCAAAATGTCGTAAACTCGACCCCGGCGCTCGCATTCGTCAGCAGTGATAATCTGGAAAAATCTTCAATTTTGAAAATCGAATTTTCTGCTCTAAAAGAATCCCAAAAATTTGCCTTGGATGTTCCTTTAAAACCCGTAAAAATGCTTGCCTCGCCACAGTACTCGCTGATCAGCTCGCCCTTCAAGCAATCCTCGTCCAAGAAACAGCCGTAGCCCTCGATATCGGAGGTGCCGATCTAGAAAGGTGTTATGCCTTTCTCTCTCTCTCCCTCTTTCTCCCTCTCTCTCCCACCTTCAGCTTCTTCTGCAACCCCTTCTGTATCTGATTATTCTGGCATGTCGACGGTCCCTTGCCACATCTTTCGCTCTTCCGCTTCCGCCTCTCCTCCGACTCGCCAGCCCATATGATCTCGCTGAGCTCGGGCTAAAAACGAGTTTTTCGATGATCTCTGCTAGTCTCCTCTCCTTAAAGGGCTGCCGACGGCATGTGTCGATCCCCCCTCATCAACAAATTGGCAAGTAGCCAACAGGGGAGAGAGCGCGCCCAGGGGCTAGGCACAGAGACATTTTCTTCCGCGCGTAACCGATTGTCTATGCCGTCGGCGTCCCTTTAAGCCAAAAAATAGGCATTGAAATTACCGGCAATTCTCCACACTCCCCAGCTTGTTCAGCGATGCAATTGTCGAGATCGCTGTCTAGAAATCGGAAATTCGAGCGTATCAAAGCTTCTCTCGTGCGCTTTCTCTCTCTCACTCTCTCGCTCTCTCTCCCTCTCTCTTGCTGTCTCGTGCGATAGAAAAATCCTTACGTCCTCCGCAGTTATCGCACAAATCCGGGTCGCACTCGTAGTTGGCCATGTAGCAAGCGCATTGCCGTGTGTTACATTTGCCTTAAAAAGGAATTTAATAGCTATCTCTCGCTTTCTCTCTCTCTCTCTCTCTCTCTTCCAAAGAACTCACCAACACATCTGCATCCCGGAAATTTATGCGGGCAATCCAAGCATTGACAATACTTGCTGCAGAGGTTGTTATCTCGCAGGCACGGACAGCGACCTTCTTCACAAGGCCCGGCATGTCGGCACGGTACCATACGGTGGGATGTGGATACCTAAAAAATTCGTCCCATGCCGATCACCAGGTGCTGAACAACCGAAGACTTGCTCCCCATACAAAACCATTAAAAGAGGATCATCCAAATAAAAATACCGTAATAAGGCATGCAGGGTAAAAGATGAGATAGATACGAAATTCAGACTACAAACTACAACTTGGCACACACGTTTCTACGCCTACCGTTTGCCCGCCGAGTCGGCGCTAAGAGAATGAAACTATTACAAGCCTTGAACCACGAAACCGGAAAGCTCTCACTCTCTCAACATCACTCTCTCAACCTTTCGCTCTCTCTCTCTTTCTCTCTCTGTCTCTCTCTCTGTCTCTCTCTGTCTCTCTCTCTCTCTCACCTCTCCCATCTTGAAGCGCTTGTTCCGGAAAATGTGGTGATGATCGCGATTGAATTGTCTAAACAAAGTTTGCTTTTGGGAAAGCGAGAGAGAGAGCTGATTGAGAATGAGAGAGATACTTACCGTCTCCTCTCCGCCTCCTCCTTTTCCTCCTTGTCATCAATAAACTCCGGAACGCCGTTATTTTTTAGTAAATCGAACATCTAGATTGTTCATAATTTTTACAGCAGCTACAGTACCTGTACACAAGCTACTTCCTTCTTAAAGTAAAACTTTGCCAATTTCGCAAGACGACACGATTGGTGAGCGCCTTTCCGTTCCGTAGCCATTTTTCTAGAACAATTGGTAGAGAGAGAGACATAGATGAGAGAGAGAGAGAGAGAGAGGGAGAGAGTGAGAGATAACCGGAAACGTTACTTGAAGTGTTCCACCAGGTACGTCTCATTAACTTGTGGGCGTAGGGGCTCAAAGGATGAGGTGGGTTTCTGAAAAAGCAGATTTAAGGAGAACATAGAGCCAGTCGCTTGGTTGTCTAGACCTAGTCAACGGAATGGGTCGATTATCGCGCTTTAGAGTCTCTTTAAGAGCTAGAAATCCGCACTCACGAGTCGGTAACACTGGTTATCACATGGCTCCAAGTTGGTGTCCCCAGAAGCTTTGGACTCGTTGCGAAGTGTGTCAGCTGAGCGTTTCCAGATCTCTTCCTCGGAATTACCTGGAAAATTGCTTAGGCTTAGGTTTAGGCCGAGGCTTAGGCTTCGGCTTAGGCTTAGGCTTAGGCTTAGGCTTAGGCTTAGGCTTAGGCTTAGGCTTAGGCTTAGGCTTAGGCTTAGGTTAGGCTTAGGCTTAGGCTTAGGCTTAGGCTTAGACTTAGGCTTAGGCCTAGGTCAGGCTTAGGCTTAGGCTTAGGCTTAGGCTTAGGCTTAAGCATAGGCTTTGGCTTAGGCTTAGACTTAGGCTTAGGCCTAGGTCAGGCTTAGGCTTGGGCTTAGGCTTAGGCTTAGGCTTAAGCATAGGCTTTGGCTTAGGCTTAGACTTAGGCTTAGGCCTAGGTCAGGCTTAGGCTTAGGCTTAGGCTTAGGCTTAGGCTTAAGCATAGGCTTTGGCTTAGGCTTAGACTTAGGCTTAGGCCTAGGTCAGGGTTAGGCTTAGGCTTAGGCTTAGGTCAGGCTTAGGCTTAGGCTTAAAAAGCACCAACTTACCATGAGTCTGACAGTCAAACGTCAAGCATCGTGGGCAGTACAGCACCTTCAGGGAGTGCACAAAGTTGTCGCTAGCCTAAAAAAGCTAGTGTTTTGTGAGCACGTTAGGCAGGCTAGCAGAGATACTTTAGGAAATAGCAAAATCCAGCATTTCCATAGTTACTTGCTTTGTTTGCCCTAGCTTTCGGCGATAATGGAGAGAGGGTGAGTTGTGGAGGCCGGATCGGTCGGGAGGGCGTTTTTTGCTCGAATTTGCTGGTGGAAGGGAGCTGAAAAGTTGGGATTTTTCTCACTCGCTCTCTCTCGCTCTCGCTCTCTCTCTCTCACTCTCTCTCACTCTCGCTTTCTAGCTAGCTTTCTCACTGACCTGTACATTCTTCGGATCGAAGCAATACCGCGGGCCGTAATCTCGAATACTAAAAAATTACGATTTTCCGAAACACCACGCATTAATGCCTGAAAGGAACAGTTCCGGCAAGAAAACTCACTGCCAAATCAACTTGCTAACCGGTAGCTTATTCGGGAAGAGATGATAAATTGTTTTGTACAGGTCGAGTTGCCGGTCCTGTGCTTCAAAGCTGAAACAATGAAAATGATCTTTTCCCTCCCCTCTCTCTCGCTCTCTCGCTCTCTCTCTCTCTCTCTCTCTCTCTCTCTCTCTCTTTTTTTTTCTTTATCTCTCTCTCTCTCGATCGCTCTGTCTCTAACGCTCTCTTGATCCCGTTCTCACCTCGGCACCAGCTCCCTGAGCATCCGATAAAGCATCCAATCATTCAGATGATGCGACCAGCCTTCCCGGATACCATGGATTCCCTAGATCTCAATTTTAAAGGGACCGCGCAGCACGAGGAATCGTCGCTTCGATGGACTAGATCTCGACAATCACACGACTTTTCAAAACACGCTTATAGCCGCGTAAGGTCTCACTTTACGCCTTTACTATTTTTTTATTTCGAGATCTAGTGCATTTTGGGAGCAGGTTTTTGCCATTTTAGGGCCCCTAAAATCGCTTACATCCTCAAAATCGTCAATGAGATCGTCAGACCAGTCGCCGGTGGCTTTTTCATCGAGTAGAGGGAGGTGGGAGAGCCCGTGCTCCTCGTCGGCCTGAAAATTGAATTTAAATGAGCCTATTTCTGCGAACCTGCCCCTTCCATTCCCAAATTATCTCTGCTAGCCTGCCCCTTCCATTCCCAAATGATCTCTGCTAGCCTGCCACTTCCATTCCCAAATGATCTCTGCTAGCCTGCCCCTTCCATTCCCAAATGATCTCTGCTAGCCTGCCCCTTCCATTCCCAAATGATCTCTGCTAGCCTGCCCCTTCCATTCACAAATGATCTCTGCTAGCCTGTCCCTTCCATTCCCAAATGATCTCTGCTAGCCTGCCCCTTCCATTCCCAAATGATCTCCGCTAGCTTGCCTTGATATTCCGTTCCGTGTAGCTCCAGTAGGCTAGCCGCTTCAAGCCCAAAAACGGGCTCCACGTATCCAGCGCGATCACTGGGGCACTGTCGTCTACATTGTCTTTCTAAAATGGAATTAATTAAGTTAGGCTCAGGCTTAGGCTTATACTTAAGCCTAAGCTCAGGCTTCAGATCTTACGGCACCTTATAATCCCCTGCCAGCTTGTCCGGAGCAGTACACTTCAGCTTCGAGATGTCGAACGGGGTCTCGAGGCGCTTGTCTTGTTCCTGGGCTTTGGCTTCCGCGGCTTCGCTTTGTGATTTGCACCAAGCAGCCTGAAAAGGAAAAGTAGAGAGAGAGAGAGAGAGAGAGAGAGAGAGGGAGACAGAGAGATACAGAGAGAGACAGAGAGAGAGAGTGCAAAACGTACCAATCCTTCCGTTTTCCGCAATTTATCGTAATCCACTGCGACTCGGCAGTAGCTCTCCTTGACAATGTCAACGTCTTCTTCTTTCGGGATAAATTCTTCCTGAAAAATCGATTTGTTTTATCGTCATGCTCCCTTTAAAGTGGGAGAGAGGGAGGGAGTGAGAGAGCGAGAGAGAGAGAGAGAGAGAGAGCATGAGAGTGATAGCTTACCCTGGGCTCCGGCGAAGACTCGTCCTCCTCCCTTTTTCTCCGCCTCCGCTTCGGCCCATCCGAGTCCGCGAGGCTACTCTCATCTCTTCGAGCTCGACTTCTCCTGATGAGCGTCTCATCGTCCGATCTGTCCTCCAATTTTTGGCTCCTCCTGGAGCGTCTCCTTGAGGTCGAGACCTCGGAGCCGCTCCTTCGAACCTCGTCCTCCTCTATCATTCTCCTTCTCAAGAACCGTCTAGTTGTTCTGACTTCCGAGTCTTCTGTGTCTTCTCGCGTCTGGAAAAAAGCCTAGAATTCTGGTTTTGAAGGAACGGGCAAGCCTAGCATCGATCTCCACTAGGTCTCGACAGCTACGCGACACGACGCCAAAACACGTCTTAGTTTCATCTCGATATGTCCCAGAAACGGGGAAATCTGGTGATTTTCGGCCCGTTTTGGCTTGTCACGTAAATATCTAGACCTAGTGGTTCTAAGAGGTCGATTCGTGACCTTGCTAGTCCCTTTAAAGCCCGGATCCAGCTTGTTTTCTATAAAATTTAACCAACCTTCCTGCGCGTTCCAGACAAATCCATACGCTCCAGAATGCCGATGCGTCTTCTGCACGACCTCCTTGGCTCATGCTCATCTTCTGACTCCTCTTGGTCAGAATCCTCTTTCTCCGAGTCACGGCTGATTCGGGCTGATGTTCTCCGCCCAGCTTGGGGCTCTTCATCTGCCCACCGCTTCCGTCCCGGCCCCTTAAAATCTTCAGAATCGTCCTCAGACCCGTTCCGTCGTTTCCGAGCAGTTCGCCTTGATTTTGACGACCGAACTTGTTCATCTTCTTCAGATTCTTCCTCCTCTTCTTCCTCCTCATCTTCAGAATAGCGACGACGTCTTCGAGAAGTACGTTTGGGACGTGAGGGTTGTACGTCTTCAGCTTCTTCTTCGTCCTCCTCATCTTCCTCTTCATCTTCAGAATCGCGACGAGGCCTTCGAGACGTACGCTTAGGACGTGCGGGCCGAACGTGTTCGTTTTCATCGTCATCCTCCTCGTCGTCGTCTCCAGAAGAACCGCGACGTTTTCTAGCAGGCCTCCTAGCGCTCGATTTTCGAACTCCCTCATCTTCTTCGTCCTCGTCTTCTTCTTCATCTTCAGAATCTCGCCGACGTTTTCGAGCAGTTCGCCTTGGCCGCGATGGCTCAAACTGTTCATCGTCGTCCTCATCTTCTTCCTGTTCCTCATCCTCGTCCTCCTCGAAGTCGTCGCCAGGGATGAAAGGTCGAGTGCGTAATTTTCTGCGGAATTCTTCTGGGTCCACGCCTTCATCACTCAATCCTTCGCTGGATCGATTGCCGGCAGACCTTTCATTAAAGCGTCGAGGGGAGTGGCGTGGCCAATTGGCGCTAAAATACGTCAATTTATCGGGGTTTTGCGAACAAGGTAAGCCAGCAAAAATTTTTAAGGAATTGAAAAGGTATTAATAGGAGATTTAGCGCCTTGGCAGGGTAGCAGAGATTTTTGAGGAAGCTTTTGAGGCTGGGCAAGCTAGCAAAGAACTTTGAGGAATTTTTTCGATTCAGCAAGCTAGCAGCGATTTTTGAGGAACCATTAACCCTGGGCAGGCCAGCAGAGATCTTTGAGGAAGGTTTGGCATCTGGCAAGCTAGCAGGGATTTTTGGGGAACTTTTAGAGCTGAGAAACCTGCCGGTTCTCGTGGCAATTTTTGGGATAGGGCAGACTAACAGAGATTTTTCAGGAAGTTTCAGGGACCAGGCTGGCTAGCAGGGATTTTTCAGGAAGTTTCAGGGACCAGGCTGGCTCTCAGAGATCTTTGAGGAAGGCGCAAAGCCGCTTTGAAACGTTTTTAGGCAAAAAATGCGTCCCGCTTCTTTTAAGCACCGTAAAAATCACCTAGTCGACGGCCCGGCTCGGTCTGCTTCGACCTGATGGCGAAGCCGAACACCAGCTCGACGTCTTCTAGCCGAATCTCGGCAATTCTCTTCCTCCTCGTCACTCGAAGTCGAAGGCTTGGCCCTCGAGCGGCGTTTCGTCAGCCTTTTGTTCGGGCTGAAAGCGTTGTTTTTTTAATGCGTTACGCCAGCTTATTTTGCAAAAATTTGTTATTACATCTTGATTATCGCTACGTTATTAAAAATTTACCTGATGATCCTGAATTCCTGACGTTCATCAGAAACCGATGAAGCCGACGAAGCGGAGGAAGAAGCCTCTTGGATCGGATACTTCCGGGGCCGTCCCCGCCCTCTCGGCGTCTCCTCCTCGTCGGTACTGCAAATTCGAACAAAGTAAATGTAATTTTTATTGTTTTAGCCAGATACTGTATCTCCACCCTTTAAAAAAATCGAAAGGGAATGAAAAAAAGGCCTTAAATATCAGTGTAGAAAAATTCCCACCTGTTCTGCGCGTCCCGACCGGCTGCCATTATATCTGAAACGTTAAACCAATTAAACTGCAGCTGTTAATCCTCAGAAAACTGGCAATGGACACATTGAATTGGCGAAAAACATAGTTTCGAGTGGGTTTTGGTGCGAATTTCATAGCGTAATCGGTTGAAAAAGCCAATCCTGGACTAACAAGAAGGATAACAGGTGTAATTAAAGTTTACAGGTATAGAAACTTAGTTATAAGCTAGAAAAAGCGGTCAGGTAAGCTGTCTTCTCCATCCATTTCTTTGAGAGAAGAGCCCCCTCCTGTTTTTGGTGTGTACTCTGTAGTACGCCGGGTTGGGCGGGAAAACGGGGCGTTCGAGCGCTCCACTTCAGCCTCCTCTAGTCCCTTGGTGCCAGATGCAAATTGGGTGCATAGAAACCGCTCAAGTAGCCAAGAAAAATCAGAAAAATCAGCCACCAAAAAATTATAAGGTCTTACTCTAGACGGAAACGCTAATTTGGATTTTTCCGTAAAAGGCTCTAGAGTCTAGACTCAGGCTATGAAAGATATCATTGATTCACGAAATGGAATCATAATGTCGAAAATCATAAGATCGAAATTTCATAATGTCGAAATTTCAGGATGTCGGAATTCAGAATGTCGAAATTTACATAGGCTAATATTACCGGTGAAACCGCCAAATCCTAGCCAAAAAAAAATTTTTCCACATTCTATTTTTTATCTTATTTCATGACAAACTTTTTTTGCGAAAAACTGGGAATTTTAGCTTATGTAAATTTCGACATTATGAAATTTCGACATTGTGAAATAAAGCCATGATGCACGACCACCGGCATGCTGGCTCAAAATCGACAATTCATAATGTCGTCCCTAATTGGGCAGCATGCGTTGAAAAACGTCGCGTAACTGTCTAGACCTAACCGAAAAAAGATGTTGATTCTACCGCTTTTTAGGAGGTTCTGATTTGCTGCTTTCCGATTCGTCATCGTTCGTCCAACCGGGCTGTGGTGGTGGTCTCTGCGCCACTTTCGACCTTATCCTCCTGCCCCGTGTAATCCTGGGGATATACCGGGGGGTGGGTGGGTGAGCGGTTCTCCCCGGCTAGGCCGACTCGACTCAAGGCCACAACAAAAAGAAGTCGGGGTTTTTTTTGCAAGTCCACCTTTTGCGCCATTTTAAGGAGTGTGCCCTCCATTTTGCCTTCACCGCCCCTTTAAAGGGACTTGGAAGGCAATACCGTATCATGCGGATCCTTGCTAACTTGTCGATCCTGATTCTCACCCCCTAGGGGACACCATTCGCTCAAAAAATGTATTTTTACGCGGAATTTTCAGGTTTTCATCTGATTCCGTAGGATAAATTCTTTTCTTTGTGGATTTTTGCCTTCCCCGCCCGATTAAAATCGTCAATTTTACGTTCTTTTAGAATGCTGGCAAAAAGTTTCGCTTTTTTACTTCTACTACCTTTTGCAGCTGCTCAATTTGTGAGTGACTACTCATATTCTCAGGTAGCTGACTAACATAGGCGCTTGGAGACGCTGTCCCTTTAAAACAAAAAAAAAACGCTAAAATTTGAGCTTCTAACAAGTAAATTTCAACTTTCAGTATCCCCAAAACTACTACCCTCAAAATGGACCGCCACAAGATCCAGTTGATGTGAGTTTAACTCGATTAAACACCGTGAAAATTGTTGCAGGCTCGTTTCCGACTCCTCGAAGCCCAGGTGTCCGGGCTGACGAAGAAGGTCGAACACCTTGAAGGCGTCGTAAGACAAAAATACCGAATTTCTCAACTTTTTCACCGAATAGGTTCGTGACCTGACCACCGCGATGCACGACGATTGGGTGAACAGCGACTCGGGCAGCAAGTACAAGATTTTCGAGCTGAGAAGAAGCTGGGATGATGCGACGGTAGGCAGAAGACTACGGACTACAATTTCTTGCGTTTTCTACTTAAATTTGAGCCAAGAATCCCACATTTTAGAGCACGTGCAAGACGTACAACGCCCGCCTTGCCGTCATCGACGGCGTGGAGAAGAACACTTTTGTTAGAGGTACGGTAACTGGCAACTTGTGCCTTTTTAGAGGGACTAGGAAGCGCGAAATCGGCCCCACTGATCGACTAGGTCTAGACATATACGCAACGCTACGAAAAACGTACATAACGCATTCTTATAGCACGATTGACGTTCTAAGTTTTAATAAACCTTAGCAGTTCTAAACCTGTCGTTTTAGAAAAATTAAATTTCGTTTTCAACGCATTTTTGCAATGCTCATATGCTGTCGAGACCTAGTCGATCAAAGGGGTCGATTCCCGCTCTGGATCGTCCCATTAATCGTCAAATTTCTTTAGAATTGATGAAGAACACCACGTCAAATGTTGATTTTGCCTGGATTGGCATGAGAACTAGGGTATAGTTTATAGTCTTGTGAAATCGCGCAGAATCTCCAGGCTGAAGTCGCTTCTCAACCGGCGAAGTACACCAATTTTGATGCCGATACGCAGGTAAGGACGATTGATCGTTCGCGCGCGCGCGCTCTCTCTCTCTTTTGCTCGTTCTCTCTCGCGCTTCACTCTCTCACTTCCTTTCCCTCTCACTCACACACACACTCTCTCTCTCTCTCTCTCTCTCTCTCTCTCTTTTTCTATCTCTCTATGTCTCTCCCCCCTCCCTCGCTCTCTCTCTCTCTCTCTCTCTCTCTCTCTCTCTCTACCTTCAATTTCAGATCTCCGGATGTGCTGTAATCGATCGAGCTGGACTCTGGTCGATCAGAAGCTGCAATCAGCTGCGCCCTTTCGTCTGCCAACAAGTTAACGTCTTCTAACGCGAAATTACCATAATAAATTTTTTATACACATGCGAGAAATATACGTTTCAATCATTTTTTGGGCGGCTGCCAACTGACCCAGTTGGTGGATGATTGATATGCCAAAAGCCCGGATATCCCATGCAACAACTGCCAGTTTTCACACCACATCATGGGCCCTCGGCTGGGACCACAATTGATTAGCGCCGGAAAAGATGGAGTTAGATTGATTTTAATCTAGTTCCTTGCCTCTCCCTCTCTCTATAGCCGTGCCTTTCTCTCTCTCCCACGTTCTCGCTAGCCCGCTCGCGCTCTCTTTCTCTCGATTTATCTAAATTCTACTTTCTTCTCACTCTCTACCTCTCTCTCTCTCTCTCTCTCTCTCTCTCTCTCTCTCTCTCTCTCTCTCTCTCCTTCTTCTTCATCGGTACAAAATTCTTAAGTAGAGCTGATGCTCTCCAAACGATACGCCCGTTTGAGCTCGGTTTCGATAACCTTTCCGGAAGGCACGGAAGAAGCGGGTGGATTTTTGTGGTTTTTGAAAGGTAAATCCGGCGTCTTGAAATATCTAGATCATCTTAAACACTTTTTAGAAGACCGCCGGATCTTCGGGATCAATATCTATTTCTGGTGCGTGTTATTCCTGTTTCTGGACTTTGGACGATCGACATTTTCTGCTTTGACGAATTTGAGGTGGGTCCACGCTCTCTGACTAGCTCCGTCTCTCTCTCTCTCCCTCTCTCTCTCTCTCTCTCTCTCTCTCTCTCTCTCTCTCTGGCTCTCTATGCTGATGATAAAGTTTAATTTTTTAGTGGTCACCTCGTCAATGTGGATTCCGGGGAATCGGATGATGAAGGTAAGCAAGCCTTTTCTATGAACTGAGCCGGACAACTATGCGAGCTACCCATTCTCAGCCTGGTGCTACTACTACAAGATGGAGCAGTCGAGCTTTGCCATCGAATTCTCGCATTTGATCACGATTCTATTTGCTTTGGCGATATTGTTCGATAGATCGAAGCACTATTTGATACCGTATTTGATCGCAAAGGTATGCTAACCTCTAAAAATAGTCATAATCCGAGGCAGGCTAGCAGAGATCATTTGGGAACGGAAGGGGCAGGCTAGCAGAGATCATTTGGGAATGGAAGGGGCAGGCTAGCAGAGATCATTTGGGAATGGAAGGGGCAGGCTAGCAGAGATCATTTGGGAATGGAAGGGGCAGGCTAGCAGAGATCATTTGGGAATGGAAGGGGCAGGCTAGCAGAGATCATTTGGGAATGGAAAGGGCAGGCTAGCAGAGATCATTTCGGAATGGAAGAGGCAGGCTAGCAGAGATCATTTGGGAATGGAAGGGGCAGGCTAGCAGAGATCATTTGGGAATGGAAGGGGCAGGCTAGCAGAGATCATTTCGGAATGGAAGGGGCAGGCTAGCAGAGATCATTTGGGAATGGAAGGGGCAGGCTAGCAGAGATCATTTGGGAATGGAAGGGGCAGGCTAGCAGAGATCATTTGGGAATGGAAGGGGCAGGCTAGCAGAGATCATTTGGGAATGGAAGGGGCAGGCTAGCAGAGATCATTTGGGAATGGAAGGGGCAGGCTAGCAGAGATCATTTCGGAATGGAAGGGGCAGGCTAGCTGAGATCATTTTGGAATTACAGTCCCTCTTCCTCTTCTTCTACGCCTACCTTCTAATGCTCTATAATTCTGACATGGAGGGCTGCATGTGTAAGTGAGAATTTCTGCAGTTGGCGGCTTGGCTAAGGCTTAGGCTGAAGCTTCCACTTCCCTTTAAAGGCTAAAATTTTGTCATTCAGCCGAATTCTTCTGGACCGTCTTCAACCTGGTGTACTCGCTGGTGACGTACATTTGCGTGGCGCTGTCCTTTGCCGCATTTTACGAGAATTTCGAAGAGGCTTCAAAACCGAATCCGACGGAACCCATTGAAGTCATGCTGTAAATGTTCTCTCTCTCTCTCTCTCTCTCTCTCTCTCTCTCTCTCTCTCTCTTGCATAAATCGATCATTTATCACAGTAAATACATCGGAAGAAACCCAATTTCGGAATCACAGAATATTTTTGAGCACGCAGAAAATGCTGAGCAAAAGTGGGGCAAAATAGGACAATTGAATAGTTGAGCTAGTCGTCGGGACGGGCGATACGGTACTTTGTCCACCATTTAGGATTGGAGCCAAGGTAGGGTAGGGGTCGACGTTCTGAAATTTGACTAATTAGAAAAAAGGGAGAGAGAGAGACAGTGAGGGAGAGACAGAAAGAGAAAGAGAGAGAGAGAGAGAGAGAGAGAGAGAGAGAGAACGAAAAAGCGAGAGAACGAAAGAGAGAGATAGGGAGAGAGCGTGCGAGAGAGGCGAGGGAGACAGAGAGAGAGTGAGAGTGTTGGAGTGGGAGAGGGAACGTGAGAGAGAGAGAGAAAGAGAGAGCGAGATAGAGAGAAAGAGAGTGATAGCGTGAGAGACTTACCGCCGTCGAATTATAATCGGGCCTCCCATTTGCCTGGCTAGGGAACATGAAGTTGGTGATCATCTGGCGAGCAGCGCCAGGTCGGTCGGTAGGGACGAAATGGCCGGCTCCCTAAAAGTACCGGTCGCTTTAAAACGCTTCTAAATTGCCACCTTGACCGTGACGACGTCAATCGTCACTCCAGAATTATCGTTGTAACGCTGGGAGTAGCCGGCCGTCTGCCCGGCAAAGTACCAGTCGATGCGATCGTCAGCCTGACAGAAACGTTACAAAATACATTGTGCTCCCCCTGCCTTGATCGCGTGGGCCGCCGCGTAGTCGGCAATAAACCAGGCGTCGCCCAGGTAGTTGCACACCGTGTCGACGTCGCCGTTGTAGACGAGGAAGCGGAATTTTGTGTTCTAAAACAGCGCAAAATTGATTACACAAGCGTCTTTGCTAGCCCGCCTCTCAAATGATCACTGCTAAAAGCCCCCGATTCCCAAACGATCTCTGCTATCTTGCCCCTAGTCTAGAAAACCTCCGACTTACCGTATTTGCCTTGAAGAAGCGCTCGAAGAATTGGGTTTGGTCGTTGTAGGTGACGGTATACTGTTGGTAGATGGGGTCGCTGGAAATCGGTCAGATTGTTCGTCTCTCTATCTTTCTCTCTCTCTCGCTTTCTCGCTCTCTCTCTCTCCCCGTCCTCACCTGCAATCCTGCCACTTCATCCCACCCTTTTGCCAGTCGTCAGCGATGTTCAGCGCCTAAAAGTTCAGTTTTTCGAGAGAGAGAGAGAAGAGAGAGAGAGAAAGATAGACAGAAAGAATGAGCGAGAGCGAGAGAGGAAGAGATAGTGCTAACCTTTTGAACCTCCTGCGTATTCGCCCAAATGTACGGTGATCCATAGCAAGCGTAGCCTTGGTAGGGATCGGAAGAATCGTAGTTGAAGCCGGCCTAGACAATGTCCACTTAATGTTCGGATCTTCCAAAGGATCTCTGTTAACTAGCCTACCGCCAAATTCGTGACATCGGCTTTCACACCAGGTTGAGCTGCCTCCCGTTTCCTCCTGATGCGCTTCATCTGGGCCGGGTGCGCTGGTCGGGAGGCAGAAGCTAAAAAGCTGTCTCTCGCTCTGTCTGTCTGTCTGTCTCTCTCTCTCTCACCTCCAGTATATCCATCCGCATACTTGCTAGCGAAACAGTCCTGGTAGTAATTGTATGGGTCAGAAGATCTGGGCACGGAAGTCATACGGTAGATCTGAAAAACCAGGGTTAGAGCAGGATGGAGAGAGAGAGAGCGTGAGAGAGATAGAGAGAGAGACCTACGATATCTCCGCAGGTCGAATTATCGGAGGCGAAATCGAGGTAAGTGGTGGTCTTCAAGTAGTTGAAATAGTTGTACGTATCGGGGTCGTTTGGCCGAGTAGCCCCGGCATTACAGGTGGTCTTGACGTATTCCCATTCTCTGAAAAACATAATAACTTTCGTCTCTTATTCGATTCCTCAATGATCTCTGCTAGCCTGACCCTTCCATTCCCAAATGATCTCTGCTAGCCTGACCCTTCCATTCCCAAATTATCTCTGCTAGCCTGCCCCTTCCATTCCCAAATGATCTCTGCTAGCCTGCCCCTTCCATTCCCAAATGATCTCTGCTAGCCTGCCCCTTCCATTCCCAAATGATCCCTGCTCGCCTGCCCCTTCCATTCCCAAATGATCTCTGCTAGCCTGACCCTTCCGTTCCCAAATGATCTCTGCTAGCCTGCCCCTTCCATTCCCAAATGATCTCTGCTAGCCTGACCCTTCCATTCCCAAATGATCTCTGCTAGCCTGCCCCTTCCATTCCCAAATTATCTCTGCTAGCCTGCCCCTTCCATTCCCAAATGATCCCTGCTCGCCTGCCCCTTCCATTCCCAAATGATCTCTGCTAGCCTGCCCCTTCCATTCCCAAATGATCTCTGCTAGCCTGCCCCTTCCATTCCCAAATGATCTCTGCTAGCCTGCCCCTTCCATTCCCAAATGATCCCTGCTCGCCTGCCCCTTCCATTCCCAAATGATCTCTGCTAGCCTGACCCTTCCGTTCCCAAATGATCTCTGCTAGCCTGCCCCTTCCATTCCCAAATGATCTCTGCTAGCCTGACCCTTCCATTCCCAAATGATCTCTGCTAGCCTGCCCCTTCCATTCCCAAATTATCTCTGCTAGCCTGCCCCTTCCATTCCCAAATGATCTCTGCTAGCCAACTCTGCCCTCCCTTTTTCTTCCTTGTTTTTGCTTCCTATTTTCCATGACGAATTTTCCTCCCCACCAAAATCTGCCCCTTATCCCCCTCCAGATTCTCTAGTTTACGACTCGCTTCCCCGTTCCGTAATCTCGGAAATTCGCGGAAAATCGACTGACTGCGGAGACACGCGACCGTGATAAGCCGACCACAGCACCAGCGAGTTGTACAGCTTCTGGATGTGCATGTAGCCGTTCCCAATGGCGGCACCCTGAAAAGGACATGATTTTAAAGGAACAAGGAAGCCTCGGACCCTTAGAAGTTGCCCGGAAGTGAGGCTTGTGCTTTAAAGAGAGAGTGACACGTAATTTCATCGAGCGAATTAGTTGCTAAAGGCACGGAGAAACATCAAATTTCTCTGTAGGTCTCTCCTTCTATCGCCGTCTCTCTATCTCTCTATCTCTTTATCTCTCTCGCTCTCTTTCGCTTTCTCGGAACGAAATATGAAATGAAATTACTAACTCACCTGGAAATTTGGGTTCACGAACGTCTTGGCAACGATGCCTTCCGCCAGGACGGCAGAGAGCATCGGAATGTAGATACCAGCGTAAGATTCTCCGGACAAGTAGAAGTCACGATTCGCGTAGTCAGGGAAGCTGAAATTGGCGGCTTTGGTTTAGGCTTAGTCTTAGGCTTAGGCTTAGGCTTAAGCTTAGGCTTAGGCTTAGGCTTAGACTTAGACTTAGGCTTAGGCTTAGGCTTAGGCTTAGGCTTAGGCTTGGGCTAAGGCTTAGGCTTAGGCTTAGGTTTAGGTTCGGCCTCAGGATTCCCAAACCTCTTGAAGAAGTCGTTCAACGCCGCGAAGTTCTGGTTCATCGACTGCACGTCGTTGGCTGTGGAGTAGTTGAGGTTGCTGGAGTCGTAGGAGAAGCCGACCCCAATGGGGGATTCCAGGGCCAGGACGTTGGCTTTCTAAAGGGCCCTCGCTAGAGAGAGAGAGCGGCAAGGAGCGCGAGAGAGAGAGAGAGCAAGAGAGTGCTTACCTGATTCCACGAGAATTTGTTCTCAAACAACGTCTTCCCGTCCTGGCTGACGTAGAAGGGGCCTAGCTCCTCGAACATGCCGCCGAACGAGGAGCAGCCGGGTCCTGAAATTTGGCTTTTAGACGCCTTTTAAAGTGAGAGAGCGAGTGGGAGAGAGGAAGCGAAAGAGCAAGTAAATGTTCCTTACCTCCGTTAAACCATACCAAGATCGGGTCGGTTTTCGGGTTGCTCTTCGACTCGACGAGCCTGAAAGTTGCTTATGCGTTGCCAGCCTCTCGCACTCTCTCTCTCTCGCTCCCGCTCTCTTTCTCTCTCTCGTACCAGTAGTGCATCTTCCACGTCCCATTATTCCCCGCATTCAGGTACCCCGACCAGACACCGTAGTCGATTTTGAAGGAGAGCCCGGGCAGGGAGGTGACCTAAATGTCATTTTGTATCTTTCTGTAAAATTCTTATACTGTAAAAATTTGCAACAAATTTTGCATTTTTACCTTGTCCGCCACCGGATCAGCCGCATAGCTGCAGCCGAGGAGGAGCAGGAGGAGAGCCCCAAGTTGGAGGAGCATTTCGCTGGAAAATGGAGAGTGAGAGAGACAGAGAGAGAGAGGAGAGAGAGAGATAGTGAGAGAGAGCAGAGAGCGAGAGAGAGAGAGAGAGAGAGAGAGAGAGAGAGGCAAGAATAACGAAAACGCTTCCAAAATTCGAGGGAAAGCTAGCTGCTTTTTTTCAGGAATGCAAGCCGGCCAGTTAGCGGTGGTCATTGAGGATGAGATCCGGTAATTTGGAGCAATTGTGCGGACAGGAGTATCACATCCAAAAAGGCAATAAAATTCTTTCCCCCTCCCCTCATATTTTTTATTTCCGGGCTCAGCGGGGGGTGTGGGTGTCCTGGATGAATACCTCCCACACCCGGAATTTTATGCCCAGCTTGTTTCGGTGTACGCAGTTTATAGGTAGAGTTCCGCATCACAACCATTACATAAAAATTTTTGGGAACGGTTTGCAAAAATGATAGGCTTGTTATGAAACGTTCGAGCCTGAATCACAGTTGTGAAAAAGAAAAACGCGGGGAAAACTTCAATAGGATGCTGCGGACTGGAAATACCTACCCACCTGGTTGGTTCATGATCCTTGGCCTTTCTGCAAGAATGAAGACGCGAAAATTGGAAAGCGTAGATGAATTTTAACGTGGTTGGGAAGGAGGAAAATCGGCCCCATGATTTTACTAAGAATCACTAAGCTCGGCTTGGCTTAAGCTTAGGCTTAGGCTCAGACATGGGCTTTGTTTAGGCTTAGGCTTAGGTTGGGACTTTGGTTTATCTCGGGCTTAAGCGTGGCTAACGTTTAGGCTTAGGTTTGGCTTCGACTTAAGTATAATCTTAAGCTTGGTTTGGACTTCGGCTTTCGCCTGGCTTAAGCTCGATTTTAGGGTTAGCCTTAGGCTTAGGCTTAGGCTTCAATAGGCTTGGGCTTGGCCTTGGACTTAGGCCTAGCTACAGCTTGGCTTTGACTTAGGCTCAAGCTACAATTAGCCCAGCCAGCAAGTCCAAAACCAGTGCAAAATTCGGCGGGGGCTAGTAGCACTGATAGCGGCAGCGGCTTGCCGCCGCTCGTAAAAATATTATTTTGGTGGCAATGGCGCTGACCAGTCAGATTGCCACCCTGGAATCTCAAATGCCCACAGCCGGCCCCACAATCTACGCAGCAGGAGATAATTTTTATGTCATTCCTACCTGAAATGGGGCCTCTGGAAAATGGCGAGAAGAAGATGAAGTCTGATGTAAACGAGAGAGAGAGCGAGAGAGAGAAAGTGAGAGAGAGAGTGATAGAGAGTGAGAGAGCGAGAGAAAGAGCTAGTGAGAGAGAACTAGTAAGAGTAAGGGAGAGAACTAGTGAGACAGAGAAGGCGAGAGCGAGACAGGGAGAGAGAGATAGAGAGAGAGAGAGAGAGAAAGAGAGCGAGCTTGGCAGAGGCCTCGTAGAAATTGGAAGGCGGGCAAATTTGTGATTTTTCAGAGAACTTTCGCTTTTCCGAAGTTTCTCCCGGCCTTTGAGCAAAGCAGAGGCTAGCTTGGATTACTGTAGCTTCGTGAAGACCTGAAAAAAATCGAATTTAACAAACCTGGAAGTCTGAATAGTTAGAAACCTAAAAGTTGGCTGGTCAGATCCAAACCCGACTAGATCAAAAACTCGTGTTTTATCTGTTTTTCTAGCTTTCCATATAAAAGCCTGCAATTTAATACCGGTATTTAAAACCCAAATATGGTTTTTCCAATTTTTTAGTACTTGCTCACCCCTACAATCTGGATTTCTGAACGCCCCAGAGCCTCCGTATTCAACGCCCCAAGCTAATCCTCCACCCCTTTTTACCTCATGAATATCGACGGCTATTTTACTATTCATCCCCCCAGGACAAAGCACGCCCCATTCGCTACGTAATAGGCGCAGCCGAGTGTAACAAATGAGCACCGGGATAAAAGGCAAACTTTTGAGGGGGCCCTGACCTCACAATGATAGTGGTCTTCAAGTGAAAATATTTTGATCCGGACGAACGGATTCCGCAAAGCATCTCTGCTAGCCTGCCCCTTCCATTCCCAAATGATCTCTGCTAGCCTACCCTTTCCATTCTCAAATGATCTCTGCTAGCCTGCCCCTTCCATTCCCAAATGATCTCTGCTAGCCTGACCCTTCCATTCCCAAATGATCTCTGCTAGCCTGCCCCTTCCATTCCCAAATGATCTCTGCTAGCCTGCCCCTTCCATTCCCAAATGATCTCTGCTAGCCTGCCCCTTCCATTCCCAAATGATCTCTGCTAGCCTGCCCCTTCCATTCCCAAATGATCTCTGCTAGCCTGCCCCTTCCATTCCCAAATGATCTCTGCTAGCCTGCCCCTTCCATTCCCAAATGATCTCTGCTAGCCTGCCCCTTCCATTCCCAAATGATCTCCTTCGCCTTATGGGTCCTCTAATTACAGTGGTAAAGCTTGAATTCGGCAGCTGCGAAAAACCTTTTTTAGCTTAAAAAGCGCTATTTTTAGCCCCAGACATTGTCACCTGTCTCACAACTGCCTCCATCTTGCATTTTACCTGGTATTACGCTTCCAGTATTTCACCTGCACTTTTTACGGTGGTTCCGGTCGTCTGCCGGCCATTCTTGGAACCCGAAAACCGCCCTGAAGCGGAGCGTAACGGACTAACTCACTAATGAGGGTCTCGAGTCGTCTGTATCGCTTTTGTTATCGGTAGAATTATGCATGTGAGGGTTGTGGCGCGTATTTGGCATATTTTCTGAGTTCTCATGGACAGGCTAGCAGAGATCATTTGGGAATGGAAGGGGCAGGCTAGCAGAGATCATTTGGGAATGGAAGGGGCAGGCTAGCAGACACCCTTGGGGAAATCAAATCCCACCAATTTTGGAAGTCATAATTTTTCGTATTTTGCCCGATTGCACCTACAGCAAACCGGAAGGAAATTGCCGAATTCGCCCCCAATTTCCGGCCCCTTTTTAGGTGAACCAGGAAATTGCAGGTAGTGTCCTCCTCGGGTTCAAAAGTTACGCACGGTGCCAAATTACAGGTGTCCGGGCTAGCTTTTGGGAGGTGGAAATGAGTAAATAGGTCCTGGATCTCCGTTCAAAATCCATCGCTCTCGCTCTCTCTCGCTCTCTCTCTCTCTCTCTCTCTCTCTCTCTCTTTCTTTCTCTCTCTGCAGAGGTCCTTGGTCCTCCTGGCACTATCCCTTTAAACCCTGTTTAGGGCCTAAATTCGTAGTAATTTTGGTAGGAGGAGACTCTTGAGGAAAGGAAAGCGACAGGTTCTAAGGCAAGATAGCAAAGATCTTTAAGGAAGAAAAACATCCCAAAAGCCGTGTGGGCAGGCTAGCAGAGATCCTTTGGCTTGCCGACCCCAGCTCCTTAAAACTATTTTCGAAGTTCAGAATAGATTTTCTAGAGAGGCAAGCTAGCAAATATCCTTTAGAAAATGAAAATACTCCAAAAGTCATGAATAGGCTAGCAGAGATCATTTGTCTTCCTGTTTCCACCCCTTGAAAACCGCTTCCTAGCTCCTTGAACTCCTTTCACGAAATCCACACCCAAAATCGGGTCTATATTTTTTGCAGCCCGATGGGTAATTGCGGGCCCTCCGCTCCCTAAATACCCCCAAATAATTGGCAGGTTGGCAAAAAATATACTTATTCTCGTAGTCGGATCCTTGAACACTTTTAATACCATTTTTCGGGGGTTCAAACTTTTTGATTTGGGCTTTGTGAATTCTCGAAATTTCTTTCAAAAAATTTGCAATAAATCCGGTTCGAAAGGGACAAGCCAGTCAAATAAAATTCAGGGATTTTTTGCCTTGCTGGTGCCTTTAAAAAGTATTTTAATAACGTTTTTTGCTTTGCCAATCCTTTTAAAACAAAATTTATTCAATTTTTAACGTAATTTTGGGTCATACGGCGATTCACGAGTGAAATTGGATTTTTTGGCATGCAAAACTCTGTAGATTTCTGCCTTGCCAAGCCCTTTAAAATCGGTTTTATGCGTTTTTAGACATTTTTGGCTATCACCGCGCTCTAGGAGCTAAACTTAATTTTCCTGCAGAGTTTATACATTCTTGCCTTGCCAATCCCTTTAAAATAGGTTTTTATAAGGTTTTTAACGTATTTTTGAGTCTAACACCGATTTACGAGACGAATTGAATTTCCTTGCACAGAAACCTAAGGATTCCTGCCTTGCCAATCCCTTTAAAATCACCGGAAAACATCCGCCACGACTAGAGAATAGTTTTTGATGGAAATGCTGTACCTAGGTAGGCCCCATTCCGTGTTTTCCTCGTCGGGTCCTTTGGGGATCGGATCGTCCGGAAACCGTTGTTTTTATGCCCAATCTGGGTCCAGAATTTGTTAATTTAATGTTTTGACCTCGGTGCGCAGGACCAAAATATTTTTCTAAGAATTTTTGCACCATTTTTTAGCAAATTTCTAGATTCAATCGACATCATAGCACGTTTTACAGCTATTTTTAGTTCTCTAAGTGCTTAATTTCCATTTTTCCAAAGATTTTGAAGCTTTTTTCAGATTCTGCCTGCCATAAAAGGTGTACAGCTTTTGCACTGTACAGTACTTTTCAAAACCCGATCTTTTTTCTGCCCTGGTACCCAGATTTCCAAAATTGGCACTAATTGGTCTCGACGGCAAGGGGTGAACGTGGCAATCCTATGGAAAAACGGACATTGGCGTCTTCGTGGGGGGCCTGGGAGCCTCTCAGGGCCCACGCAAAAAGGTGCTCCCTTGATTTGGGACTCGACGTACTTCTAGGGTTGGACGGAGCTTTGGGGTCAAATTTTGTACTAATTGCTGTACTCTCTCTTTCTCTCTCTCTCTCTCTCTCTCTCTCTCTCTCTCTCTCTCTCTCTCTGTCTCTCTCTCTATCTCTTTCTCTCTCTCTCTCTCTCTCTCTCTCTCTCTCTCTCTCTATTCCTATTTTTAGATGGTCTACGGCGACCGTATCCACATAGTAGGAGACAACTACTACCAGCCGAAGACTGTTTTTGGATTACAGGTGAGTTTAGGCTTCGGTTTGGGCTTAGACTTAGGCTTAGGCTTAGGCTTCGGTTTGGGCTTAGGCTTAGGCTTAGGCTTAGGCTTCGGTTTGGGCTTAGGCTTAGGCTTAGGCTTAGGCTTCGGTTTGGGCTTAGGCTTAGGCTTAGGCTTAGGCTTCGGTTAGGCTTCGGCTTAGGCTTAGGCTTCGGTTTGGGCTTAGGCTTGGGCTTAGGCTTAGGCTTCGGTTTGGGCTTAGGCTTAGGCTTAGGCTTAGGCTTCGGTTTGGGCTTAGGCTTAGGCTTAGGCTTAGGCTTCGGTTTGGGCTTAGGCTTAGGCTTAGGCTTAGGCTTCGGTTAGGCTTCGGCTTAGGCTTCGGTTTGGGCTTAGGCTTAGGCTTAGGCTTAGGCTTCGGTTTGGGCTTAGGCTTAGGCTTAGGCTTAGGCTTCGGTTAGGCTTCGGCTTAGGCTTCGGTTTGGGCTTAGGCTTAGGCTTAGGCTTAGGCTTCGGTTTGGGCTTAGGCTTAGGCTTAGGCTTAGGCTTCGGTTAGGCTTAGGCTTAGGCTTCGGTTTGGGCTTAGGCTTAGGCTTAGGCTTAGGCTTCGGTTAGGCTTCGGCTTAGGCTTCGGTTTGGGCTTAGGCTTAGGCTTAGGCTTAGGCTTCGGTTTGGGCTTAGGCTTAGGCTTAGGCTTAGGCTTCGGTTAGGCTTCGGCTTAGGCTTCGGTTTGGGCTTAGGCTTAGGCTTAGGCTTAGGCTTCGGTTTGGGCTTAGGCTTAGGCTTAGGCTTAGGCTTCGGTTAGGCTTAGGCTTAGGCTTCGGTTTGGGCTTAGGCTTAGGCTTAGGCTTAGGCTTCGGTTTGGGCTTAGGCTTAGGCTTAGGCTTAGGCTTCGGTTAGGCTTAGGCTTAGGCTTCGGTTTGGGCTTAGGCTTAGGCTTAGGCTTAGGCTTCGGTTAGGCTTCGGCTTAGGCTTGGGCATAGCTTTCTCTCGCTAATAGCAAAGAACACACTTTTCCAGGTACTCCAGTGCTGCCTCAACATAATATTAATCTTCTGGATACGGCTATATTTGCGGATCTTGCTCAAATCATCGGTCAGAGCCCCTTTGCAGTCACAGCCCCTTTAAAAACGAATTTACGGTTTTTTCACCTGTTGTTTTACAGGCGTGCCACCCGAATCTATTAGTGCTCCTCTCGGCGCAGCCGTTGATTCACCTCCTAGCCCTCACGGCGCGGAACATCCGCTTTTTGGCGGAAAGCGCGGGGCTTTTGACCGATCGTCTACTCATTGTGCTCAATTTTATCTCGGATATTGGTATGTAGATCATTACTGCCTCCTAAAAGGCCGCTGATAGCCTGCTAGCCTGGCAGTTTTTAGGGGTTTAAAGGTGTTGGGAAGGCAGAAATCCAAAAATTTTGGCATTATTCTGCACGAAAAAACTTTTTTGGACCTTTTTTACGCTGAGAGCTGGAACTCTGGAGTGGATGGATCCTAAAGTAACTTTGCTAGCCTGCCCTCGTTTTTTATAGAGGTTTAGAGGAAACTGGGAAGGCAGAAATCCACGAATTATGACATTTTTCTACCCGAAAAACTTTTTTGGACATTTTATTGAGCACCAGCGCCCAAAACCCGCTTCGCGGGCCTTGGGCGCTGGAATCCGGCTTTTGCATGAGAAATTTGACTTTCCGATAGCTTGGGTCCTTCGGACCCTCCTCCCCCTACCGACCACACGCGCGCGTGCAACTGGGAAGAATGAAGAAACTTCTATTTTTTCACATTATGCAAATTACCCCCAAAAATGAGTAAAACCGGCTTTAACTTTGTAAACGTGTATTTTTTCGCAATTCTGAAAACGCCATCGGAAAGAGGAGGGTCGATTCCCCCAAGTGACGGAGAATCAAAGCGTTTTATACACGGGAAGGCCCTTAAATCGGGTCTCGAAAGTGACATCCACACACACACACAGATATACACCCCAAAATTATATAAGGTAGGATGGATCTAAAATTTTCAATATTTCATTCATTTTATGTCGATTCTAAGGCATTTCTGCTAGCCTGCCGCCCGAGTTTGCTTTTTTAAAGGCACCGAGAAGGCAGAAATCCACAAGAATTCCTACTTTATTACATTTTTCCGAAAATTTCGAACTAAGACTGGCAAAAAATCACGAAATAAAACGTAGGTTTTAACACTGGTTTTAGGCATCTCCGCCACCTGCATCATCGTCCTGGGGTACTGTATCGAGCGCATAATAGCGATGAGGAATATCGAGAGTTATGAGAGGATGTATCGGCCAATACCCTGGCTGGGGTTGGGGATACTATTTAGCTCGGTAAGATGCTCGAAATAATAATATTAAAACGTATTTTTAGCTCCTTTACGCAACAATCCTCTTGACACTGTGGTACGAGCAGATCCTCAAAAGCATGATCGTCTACATCGCCCAGATTGGGCTGTTCTCCTGCTCGGGTTTTGTGAGTTTTGCAGAATTTATCAAACGCGGGTCTGCGCGTCTCCTCAATCTGTCTAGACCTAGTCGCTGGAACCGGTCGATTCAGACGCTTTCAGGTCCCTTTATCGCCCAATTTTTCAGTTTTTCATCGCTATCAAAATCAACGCTGATCGGGCCTATCAGAAAATGGCTAGGCATCGATATTCGAGCGTTAATCAACGGTAAAAAGTCAATTACTAAAATTTGACAAATATACGTTCAGCTACCAAACGGCAATGAACTTCAAGGCCGCACAGCTTTTGTTGTATTTAGCGCCGTACAAATGCTTGTCGTCATTCTTCATTCTCGTCGGTTATGCGTGGGTAGGTAGTTTCCCAAATTTCCTCTGCTAGCCTGCCCCTTCCATTCCCAAATGATCTCTGCTAGCCTGCCCCTTCCATTCCCAAATGATCTCTGCTAGCCTGCCCCTTCCATTCCCAAATGATCTCTGCTAGCCTGCCCCTTCCATTCCCAAAATGATCTCTGCTAGCCTGCCCATTACAGGTCTACGACCGTGTCGAGCCCCAATACGTGCCGCTATGTATCGAGGTTTTCTTCCTCTACAATTATTTGCAGGTAGGCTTTCTAGTGCAGGCCTCAGATTTCTCGAAAAATTAAGAAATTTGGAACAATGTAATACCTCCAGCCAAACAACGCGTGGGAAATTTTGAGAAAATTACACTTTTATTTCTGACAGGAAGCAAATCAGCGGAACAGAAAGTGTGCTTTGGCGCTGCTGCGGTTCTAGGCTTAGGCTTTGGTTTGGGCTTGGGCCCAGGCTTCGGCTTAGGCTTAGACTTCGCTTAGGCTTAGGCTTAGGGTCGAGCTTTGGCTTCGGCTAGGCCTGGAGATGGGCTTAGGAGCGCTCGATTTTATGGCTTGTCCATCTTACCGTAATATTTCATTCCAGGTCTCACTCCAAATCCTGCTCGTCCTCCTCTGCCATTCGACGCTCCGACGCCTTCTCCTCGACGCGTTCGGATTAGGGCGCATTGTAAGGAATTTTTTGTCTTTTAAGAATTCAAAACTCGGAAGTCTCGGTCATTTCAAAGGGATTGAGCGCGAGAGAGAGAGAGAGAGAGAGAGAGAGAGAGAGAGAGAGAGAGAGAGAAAGAGTAGCGATGCGAAAAATTTCAATCCGGTTGACTCAGTGTTTCAAAAGCGCTTCAAAGAACTTTCAAAGACCGGATTAGATTTCGATGAAAACAGGGATTAGCGTCTCAAGATCAAGGAAAGGCATTTTTTAGCTTCTAGCAGATTTAAAGAGGCTAGAACTGCAGTGGATCCCCAAAGAAACTCTGCTCCTTTGTCTCAATCAGCTCAGGCTAGCTTACTTCACCACTTAAAAATGGTTTTAAAGGACCGCGGAACGCAGGGTTGCCTAAAGAAGCATTTCTAGCACCAAAACTATTCTTCTTTTCAGCGCAAACGCAAGATCAGCGACGTCTGCGTACGCTCCATCACGGGGTCCCGGCTGGAATTCCGCTCAAATGCCGCCACTGACCTCTACTTTGCTTCTCTCCAGAAAGCCTGGGAATACTCGGAAAGAAAAGAGCAGCCGGCTGCACCACAGAGTCCGGAAAGCATCCGGAAAGCCAGTGATTTGTATCGAGTAGCGTGAAATAAATGGTTTTGCATTGGAAAAACGCACAGAAAAATCTTCAAAGATCTCTGCTAGCCTGTCCCTTTCATTCCCAAATGATCTCTGCTAGCCTGTCCCTTTCATTCCCAAATGATCTCTGCTAGCCTGCCCCTTCCATTCCCAAATGATCTCTGCTAGCCTGTCCCTTTCATTCCCAAATGATCTCTGCTAGCCTGCCCCTTCCATTCCCAAATGATCTCTGCTAGCCTGCCTCTTCAATTCCCAAAGGATCTCTGCTAGCCAGCCCCTTCCATTCCCAAATGATCTCTGCTAGCCTGTCCCTTTCATTCCCAAATGATCTCTGCTAGCCTACCTTAATCGCTATGATCCAATCCATCTAATTTGTTGCATCTTCCAAAATTGCCGCTATATTTTGGCGGCGTAATTGCTGATGGAGGGCCAGTCTGTGGGAATTCGGCGGCTGATAAGGTGGCCGCGGCGTATATTTTGGAATTTCCCCGAACGCCGGGCCATGCAAAAACTAAAGCTTGCCTTCTGCTTTGCATTAATTTTTGGAGCACGAGCCGCCGGCGAGGATGATCGGGTAAAAATCAAAAATGCAAAATGTGGAAACGTGATTTTGATCTTTTTATTCAACAAAAACAAAATAAATTATTTCCCCTACTTTTTTTGTCTACAACGTTTTTGATTTTTTACAGTAACGTAAAAACTAGCCTACACGAAGTCATGGAGGTTAAAAAAATCGGTCCAATAGATGTTTTGTATGTTTTCAGGTCACCAACCTGCCGGGGATCAACTTCGCGACCAACTATGGCCTGTATTCCGGCTATTTGAATGCGGGGAATAATGGGACGTGGAAGATGCATTATTGGTCCGTTTAAAACTCACATGCCATCAGTTCAAGGGACTTGGAGGGCAAAACCAAGCCGGAAAAACATTTGGCAGATGGCCAAACTTGAGCCAAATCGTCCCAGGACCAAAAAACGATTATTTGTACAAAATTTCAGGCTAATCGAATCGAAATCAAAGCCGGCTAATGACCCCGTGTTGGTCTGGTTCCAGGGAGGTTAGTCTGGGCATTTTAAAGGAACTAGGAATTAGGAGAATCGACCCCTTAGATCGACTAGATCTCGACTGGGCGAAAAAGGTATGATAAATGATGTTTGTGCAGAAATCTCATGGCGCTGAGACGCGTATTTTAGAGCGCCGTGTAGCTGTCGAGACCTAGTCAAGGCAAAGAATTGATTCTCGCGCTTGCTAGTCCCTTTAAAATCATATTGTCCAAATTTAACTGCCGTTTTCAGGCCCCGGCTGCTCCTCCTTCGGTGGCGCCTTCGAGGAGCTCGGCCCGTTCTACATCAACTACGATCAGCAGACGCTCTTTGAGAATAAGTATTCGTGGAATGCGGTGAGTTTCACTTTCTCTCTCTCTCTCTTTCACTCTCTCTCTCTCTCACTCTCTCCATCCCTCTCTCACTCTTTCTATCCTTATCTATCTCTCTCGCTCAATTCCTTCATTTTAGAACGCCAACATCTTATTCCTGGAATCGCCGATCGGGGTCGGCTTCTCCTACGATTCGACGAACCCAGACTATTCTCATGCCGACGACACTCAAACTCAGGAGCAAAACTACCGAGCGCTTGCCGACTTTTTTAGCAAGTAAGAGAGAGAGAGAGAGAGAGAGAGAGAGAGAGAGAGAGAGAGACATCGCGGCGAGTGAGAGAGTGTGAAAATTAGATTCTCCTTTCAGTGTCCAGCCCCGCTTCAAGAACAGCACCTTCTTCCTGTCCGGCGAATCCTACGCTGGGGTGTACATTCCGATGCTCTCCGCGCTCCTTACCACCCAGATCAACGCCAACCAGTTCCCGAACCCAAATTTTGAGGTGGCGAGTTGATATAGACGTTTTAAAGGGACTAGCAAGTAGAAAAATAGGCAAAAGACCGAGCCCGACTCGAATACTTAAAACAAGGCCTTGAAACACCGATTTTTTTAGCACAAATCGGTCCCGCAACGTTTCTGACAAAATGCCCAGATTTGGATAGGTGTCGTTTTGCCTTCCTGGTCCCTTTAAATATGGTTTAAAGCACAAAACCTTCATCGTTTTAGGGAGCCGCGATCGGCAATGGGTTCATGCACGTCCCTCGCCTCTTCAACTCGCTCGTGCTCTGGGCGGTGTACCATGGAAAAGTGGCGCTGAAGTAGGCTTGGAAAACTTAGAAAAGTTGCCTAAGCCCAACCAGCGCGGATTCTACCCTTTCAATGGACTGGGCCTAGACAGCAACGCCACACGCCAAACGACGCATCAGCCGAATATACGAATTTTGCTGCCGCGTCACCTCGTTATAGCTGAAGCTCTAAATAAAAAAAATCGGTTTTTGGTCTCTTTTGGCGCGTCACGTAGTTGTCGAGACCTAGTCGATGGAAGGGGTCGATTTTTGCTCTTTCTGGTCCCTGTAAAACCCGATAATTTTGGCTATTTTCAGCGATTGGGACTACATAAAAGCCAACTGCAAGGGCGACCCAAACGTTGCCCTTTTCGATGTGGACAACTACAACTTTTTCAGCGTCAGTTCTTTGTCGTTTTTTGGCGTCCCTGCCTTGAAAACTAGGTTTTTTAGTACCTAATTTCCACAAATGGCATGGACTTTGTCAGCGACAACTCGAAGTGCGGAAATTATGTATGGAGGATTTTTCAACCTTCTTAACCAGATTTCTAGATTTACAACGCAATTTCGATCCCGGATCCGGATTAGTAAGTTTAGAAATTGTTAATATCACAAAAGAAGGCTAAAAAGGTCTAGAATGACTACAAAGTTTAGAAAAACCTAAAATTCCTTTAGCGTCATTTTATAGCAACGACGCCTACAACTACTATCAGGACTGCTATAACCCGGATTTCTTTGTGAATCCCTTCCCATCAAGTGAAGGTATTCAGCAGCTCCCTAAAAAATTAGCATTTTTTTCAGTCCAAAGCCGACACCCCGCTCTCAAACATCGCATCAAGAAGCGCAGTATCATGAATATGGACTCGGGCGTCAATACGGCGGTTTGTAGCTTGAACCTACACTAAAATGAAGCAAATGAAAAATCACGATCGCTGGATGACTCGAAAATCAAAACCAAGGAGCAGAACCCAAAAAGCAAAAAGAATGCCCCGAACCGGGATCGAACCGGTGACCTTTAGATCTTCAGTCTAACGCTCTCCCAACTGAGCTATCGAGGCAGGTGGGTGGGAGAGGCGCGGGGTGGGTGAAGAGAGTTGGGTCGCGTCCCCCGGCAACCCCCGACGCCAAATTAGGTCTTTTTGAATGTTTTTAGAATACAAGGAAAATCCGTTGTTTTGCCTCGTCTTTTTAGGGTTTTCATTGTTAATTATAGTACCTTAATATAAAGCGTTTTATAGAGTTTTTAGAACGTTTTTAACACGCTTCCAACGATAACCAACATCAAAAAAGATAGCTTTTTATCCAGGTTTTTCAACTGTTCGAAAGCAGTTCTGAAATAAAATGAAATCTGCAAAATCTGAAAAAGAAGTTCTTAAATAAAATGCGTTGATATCCAGCTTTTTATACGCTTTTCAGAACCTCTTCAACTACGACTCGAGCGACAACCAACTCGCCTACCCGTGCTGGAATTGGATCGCCGTCCGGAAATACGCGAACAGGGACGATGTTCAAAAAGTAAATCCGCTTTAAAATGAAACTATCTGTTTTTATACTTTTCAATGAAAATTTGAAGCCTCTAACGTGTTTTCAGGCCCTCCACATTGCCGACGATTGGCGCAAGGCCGGGAACAACGGGCAGAATCGACTTTGGCAAATGTGCAAGTGAGAAATGCTTCCTAAAACTTACAGTTTACAGTTTTTCAGTAGATTTTTTGCTTTGAAAATCTATAATCTTAATTATTTTTAGTAAACCAATGTACGACAGCTATAAAATCGACTTCAACGATCAGCAACCGTTTTTCCATATCGTTTTGAGCACGACAAAGGTGGGAAATCTTATCCTTTTTCTAAAAAAAACGAAAAATGGAAAATCTAAGCGACGTAAACTCCATATCTCCAACTAATGCTTAACAATATACCTAGAAATAGTAAATACAAAGATACCCCTAAATCGCAGTGTTTTCATTTTTTAACACAACGCGACAAAAAAACTAACCCTAAAATGAAGGCCATAGTAAATTAAAACACCCAGGACTATATAAAAAGCGCTAAAACCATCGCTTTTAGAACCCCAACTTCCGCTTCCTCATCTACAACGGCGACATCGACACGGTGTGCAACTTCCTCGGCGATTCGTGGTTCGCGCGGCAAGTTGCGCAAGACAACGGTTTTGACGTTCGTTTTCAAGTCTTCTCTAGCTAGCCAGATTCCCAAAGAATCACCGCTAGCTTGCCCGAATATCCAGGTTTATCTAAATCCAATATTACAACCTTTTCTCCAATAATAACCGCTAGCTCGCCCCAATTTCCAGGCCGAACCGGTGCGCACCGAGTGGACGTACCGGCGACAAACCGCCGGATACGTTCAGCGCTACACGCGTAAGGCAGATCAAGTGAAGATCGATGTCGTTACGGTGAAGGTGAGGTCAATAAATGTATAAAGAAACTTTAGAAAACTATTAACAAACTCGAAAAAACCGATTTTCAGGGAGCTGGCCACATGGTGCCCAACGATCGGCCCGCGCAATCGCTGCAGCTAATGCAGAATTTCATGTTTCCCAATGGGTAAGTCTGGCTAGGGTGGGCGGACATCTGCCCTAAAAGACATCTGCCCTAAAAGACATCTGTCCTAAAAGACACCTGCCCTAAAAGACACGTGCCCTAAAAGTCACCTGTCCTAAAAGTCGTCTGTCCTAAAAATCACCTGTCCTAAAATTTTTTTATACCGTATTTATTTGTCATATCTTTCGTTCAGGACCATTCATCTGTCTTAAAATTCATCTATCCTTTAACATTTTCGTTCCAAAGCACATAATTGGGTGCAATACGGTATAAAAAAAATTTAGGACAGGTGATTTTTAGGACAGACGACTTTTAGGACAGACGGCTTTTAGGACAGGCGACTTTTAGGGCAGGTGTCTGTTAGGACAGATGTCTTTTAGGGCAGGTGTCTTTTAGGACAGGTGTCTTTTAGGGCAGGTGTCTTTTAGGGCAGATGTCCGGCAATCCTGGCTAGAGCTAGCACTTCAAATCAACGGCAACTAGCAGAGATTCTTTAGGATTTGACACGCATTTAGAGCAAACAAAAGCCCAAACTACAATTCCACCGACAACGCAAACCCCACGCCGTCGTTGGCACCATTTTTGGGAACCGGCAGCAACCAACAGACGAGCCAGCAGCCGATTGGCACAACGACGAAAAGCACCTCCTTGATCACATCTTCGCCCTTCTTGGTACTTCTCCTCCTCGTGCTAGCGCTCCGCAATAGGAACTAAACCCTAATAGTAGCTTATTTTTTAACTGTGTGTTATAAAAACATCTCGCAAAAAGCTTCCAGAACGGTAAGCGTATTTTATTCGAACGAAAGCACAGTAAATAAATCAGGAAAACAGTTTCAAGCTATTAAAGTTATTACACCGGAGTCATGCTAGAATTGGCTTACAAAACGAGGAAAACAGTTTCGAGCGATTACAGTTATTACAAGGGATTCATGCTAAAATCGGCTTATAAAAAATGGCAATGGAAGCGGAAATGAATCAGAATTCTATAAAACACGTTAGAAAGCAACAAAACGAAAACAGAGATCAGCAAGTTTCACCTGCAAAATAAACAGAGTCGATATGTATGGCGTCGTCGCGTCTAGATTGTTGGCAAATTCGGAAGGAGGCGGTCTGGCTTGATTAGTCGTTTATCTAAAAGAATGATAATGATCTTTCAGGGTTCTTTCGCGTTATAGGGGGGCGGGGGGCAGAAATTTTTTGTTAGGAACCAGTTTTGAAAATAATAGTGAAGTGTTTCTAAACAGGTTTGTTTATGCTTAAGCGTAATAAATTTGAAAAATTCTATTAAAAATACAAAAATTATCGTTTTCTTCGAGAAAATTTTTTACTTTTTGAGCAAACCTCGACCTTTTGAAAACGTTTTTCACGGCTTTTAGAAAATTTTTTTAGTCAAAATATAGTTTTCGTTTACTAAAAACATTGTTAAAAACTGTCTATTACCAGGCTTTGTCGTTACCCGGTTTCTAGATTATCATAAAAATTTGTTCCCCCCCTTCCCCCGATAATGCGAAAGAACCATCTTTCGAAACACGACCCACTTCTTATTATCTGATTCGGCGGATTCGGAGGGTGTCAGGGACATCAGCTGCAAGCATATCCGGTTCAGTCTTATTCGCTGCTCAGCGGTGAATCGGGTCGCTTCCAGCGTCACGACATGCCCGGTCTTTGCGACGGTAAAGACCGTCTTTTTCTTATCTTCCGCGTGGCTTTCGGTCTTGTCGGATGCGGAAGATCTAAAGAAAACCATTGCGTTTTTTTTAATAACGCCGTACTTCCGCTCTTCGCCGTCGCTGTCACTGGTCGGATCTTCGGAAAACGAGGGGAAGGCCAGGCCCGGGCCCGCGCGATGCAATTCTCTAAAAAAGTAAAGATCGAGGTAAGAAAGATAAAAATTACTCTGTAATAATCTGCCGTTCCTGCAGCCATAGTTCATTTATCTTCTTGTCGATGCAGCGCAGGCGCAGCCGGAGACCGTCGCATTTTCTTTTCTGTAAAAAGACTTTTAGGTTGGAAGAAAAAGCTTACCCGCGACTCCCGCTCGACGGGCCCCATCAAAATGGGCGCTGACGGCCGGGGTTTGGGCTGCAAACTTGACATTGATTTAAAAAAAAAACGTAAAGAACAAAAAAGGACCAAGGACGAAAATCCATTGGCCAGCGAAATTTTTTTGCATTAATCTAGATATGCCTAGTAACTTTTTCTAATGTTTTTCGTAGAATAAAACCATCTTTTCTAAAAAAAAACCATCTAAAAACCGGCAAATTTGTTAAAAATCGAAATTTTGGTAACAAAAGCCATGCTGAGTCGAAATAGCTATATTTTTTGTATTTTTTAATAGTACAGTGTTGTAACGTTATGTTTAGGGACAGTAAAAAAACAGTTTAGAAACACTTCTGCTATTTATATTTAAAAAATTGTTCCTAAAAAATGTGTTCCCCTCGATAGTGGAAAAGAGCCGTTATTTCTTCTGACATTTTTAGATCCATCTGGGAAAATATTTTCTAGGGCTGCTGAATTTTAAAAGCATTTTTGGCGTTGGCGGAAACGCCACCCGGCACAGCGAGATTAGAACTGACACAATTTTGACAGATTGACGTTTTGACACAATCGCGAATAGAAGAATGCAGGAGAAGGCTCCCGTTGCGAATATTGGCGCAAGCTCACGAGTCATAACAACCGTCAAGTGAATCATTTATCGATCAACAGGAGCATGGAGAAAGACGGAAATTGAGGGGAAAGACACGTGAAACAATAACAACAAGTAAATTGATGACTAGTAACTGGGGGTTTTAGCAGCTAATCTGTAAGATGGCTTGGCTCATCGCTGTTCTCGTCGTTGGAGAGGAACGAGTTCTCCGGGACAACGGGCCGCGAGTAGCCGCGCAGCGAGAGCAGCTTGTTCTCCACGATGCAATCTAAAAATTAGGAGAATTTTGGTATTTTGGAGGTAGTTTTATTTTACTACCAACATTATGAAAATCATTTCTATTAAGTTGCTAGGTATTGCTATATTAATAAAAAAAATCTCCCCCCCCCGGTAATGCGAAAGAGCCGGAATTTTTGGAAAAAGCGTTACCGAGTATGTATTTCTCGGTGACCAGCGAGACGACGATTTGGGTGCTGAAGGGCGGGACCGGATGCGCGACGTCTTCCGGGCAGACGATCATCATGGCACCGTCGACGGAGGAGACCAGCTGAAAGAAGAATGTCAATTGATAAATCAAATTTACGTTTTCAGGACTTGGTTCTTCGTATTACCAGGGGAAAAAAAAATTTCTATTAATCTCGAAATGTCTAGTAAGTTAATAGGAAGAGTTTTCATCAGGTTTTAGTAAAAGAAAAGTATAGGTTAATTAGAAAAACTATCTAAAAACTACTTTGAAAAATTTTTCAAAGCCGGAATTGATCAAAAAACAGCCATTTTCGGTCGGAAAATCAATATATTTGTATTTTCTCATAAAAATTTGTAAAATTTTTACGTCTAGGAATAGTAAAAAAACAGTTCAGAAACAATTTTCTCCCCCCCCTGCCCCCGATAATGCGCAAGAACGCAGTACTCACACTCCCGCCCGATCTCGCGACAATGGTCTTCATGTGGGTGGCGGCCGGCTTGTTGCAGCCCTTATCGATGTAGATGCCTCCGAGCGGTCGGAACAGCTCGCAGACGCCGTTGCGCGTACGTGACTTTCGGGCCTAAAAAAGGGTCAAAAACGCGAGCCAAATAGCTACCGTAGCCAGATCTGCCCACTGCTCGTATTCGTACTTATGGTAGGAAAGCGGGCGCCCGGCGTCTGCCGAATCTATCAGCCACTGCGGGGTGACGATCGGGAGCTCGTAGACGACGGCCAGGAAGACTTGAAGGGTACGATCGCCATGCCCGGAGACTACGCATCTAAAAATACGTTTACTACGTTTGAGGAGATAGGATGAGAGAGAGAGAGTGAGAGAGAGGGAGAGAGAGAGAGAGAGAGAGCGAACGCCAGAAAAAGACCTCGTTTCCTCGTTCGGCTGCTTCACCGCCTCAAGCCCGAGGTCTTCGAGCAGTTCGCGTAGACGCGCCTCTTCGCTGAAAAAGGCTGAATTAGGCCAAAAAACCAGAAGAATCCGACCTCCTCGTGGGAATCTGGGTCAGCGACACCTTCTTCGAGGCGTAGCGCGACGTTCTTGGGTGCGCAAACTCGTCGGAGGACGGCGTGGCAAGCACGCGGTTTAGGAACGAGCTGGCGGTATCTAAGGAAGCAAAAGTCAGAGTTTTCTCGGTCCTTTAGCATTATCGGGGGGGGGGGGAAGCAAATTTTTTGGAACAATCTAGAAATGCCCCGTAGCTTTATTAGAAGCATTTTCATAATGTTCTAGTAAAAGAAAACTTGATGTTAACTAGAAAAACTATCTAAAAACCTTGAAAAAAGTTTTTAAAGGCGAGATTTCGTCAAAAACGTACATTTTTGGCCGAAAAACCGTATTCTCCGTATTTTTACCTCCAGGGATAGTAAAAAAACCGTTTAGAAGCACTTCCGCTATTTATATTTTAAAAAATCAGAAAATAAAAGAAAAGAATAAAAAAGCAATAAAGAAAAGAAAAAAAGAAAATATCTGCCCCTCCCCCCGATAATGCGAAAGAACCGTTCTCTCTATCAAGCTTACCAACGATCGGCGTGCGCGGCTCGCCACGGAACCGAGAACCGGAAGGCGTTCGGTGTTGGCTGGAGCGGGGCGGGCCGCGGTATCGTAGTCGCTAGAAACGTTAAAGTATCACGTTAAGCCAGAAAATCTACCCTCTGTGTCCGGACAAAGCTCTTGCGCGCCGGGTCGATCGTCGAATTCTGGGAGCCGTCGTCGATCTCCATCACCGAGACGGCCTGCGAGAGCCGGCTCACCGGACTCGGCGCCTTCCTCGCCCTCGCCTTCTTCGTGATCCGCTTCCGAGTCTGCGTCAGCTGGGTTCGCGACTTGGGCTTGGGCTTTGCCTTCTTTAGCTTCACCGGAAGTGGCAGGCAGTTGACGACGGCCAATTCATCTGAAATTTCGGATTTTCAGAAAAATTGAGGTCATCTACCAAGATTCTCTCGCTGCTTCAATGCGGCCAGGGAATCGGGGGCGCGGTGCTGCAGGGAGAAGCCGCCCATCGAACGTCGGCGTAGAATCTAGATCTTGATTTTTCGATTTACACCGCGCTTCACCTTTCTCTGCTCAAAAATCGTGCCAATCTTCGCGGCCTGGCCGGCTTCGATTGGCCGTCGCGTTTTCGAGCGTGGCTTCGAGAATCTGGGGGCAGACGGGCCTAAAACAGAAATTTTTTTCCTTTTAGCACCTTAAAACCTGGCTGTTGCGTGGATTGTTGCGTAGGCGCCGGTGGTAGATCATCTTGAAACCCATCCGCATCCGCTCCAAACGAATCCTGCGGGCTCGGGGCGTACTGGGCCAACAGCCCTCCCGACATGCAGCGCGCGCCGTGGCCGGTGGAGTCTGAAAACTGAAATTTTATGCCAAACGTTATTCTCGGTGCTTTCGCATTATCGGGGCGGGGGGTAAACTTTTTTTCATGTTCATAGAAATATCTAGTACTATATTTAAACTAGAAAACGCCCAAAACTCTAAAAACTTTAAAAAGTCCAATTTTGGTCAAAAACGTCAAATCAAATTACGATCATTTTGCCGAAAAATCTATGTTTTTGATACTTTTTTAACAAAAATTTGTAAAGATTTCATGCTTCAGATAGTAAAAAACCGCCTCGAAACACGTTCACTATTTATATTTGAAAAATTTTTATTCTATGAAATACATTTGGTAAAAAATCAAATGAAGATTTCCCGTTTTGCAGCGTTTTAGAGCCTCTCTCCCCTCCAAAAACGCACCACATCGCATCAGCTGGTCGAGACGCTCCTGGAAGTTCATCTTGTTCAAGTACTGCAGCAGCTGGTTGGTGGTGACCGGATGGTCGAGGCTGGTGTCGGTTCGGGACGTCTAGAAAAATCGTGACGTTTTGAGGAGGCCAAAACCTGATCAAAAATCCGTTGCAATTCGCTGGCGGCAGAGCTGCGGCGTGCCACGTCTTTCGGAGGGGCGAAGGATCTAAAAATTAAATTGGGCGAAAATTCCGAAATAATACCCTCGACGTTCAGCTTCAACAGAACCAGAAGAGATCACGATGACGTCGTCGTCGTCATCGTCGGCTTCACTGAAAAAATCACAAATAGAAAAATTAAAAAAAACCTATTTGCGTTACTAATGTTATTTACAGGGTGTCCCAAAAAAACGACCCATCTGGCGTTTCGCCGTGTTACATCCAATCGGCTCCAAATTTGGATGAGAGGTGTATCAGACCCTAAATAACAACAATCCTGACTTTTAGCCCCGTAGCTACAGTTGTTCTCGAGTTATAACGAAAATACTGTTTTTGACGCAATTCTGAACAGTTTTTTCGGCTATCTTTTTGGACTTTGCATCGATTTGCATCCACTTCCGGCTCCGAATCCCTAATTTCGCTTAAGAACCTGGGTAATTTTGTGTTGTAAAAATTGCTTAATTCGACGATTATTTGATTAATTCTGGTCCGGAAAAAATTTCTTCAGGTAAAGAAGGTCTACCGAATAATTTTCACTTAATGTCTAGGGGGTCCAACTCCGCGGAAACCCTATGAAAAAATGGAAAATAAAGTTTATTTGCGTTATAACTTTAAAACTACTGTAGCTATAGGGCTATAATTCAGGATTGTTGTTATTTGGGGTATGATACACCTCTGGTCCAAATTTGGGGCCGGTTGGATGTAACACGGCGAAATGCCAGATGGGTCGTTTTTTTTGGGACACCCTGTATATTCTAACGTATTTTTACAACTCGCGGCATCAACAATTTATTTTGAACGCAATCTAATACGCTGCTTTTCGACTTTTTAATAAATTCGAAAGCTCACCGTTGATTCGTGAATCGGCTGGCCTCCGCCACCTCGTCGGCCATCACTTTCTTGATCGAATACGTATCCGGGCTCAGCTTCTCCATCAGTTCGGCACAACTAAAGCTTTCTATATTGATTGTATAAATAATAAATAAATAATTCTTTTAAATATTTAAATTGTTTCAATATTTTACTGAGCAAAAATTTTTTAAATTTTTACCTCTCCAGCCAGCTCGGCGCGACGATTTCCGGCGTCTCATCGTAAGCTATAGCCTCGGCGAGGACCCAAAAACTTAGTAATTTATTAAACACCAGCAAAATTTACCTTATTATCACCACCGCATCCAAAAATCACGTGCGTCACTGCCGTATCCAACGCGTTCGTTACAGTAGCACCTGAAAAATCAATTTAATACATACTTTGCTTCTTGGGCATTATCGGGGGGGGGAGAAACTTTTTCACGAATTTAATTATAATCAGGAGAAACAAAAAGTGTTGTAACGATCACAAAAATACCAAATTTACGTGCCGAAAATAGCCGATTTTCGACCAAAATTCAACTCAAAAAATTTTCCACGTTTTCTTTAATGATTTGGGACTTAAAATATAGCTAAAGTTCACTAAAAACAATAATAAAAGACTTACAATACCGTTACTAGGCATTTCTGAACTTATAAGAAAAAGTTGATCCCCCGATAATGCCAAAGAACCCTTTGAGCTCGCTAAATTTTCCTATACGAAAATAATAACATCCAAATTTCTCCGATAGCGTTTTAGAACTTTTTTAGATATCAAAAGTTCATAAAGAATTATTACAATTTTCCAAATCCTTAAGATCGTCAACATTTTCATTCGATATTCTAAGTGATACCTATATTCCGGGCCAACAGCCGCAATTTCGTCGCGTACTCCGTGCAGCACTTGATTTCGACGAGAATTCGACAGCCTAAAATTCAAATTGGACACGTAATAAAAAATAGTTTTTCACCTTTCAGGACAAAAGAGCGGCACTGCGTCTGCTGCGACACTTTGAGCAAATCGATGCGCACGGATGAGGCGGCATTTTGTTGGCAGGGATTCTCGGCGGGGAGCAGGTCTTCGACCTAAAAAAGTTTATGGTTGTAGGTTTGTAATAAATTTTCTTACATCAGAAAACACGTTCTCAAACGCCTTGTCGCTGGAGGTGATGAAGACGTCGCTGTACCTGGCAAAGTGAAAGTTATATCTAGAAAGCAACACTATATGAGGTGTTCTAGATAAAAGTTTTAACGCTAACAATCAATTTAAGAAATAAAAACCGCAATAAAATCTCAAGAAAAAACGGTTTTTGGGAATTCGCGAGGCAACCAACTTTTTTTCAGCGCAAGCATAGGTTTTTCAAAATAGTTGATGTATCTGTAGCCTGTTTTTAAATAGCTCGCATGAAACTCTGAAACTTGCATTAAAAATCGAATTTTAGGGAGAAAATTATCTTTTTCGAGCCAAACTTATCAAAATTTCACTTTTTCAATTTTTTCTAATCAAAGAACTCATTCAAACTTTTTCAAACAATTTTGTAACTTTTTCCAAAGTTTTTTAGTTCAAATGAAGCTAAAGCTTACTAAAAACAATATTAAAGAAAACTCTAAATCCTAAAGAGCCAAATCCGATACCTTTTTTGTTTCCCGCTGCTCTCCTCCTCCATCGACGAGTCGATTTGCCAAAGATTTCCCGACTTTCGGATTTGACGACTAAAAAAAAAAAGATTTTTCGAGCGCTAAAAATATCTACCTGGCCGTAAAATTGAAGCCCGACGACATGCGATCACAAAACGGCAGCGTTTTCTCTGAAACAAAAAAAAAATACATAATTTTAGGCCCTAGATACCTGGAGCGCGGCTGGTACTTGGCCTCGGAGAGCCCATCGAGTCCGAAGACTGGCGGGAAGAGTTGGAAATCTCGGCAAAGACGTCCGTGATCTCGAAACGGCTAGGACGAGTTGTCTAAAAAATATTAAAACCTAATTTGAGCTTGGTTAAATCTACTTTAATATAAAGATTAGCTCAGCGTAAAAAGGCTACCTGCTTCTCCTCGCCCTCCAAATCGTACGTCGTCCGCCTCGCCGAATCGGAATCGTCAGAAACTATCGACTTTTGGCTCGATTTTTCGATGTACCTAAAAAAATCGATAGGTTCTTTTGAATTAGGGGGGGCTTTTTTCCCCACAAGTCAAGAAATGCCAGTGTTTCGGTGCAAATCAACTATATCTTCAGGCGGAAAGAAACAATAAAAAAATGTAGAAAATAAGAGTTTTTATTCTTGTTTTTCAGACAATTTCCATACGAATTATACGACGCAAAACATTTTGATGACTACCAAAAAAGGAGGTTTTCCTTCGATAATGCGGAATAACCAAATCCTACATTGATTCCGCATTGTAATTCCAACCTGTCCTCCGGCGTTTCATTTTCAATGTTAGCCCGCCGCAACTCGTCGGCCTCCCTCTGTTTCGCCAGCTCTTCTATAAACGACGACTCGTCGAGGAAATCGACAATTCGGCAGTCAGAATCGTCGGAATCCGGCCTAAAAGTGTATATTTTTCCAGCAACAAAACTCTGTCTTACAGAATACTGCTAATATCCAATGGCGGAAAGTCGGTCCCAATGCGCGGGACGCTCACCCGTTTCCCTGATGGGAGTTTTCGAGACATCCGAGGGGAAGTGCCTGGAAAAAGTGTTATAATAGCTTGGTAAAAGCATAAAGGGTATTTGCAGTAGCTCCAACAGAGAAAAAAAATAAAATGCAGCGACGAGCCTCTGGCTGCCCTCGGCAACTGACGTGTTTAGACAGGATCCCAGGCACAGAGAAGCCCCAAAAGACCTCGTGGCCTTGCCAATTGGCGGGACAAAATTTGTGAAGCCAAAAAGTATTAGACTTTTAGAGACAGACATAAATAAGTTTCTTTTGTTGTAAAAGTTTTCTGAATTTTAAATTGAGAATCGATTACGACTGGCTAATTGGCGTGGTTTGTATCGTTGCGTAGCGCCATGTACCGCAAATTGTCTGAAGACGTACTTGAAAAACTAGATTTTGTTTGCGAAAATCCAAAAATAAAAAATGATTAAAAACATGGAATGATCCAGAGCAAGCACCTTTTTATAAGGGTCGAATTTTCCTAATACTAGCCGGAGAGCTTCTAAACGGTTTTTTACGTTTTCCAAACGTAAAAACTTCACAAACATTTTTGAAAATTACAAAAAATCCGCTGTTTCGACCAAAAATTCAACTAAAAAACTTGTTTAGGTCGCGATGATTTTAGGAAGTGATCGTGGCTGCCCTGCAAAGTGCTCGATTTTATCTCTAGCGCCCGATACCATCGCAGGTCGCGTTGCCTTCAAATGTCGAAAAGCATAGTTTCGAAATTTAGGATGTCGAAAGTTCAGCATGTCGAAATTCAAAATTTCGACGTGCCCCGGGTTTACATGAACAAATCCTCCGGGAACCCCCCCCCCCACTCCAAATACCGAAAATCGATGTTATGAAATTCCGACAGCCTCAATTTCGACATCCTGGATTGCGACGTTATGAATTTCGACATTATGAGTTTCGACATTATGAAGTTTCGAATTTGTGAATTTCGGCATTGAAAATTTCGGCATTATAATAGCAATTCCGACAGGTATCAGAGTCCCCCGGACTTCGCCTACTCATCAACCAAAACCTAATCCGCACTTTTTCTTCAACGATGATACATCCGATTCGAGTGGGAGTTTGGTGGAAACCTTTTGCAAGCCACCTATTGTCACCGGTGGCTTTTACGGTGGGTCTCCGCGAGGCGGGGCAAACACGGAAAACGGGGCATTTCAGCCATTCCTCGGCCACGCGCGGGCCCTAGCCGATTCTTGAATTGTCCTGAAAAATTCTAGGATTGATTCTAGGCACGCCATGCTCAAATTTCTAGTTCTAGTTCCAATTTTCGCGGTTGTAAATTGCGCCGATGTGCGCGCACAATGCGCCCAGTGCGCCAGCCCCATGCTAAAAGGTTTTTTTGGCTAGAATTTAGCGAAAATCTTTCGAATTTAGCAAATTGGCACGTCACTGGGCTGCCAACTTATGACGAGGACATGTTGTTTAATGATATGTAGGTTTTTAGACTTTTTTTAGAGCTTGGAAGAATATTATTAAACTAGGAAAGCTGTTCTAAAGTTAGGTGGCGGATTCTAAAACGAATTAAACCATTCTACAGTTATTCCAAACGTTAGAATCCAGGGGAAAACTATTAAAAAACCCAAATAACGTTAGAACTATTGACTTTTTTAAGCTGTTATCACGTGGAAGCGCCGCGAATGGAAAAATCATGTGGCGGGCTATGCATGGAGATGACGTTTCCATTGAGTGAGCTTTTACAGTGTTACAGCTTACAGGCATCAAAGCTTACTTTAAAGTTTTAAACGCGCCTAACAAGTTTTAACACTTAAACGTTAGACTTAAAGGGCTGGTTCAACTTTTAGAGCTTGGGCTGGTACCTTTGGACACCATGGACGTAGGGACAATGCGCCCGAACAGTCCCCCATTACGGCAGCTATTAGAGATTGGGGAAAAGGGAGAGGCGCAGACACAAAAACGCAGAGTTCGACTCCTGACCGCGGAAATTCTTTTGTTTTATTGGCTGAACTAGCCCTTTAAGAGGGTTAGACGCGTTTACAGCTTTAAAAAGTAAGCTTTGATACCTTAATAAGGAGAGAGTCAGAACTTTAACTTTAGACAACATCGTCCAAATCGTGCGCGGCTGCTACGAGGACTTTTTCAGCGGCGTGGCGCCGACCGTGGCTGAGGGGTAGAAGCTAAATTATTAGATGAAGCGTAAAGCGGATTCAGATGCGAATTCAGCATCGGCAATGCGACGACAGCCCTGCAATTCAGCACCATCGAGACGCCGATCGTCAGTTTCTAGCGTGATTCTAATTTCAGACATTTCAGACGAGCGCCAGCTTTTGCGACTGGAAAACGGGGGCGAATGGGGGGCTGCCCTGCAATGTTCGGGTAAGCATTTTGCGCTAATGTTCTTTCGCATTGTCGGGGGGGGCGAAGGTTTTTGTAAAAGTCTAGAAATGTTTAGTAAAAATAGGAAGCCAGCGAAATTTTTGAAACAGTCGACGTCAAAAATCGGCCATTTTTGATAGAAAAATCGGTATTTTTTTATCTCTTTGAATAAAAAAGGGTGAAATCTTTAGATTTCGGAATAGTAAAAAAACCGTTTAGAAACACTTCCACGTTTATATTTGCGAAATTGATTCTTAAGAAAAATAAAGCTTTTTTTTCTAATTTTAGTACTACACCGGCTACCAGCCGGGTGAAGTGCGGACGCTTGGTGGGGATCGTGCGATGACACAGGCCATCTGTGAGAAGGAGGTCCGCGGAACAGGTAAGTCAGACTTTTGGGGTTTTCCTGGGATTTATAGCTACAAAAAAATACAAAAACAAAAACTCTACATTTCTCTAAATACCAAAAGATAGAAAATTACGCTCAGGGGTCACTTGCAAGTCATGCGTGAAGATCGGCGCCAATGGGGAGTGCTCTGGGAAGACGAGCTCGACTTGTACCGAGGGGAGATACTGTGTGAAAATCAAGGGGACGGCTGGCAGTGAGTTTTACTAGGCCCTTCCTTCTCACTCTCTCTGTGTTTCTCTCTCTCTTTCTCGCTCTCTCTCTCTCTCTCTCTCTCTCTCTCTATCTCTCTCTCGCTCTCTTTCTCTAGCTTCAACATCTTCAGAAACCCAAGTCGAGATGCGAGGTTGCTCCGCAGTATCTCCTTACCCTAAATCCGGCTCCTATTGCACCCGGATCAGCTCCGAGATGACGGACAACGTCTTCATGGGGGTGCTAAAGGGGTTTGAGACGATGAATGGTAAGCTGACTTGCCTCTAAAACCGCTAGAATGGACACGTAATCCGATTAGCGCCTCAAAGAACGGGGGTGCTTCTCTGTTAACGGGGGGGGGGGGGTACCATTTTTCTCCTAGTAATTTGGTACGGCGCGATACCGAGACATAAACGAATTTTATGCCATTTTCCATAGTTCTTAGAAATAGAAAAATTCATAAACAAATTTATCAAAAGTTTTTGAAGACTTTGTAGCAATTAATGCTACTGAGAATCGTACAGAAATACGCGATTTTGTTATTAGTAGGCACGCGGAAGGGTAAAAATTAGTTTTCTACGTTAAAAATAGGCTCCCCCACCGTTAAAACGGAAGAGCCAGAACTGGCGATCTAGCCCCTTTTTTAATTGTATCTACTTTATTAAAAACCTCTATTTCTAGCGGACATCTGCATCTGCAACGATGGCGACAACTGTAACGCAGCATCGGAAGTCACCTACCTGCTGATCCCCATGTTTTTTGCCCAGATCTCATTGTTCGTTTTCGGTTTTTAAAGCTCGCCCCGATCACGGGGGTTTGTGTCTATCTGCACCGGACCCAAGATTTCGTTTGCGATGCTCTGTTTGGTCTCAATAAAGTTCGCCACCTCATCCGGCACTCGACCCACGGTGTGCGTCACGACAGTCATACGGTATCGGCACTCGGATTACAGAAAAAAATTACTTGCGTGAAGATGGTCTATAAGATCTTACGAAAAAGCTCGCCTAAATCCGGTTTATCTAAATCCGGTTTAGTCATAAAAGAGCTTAGGCTCAGGCCTAACCTTAGGCTTAAGCTTAGGCTTCGGCTTGGGTTTAGGCTTAGGTTTAGGCTTAGGGTTAGGTTTAGGTTTAGGCTTAGGCTTCGGCTTAGGCGTAGCTTGGGTTTGGGTTTGGCTTAGGCTTAGGCTTCGGCTTAGGCTTAGGCTTAGGCTTAGGCGTCGGCTTAGGCGTAGCTTGGGTTTCGGTTTGGCTTAGGCTTAGGCTTAGGCTTAGGCTTGGGCTTAGGCTTGGACTTAGGCTTAGGCTTAGGCTTAGGCTTGGGCTTAGGTTAGGCTTAGGCTTAGGCTTAGGCTTAGGCTTGGACTTAGGCTTCGGCTTAGGCTTAGGCTTAGGCTTAGGCTTAGGCTTAGGCTTAGGCTTAGGCTTAGGCTTGGGTTTGGCGTTAGGCTCAGGCTTAGGCATATAGTTAATTTTTAAAGGAAAATCCCGTTAATACGACTTTTTGTATCAAAAACAAAAGTATCCTATGCTTTTACGAGTTTTCTAATGTCTCTGAAATGTTTGTCTCAACGTTGACTCATCGAAGCGAATCTCGGCGCAATTTCAAAAATATCCAAAAACCTGTAGACAATCGGAACCCTCTGGTTTGTCTTTTCTTCAAAATCACATCCGATTTCCGATTCGGGCCGGTCGAAGATGTGATACGGAAATTCCAAAATTTTCAACAGACTCACCCCCACTCAACACAGGGCAGTCATAAAATTTGAAGAAGAAGAAGAAGAAGGAGAAGAAGTGGTGGGTGAATCAGAGAAGACAGAGGGCCGCCCTCAGCCCCCTCTGAGGATTTTACGGCCTTCCGCCCCATCGTCCGTATATAGAGGGAATTGGTGGGTAAACACAACAGTCACAACCAGATCTTCACTATTCTACCATAACCCTCCGGGGTCGTCTAAATTCATCTTTCCCTCGTTTTCAGACTCTAAATTAAAACAACTAACCTTAAATCAGGGTTTCTTGGGGATCCAATTACGACGTGAAATTCACTGACCCGAGTTTAGCTTCACTGTCCCTTTAAAACACCGTTTCATTGCAGAATTCCTCCTTTGAATGTTCTACCGTAACCTGAAGTCCTATCCTAGTTTTTATTTTCATGAATTCACTTTTTTACAATTTTACTCTCATTGGGATCCGATTACGACGTGAAATTCATGGCCAGACCTATATAAATCTTCACTTTCTCGTTAAAATTTGTTATAAAAACGCCGAAATTTCACTATTCTACGATAACCCCCGCAGCGCCATTGAAATAATTTTTGGCATCTCTTTAGCGCTTTTATCGTTTTCGTCAAATCTGGCTCTTCTAAACAAAAGTCCGTTTTTTTGGGTGTAGGTTTTTATACGGTATCTTCGGTCGTTCGGTAGTTTCTTTGCATTCACATACTCGTGATCGTACTTATGATGTAAAATTAGGGTCTGTTTTTGTCTTCACTATTCTTTTAAAAGATCCATTTAAAGGCCTGGAAGGCGCTAGTCTTCCCCTCCTGTCTACTAGGTCTCGACAGCTACGCGACACGCCAAAATACGCGTACAGGCACATTGAGATCTTTTCTCAGGCATCTGTCCCGAGGAGCTACCAAAACGAAACTCGCGCGTTTTTTGGCGTGCCATGTAGATGTCTAGACCTAGTCGATGCGAGGGGGTCGATTCTGGCGTTTCTGGGTTTTTGACCGTTACAAAACTGGTTGAAAATCAAGTTGTTTTAGCAAAAAAAAAATGCTACGACTTGGCATCTTCGCCGCCTTCGCTTTTACAACGACGGTTTCGGCGGTAGCGCCGATATACTGTAACCAGTGCGCGACGACGGCATTGCGGGGTGAGTAGAAGCGGATAAGCCTAAGCCTAAGCCTAAGCCGAAGCCTAAGCCTAAACCTAAACCTAAGCCTTAGCCTAAGCATAAGCCGAAGCATAAGCCTCAACAAACTTTTACTTGTCCACGTTATCCACGTTTTCAGATCGATGGTACGTCACCGGATTGCCGAACTATCCGACGTCGCTGAGCTTCACCGACGAGTGGGTGGACTCAAAAAACTCTCTCTCCCGCTCGATGTCTCTCTCGCTCTCTCTCCCACTCTCTCTCTCTCTCTCTCTCTCTCTCTCTTTCTCTCTCTCTACCCAAACGAATCCTTCAGATGCATGTACAACAACGAGGATTTCACCTCGGGCAATTCCAGCAGGGCCTCATGTCCGACATGCTTCGAGCTGACATTTCCTCTAGGTATTTTTTGCTTGAAGAGTAGAATTATTGCATTTTGTACTAGATAAAAATGGTATTTAGTGCTCTTAATCCTGGACTAATTTTTAGATGGAGCCCAACAGATGGTGCGTGGGTGTTGGCGCGACTTCCTGGTCGGCTATGAGGATCTGACGACCGTCGCGAATGACAGGTAGTCGAAAAACTTATTTTAGCTGATTTGTGAGGCGTAATAACTTAGGAAAGCTATCCAAAAATCTTGAATTTTTTCAAAAAGTCGAAGTTTTTGTCAAAAACGGCTTTTGATCGCAAAATCGATAAATTTTGTGTATTTTTTTTGAGAAAAATGTGAAGTTTTGCCGTACAGACATTGTAAAAAAGTTTAAAAATACCAAAAAAATCCTAAATCCTAAAAAAAGATCCTAAAAAAGTAGGCTTCCCCTCCGCAAACCGCCTAGCCCCCCCCCCCCATAATGCCAAAGTTCCGCGCTTGAGTCGAGGCTATAAAAAATATAAAAATGTTTTATTTTTCGGTTTCCTCTCCCGTCGAATCCAGCTCCCCCCCGCTAACAGACCAGTACCGAGTGCTCTAGGTGCGAATACTCGAGCGCGGCAACGAATGACGGGGTGGCGGTGACGATCGGCCCGACCAAGGTCACCACCACCACACCGATGGTAGCGCATTTTTTACGTGTTTACACGTTTTCCATCTTTTTATGTTATTACACACTGCCTCCTAGACCGTGTTCTACACGTGCCTGGCCGGAAAGGCCGACGGGAACCCGAACTACCCGTGCAACAGCATGTTCGGCATCAGCCAGACGGGGGGGAACTACGGGCCGCTGACGGGCGAGGCGGATAAGGCAAGCCAGGCTCAAGTTTTTCACTGTTTCCGACAATTTTTTTACGGCGCTATTAAGGAAATACCATTTTTCTACCATTTTACATAGTGTTTAGATCCAAAAAGCTCATAAAAAAACCACAATTGTCGCAAATTTTCGATTTTTTTGGTCAAAAATGCATGAAAAATAACCAAAAAAGGTCAAAATTTTCGTATTGGAAAATTCTTTAAAAATGTTTTGTCACTTTCTAACGATCTCCTATAATTTCGCCTAAAACCACTTCGCCTAAACCCGTTTCGCATAAACCCATATCGCCTAAAACCCATATCGCCTAAAACCCGTTTCGCCTAAAACCCATTTCGCCTAAATCACGTTTCGCCTAATACCCATTTCGCCTAAACCCATTTCGCCAAAATTTTTGGCCATTTTCAATGCTGTATTTTTGACCGATTTTCGATCTTTTTTGTCGAAAATTCAACTATGAAAATGGCCAAAACTTTAGGCGAAAGGGGTTTTAGGCGAAACGGGATTTAGGCGAAACGGGGTTTAGGCGAAACGGGTTTTAGGCGAAACGGGTTTTAGGCGAAACGGGTTTTAGGCGAAACGGGTTTTAGGCGATATGGGTTTGGCGATATGGGTTTAGGCGAAGTGACCGGAATTCTAATTTAAGATGACCTGCACGCCGGCAAAGGAGATCGCGACCGGCAAGGAGTGCTACTCGTGCAGCCACTTCGGGAATGAGGGCAGTTGCCCCAGGAAGTCGAAGACCACCTGCAGGGTCGGAGCCTTCTGCACAAAGTTGCAGGGCAAGCTGGGGAGTAGGTTTTACGCGATTTAAAAACTACTTCGCGACTACAAAGGAATCTATTAGATTATTACTTAGTCATTTTTTTCTCAGGGTTCAATTTTTTACAACATAATTATAGAAAGTTTTTCCAGAGTTCTTTGTCTTTTTTGGAGACTTTTTCTACACTCCTAACCGGAAAAACGTTAAAATTTGTGATGAAAAAAACAAAAAAAACCCCAATTTTTTTTGACCAAAAATGCTAATTTTTCACAAAAATCTCCGCAACAAAATTCTCCGAGTTTTTTAAAATTGTTTTGCCAGTTTAATCATAGTTGAATTTTACTAAAACACGATTAAAGTATTCAAAATTACGCTGCTATGCATTTCTGGATGCACAGGAAAAAATTCCGCCCCCCCCGATACTGCGAAAGCACCATCAATTAACCCTTGCAGAGAACGACATCGTGATCCGCGGATGCGCCGCCCTGAACCCGTTCTCCGGCTCGGACGCGAACAAAGACACGTGCATCGGCGTCGAAGGACAGTTCAGCTTGCCCGGGCTGTACGCGAGTGGCCCGAAATACACGTTCCACAGTAAGTTCATGGTTTTCAGGCTACTAAAAATTTCTGTAAAGAATGCGAAGCTATTGAATCACTAAATAAATCCAAAAAATTAGGTTTTTAAAGGAACAGGCAAGGCAAAAATCCATAAAACCCGGGAATCGACCCCCATCACCGACTAGGTCTAGGCAGCCACGCAGCGCCAAAACCGTAAAAATGGTATTTTTGTAACCCCATGAACGTGGAATGCAGGCAAAAAATCCAGAAAGCGTTGAGCATGCTCTCGTATATTGGCGTGCTGCGTAGTTGTCTAGACCTAGTCGCTGAAAGGAACCGATTCTCCCGCTTCCTAGTCCCTTTAAACTTTATGCTCTGGCCAATACCACTTTTTCAGAGAACACAAAGCTGTGCATCTGCAACGGCGACAAGTGCAACCCGGCCACGCGGCAGTCGAGCCTCCTCGCCGCCGCTTTCGCCCTCTTCGCCATGACTCCATTTCTGTTGTGATCAAATTCTCCTCGATTCTGATGACCTTGAGGACCGAATATTGCAACTAGAAACCGCCATAATCCTGCTCATTCCCGCCCCGCTGCTCATGCTCCTATGGCAACTCGAACTCGTCCTCATCCTCATCGTTGCCTACGTTCTCGCCCTCAATCTCCTTTTCATTGGTTATATTTTCTGCCGTTTGCTGGAATAAAGCTTGTTGAATTCTCGGAGGAAATATAGCAAAGGCCAAGCGAGCAGAGAACATTTGGAAATGGAAGGGGCAGGCTAGCAGAGATCATTTGGGAATGGAAGGGGCAGGCTAGCAGAGATCATTTGGGAATGGAAGGGGCAGGCTAGCAGAGATCATTTGGGAATGGAAGGGGCAGGCTAGCAGAGAGCATTTGGGAATGGAAGGGGCAGGCTAGCAGAGATCATTTGGGAATGGAAGGGGCAGGCTAGCAGAGATCATTTGGGAATGGAAGGGGCAGGCTAGCAGAGATCATTTGGGAATGGAAGGGGCAGGCTAGCAGAGAGCATTTGGGAATGGAAGGGGCAGGCTAGCAGAGATCATTTGGGAATGGATGGGGCAGGCTAGCAGAGATCATTTGGGAATGGATGGGGCAGGCTAGCAGAGATCATTTGTGAATGGAAGGGGCAGGCTAGCAGAGATCATTTGGGAATGGAAGGGGCAGGCTAGCAGAGATCATTTGGGAATGGAAGGGGCAGGCTAGCAGAGATCATTTGGGAATGGAAGGGGCAGGCTAGCAGAGATCATTTGGGAATGGAAGGGGCAGGCTAGCAGAGATCATTTGGGAATGGGAAGGGTCAGAAACAAGTTTTTTTTACTTTTCGCGTAGATCCATCAAAATTCAACATTTTAACCTTTTTTGAATTATAACTAACGCTACAACTTATTATTCTTTGCCCCGAAACCCGCGCGCCCAAAAAAAAAGCGGAAACGGTGGCCGGCCGGTTGCCGGGGGATGCGCGAGGCGCTGGGGGGCATCATTCGCTATGCGACGCCAGGGCGACCGATTCGGCGAGGGGGCCGGTTTCCCGGAATATAAGCACGCCGACGACGATGACGACGAGCTTCGGTACGTAACCAACGGGAGAGAAACTCCCGAGCAACGTCCCCGGGGAAACGCACCGCCCCTCACCGCTAAAATGCACCTAGGGGCAGGCAACGCAAGATTTCGGGCGAATTTCGGAGCCAGAAATTTTGGTTCTTAGTGCTCATTAAGGTAAACTCTTCAAATCGTATTTCCCTGTAATTAAAAAACTTGAAAATCATTACGATACCTTTCATTAATTCAGTGCACCATGGCCAAGCTGGACAACATTTGCGCGAGGCTAAAGCAACGCCTATCGGAGCTGGACACCGAAGAGTAAGTCCAAATCTTATAAAATAAGCCTAAGCCTAAGCCAAGCCTAATCTCAAGCCAAGCCAAGCCTAAATCATAAGCCTAAGCTAAACCGAAGCCTTAAAAAGTCCACGCCTAAGCTAAGTCTAAGTCTAATTCTACGTCGAAGCTTAAGACAAAACCGTATCCGAATCCTAAGCCTACGTCAAAGGCTAAGCTAAAACCTAGGCCACGCATAAGCCAAGCAGAAGCCTAAGCCCAATCTTAAGCTTAACAATAAGCGCAAATTTGATGAGATATGCTAACCAACGGTTATTTAGTGACGAGCCGCCAAGCCTCGACCAAATCGATGTCGTCAGCCTTCAGGAGAACCAGGATGAGGTAGAAAACCTAACTTAAGCCTCAGGAAAACTTTCTAGGCTTCGAATTCCCCAAAACAGAAAGCGACCAGCTCGAGCTGGACGGACTGCGAGGTGGCGGGTTGTATCTTCAAGGGTGCCGCGCACTACCATTGCCATATCGAGAGGTGAGCTAGTTGTATCGCTTTTTAAAGAGACGAGGAAAGCAGGAAATTGAGCCTCAGCTTGGCAGCGAGTCAATTTTGAAACCATACTTTCTAAAATAATGAAAATGACCAAAAATTGACTCCTCTAGCTCCTTTCTACCTAATTCTAGATGCTATTTCGCCTCCAACGACCAATTCGTCATCCGGAATCACCGGAAAATTCTGCATTTTACACCGGCTGATCCGCGCTTCAGCTACGTACACGTTGATTCGAGCTGCCCGGTGGAGGATTGCCTACTTTCGAAACGTAGAAATCATCTACACTGTGTTGGATGCCCTTGGGTAAGTAGAGTATTCAACACAGAATCATTCCTAAATGATCTTTGCTATCTGACCTTATGTGATTAGAGCGCCAATTCCTTACTAATCTTTGCTAGTTTTCACGCTTTTGGCAGGTTTTTCCAAGACTTGAAAAACCGTAATAAAATGAGACCATTGTAAGAAAATTAAAGCCTGCTAGGCAGTCTCTGCTACCTTGCCCTAGATACTGCTAGCCGAGCATCATTCCCAAAGTTAAAATTCTATGAAAAACGCAAAAAGGAGAAGATCTAAAAAACGAAGCAAGCTAGCTTTCCTGTACAATCCTCAAAAATCTCTGCCAGACCGCCCAGACGTCCCTCGACTGCAGCAGCCATCGATGCGCGGCCCAGGCAAGAGTTGAAGTCGTGCAAATCGACCGCCAGCTTTTCCCGCGACCTCCCCTCGTAATCCGATCAACGCCAAAAACGGTTTGCAAAATTGCTTATTGCCATCCTGTCGACATATCATTTTGATTTTTCATCTAAAACATTTCGCAAATCGAAATTGCAGCGCATTGAAATGTCGCCAAAATGAAATTACGCGAAAACGAAATGTCGGCAAAATGATATTTCGACCATATTATAGCAAATCTTGCTAAAAAAGATTTTAAAATATCACATTTCAGGACAAAAATATGTCTCACGAATCGCTATGCGCCAGGCCGTTCTGCAAACTCAAGAAGAAGGCCCACTTCCACTGTTCGTTTTGCGGCCAGGGCTTTTCGAGCAAGGAGCGGCTATTTCCGCATGTCGCCAAGCACAAAACAAGGTAGGAAATCACTCTCCTACCCTTAAATGGTATAAAAATACTACAATAACGCAAAAAACTTTCTTTCTGCATCGCTGACCGGGGCCAAAACCGGGTTTTTTTGTCCTAAGACCCCGTCCCGGCCCAATAACGATACCTAAACTATTTCTTTATCAATTTTAGCGATTTTGAAGTCTAAAAACCTGAAAAGAGCTTTAAAAATTGTTAAAGTTCGGACTTACCGGCCAAAAAAGGGATCAAAATGACCCGAAATTATGGGATAGCTCTGTTTTCAACACAAAAATGCATTTATGACGCTTTAGTTATCGATACTAGCACAAAAAATAGTAAAAAATATAAGAAAAATTCTAGACTTGGTAGGCTAAAAAAAGAATAAAAACTTGGTTTTGCAGCGTTCCAGCAACGAAATGGAATTTAGACTCCAACGCACCTACCAGAAGCGAGCCCTCGCGATGGCCCCGTCTCGAGTAGAAGCACGAAAAATAGAAGAGCCATTAAAGGAACAAAAAGCTCCTCCTCCTCCTCCTCCTAGGATCGCTCCTCAAATTCCGATCCAAGAACCGGAAATGCACGTAAAATTGGACCCGAATCCCCTGGAGACGCCTCACCCCCTACTCAAATGCCCACCAACACCCATTGACCTCCCCTTTTTGGTCAGAAAACCGATATCATTCACGCTGCAGGGCTTCGAATAAACGCGGAAAGCCTGAAATTTCAGTTGTTAGCTCGCGTATGATATCTGTGATTTTATTCGAGCACAACAAGACAACAAGAAATCAGATCAAGATCAAGCTCAGTTTTAGCGCCAAAAAAAAAAAAAATACAAGGCAATAAGCGTCAAATGAAATACGAAAAACGACAAGGCGCTTTTAGGGTATTTGATCTTCTCAAAACCAGCCGCCTCCACCACCGCCCCGGGGCGCCGAGTTGAAGCCGCGCGAGCCGCCTCCACGGGGTCCCGAGTTGAAGCCGCTGCCAGCGCCTCCGCGCGGTCCGCCGTACGGCTGGTAGCCTGGAAGTTTGGTGTAAGGAGTAGTTATCGGAATCGGCACTAAGCTTTTAGCAGGGGGGGGGGGGGGCCAATTTTTCTCCAGTAATGCTGGACGGCCCTACAGAAAAATCCAAATCATTTTACACACATTTTTAGAAAAAAGCTGAAAAAATCACTAAAAAACCGAAATTTTGATTTATTTGATTTGATTTTGTTCAAAAATGCTTGAAAAGGCCAAAAAATAGAAATTTTCGATTTTCCAATTTTATAGTAATAAAAAACCACTAAAAACCATCGTAGCTCAACAACAGTAAGCGGACAAGCGGAAAAACAAAATCTAGCCCCCCCCCCCTGCCAACAGTCCAGTACCTCGGGCTTTTTCAACACCAAAAAATGGAACTCGAGCTCGGGCTCAAAAATACAAGGCAAAAATGCCCAGAAAATTACTTTATCAGTTGCGAAAAACCTTTTCATACCATGTGCTCGGCGTAAAGAGGAAAAAATGGGAAAAAAATATACAAAATCGCCCGCCGAAACTCGAATGGTAGTTACTACAACAAAAATCGGACAACGAAAACAAATATGTACAACAAAAAGGTTAGAAACTAGCGCTATTAGATGGGGTATCAGGAGTGGGTTAACAGACCTCCGCCGCCTCGCCCACGCCCTCGGTTGAACATCGGCCCGCCACCGCCGCCGCCGCGGCTTCCGTATCCTGGCCCTGACGATTGATCGTTGCCGTTGAAGCCTATAAACTCGATTTAGGTTCTTTCGTATTATCGGGGGGGGGGGGGAGAAAATTTTTGTCTTAATTTAGAAATGCCTATTAACTTAATAGGAAGCTTTTCATAATCTTTTGGTAAAAAAACCACAATTCCAATAGGATAACGAGCTAAAAACTCGTTCGAAATTTAGGTATAAAAAAAATCTATTTTAAGAAAAATTTCTCTCCCCCCGATCATGCTAAAGCGCCACAATTTCAGGCAAATTCAGGGATTCCCAAAGAACGACTACTTGCTGACCTCCTTCCATTTCCTAAGGAATCTCTGCTAGCCTGCCTGATGCTAATTTTATGCCAACCTGGAATTAAACCTGAGAAAAATCCCGGAAAAAACAAGACTTTCCCAAAGGACGCCCGCTAGCTAGCCATCTAGCACTTCTCCAAGAATCTTTGCTAATCTGCCTGACGCTAATTTTATACTTTAAAAAACCCTCACCTCCGCCACCGAAAGAAGATCCGTTGCCGTTGGCGAATCCCTGGCTCGAGCCACCAGAGAAGCCGTTTCCGCTTCCGCTCCCAAACGACTGCTGACCGCCTCGAAATCCTCGACTCGAGCCACGGAAGCCGTCACCGCCGCCTCCAAACGACTGCTGACCACCTCGAAGTCCTCGGCCGGCGCCTCGGAAGCCGTCGCTGCCGCCCCGGTTGAACCCGCCGCCAGAGTTGAAGCCTAAAACTGGGATTTAGAAGTCGTACAGCAAATCGTAAACGTAGAAATCAGAATACTGACCTCCTCCGCGTCCTCTGTAGCCACCGCCAGGTGGCCCGCCACGATAGCCGCCACTTGGGCGCGACATGCCGCGCTGCGCCGTCGCCTCCGTCACGCAGTCGGCCAGGATGTTGTCCTTCGGCGCGTCGGGGCTAGCGAGGAACCTGGAAAATGAAATTTCGGTGCTTCCGCATTACCGGGGGGGGGGGGGGAGACATTTTTTAGTATTTTCAGAATGTTTTAGTCAAATAAAATATATTTGAACTAGAAAAACTATCTAAAATGCCGAGATTTAGGTAAAAAACGGCCATTTTTGGTCGAAAAATCGAGATTTTTTATTTTTTAATCAAAATTTGTACAGTTTTTACGTTTAAAATAGTAAAAAATAGTTTAGAAACAGTTCCGCTATTTATATTAAAAAAGTGGTTCTTACGAAAATTTTTTGCTTTTTCTTCAAAAATCGGAATTTCACATAAATATATCTCTCTCTATCTCTCGCTCTCTCTCTCTCTCCCTCACCCTCACTCACTCTCCGAACGCCCCTTCCACAAACCAACTTTTGTGAGCAGAGACAGCGAATGATGTCGACCAGCTCGGCGTTGACCTCGCTGAGCGTCGCCACGCTCGACGGCTCCATGCACGCGTCGATGAGCAGCGCCTCGACGCAGGGGCGCAGGGCCAGGATGGCGGCAGCGTGCTCGGGGTTCATCCGCAGGTGTATCATATCATCAATTCGGACCGCGTCCTCGCCCACGCACTCCACCCGCCTCGCGCCAAAGAGCAGCAACTGGATGCCGGTGATGACGGAAAGGTTCTTGCACGAGATGCACTTGGTTCGCAGCTGAAAAAAAAAGTTGGTTTTTCGCCCCTGAGATCCTCATACCTTTTCGGTGAAGATCAACAACGGCGACGGCAGGGCCACATCTTCGCCCTTGAACGGCGACAGGATGGACTGCTTGGTGAGGAGGGCGGTGGCCTGCTCGAGGGTGCAGATCTTGCGCTTGCCCTTGTAGTAGCCGACATTCGGGTAGATGGACTGGACGAGGAGGGCCAGGATCAGGTCGATGTTCGCGTCCTCGCCGTTCATGTTCAACTCGGGGTCCCACATGACGTCTTCGGGGAAGCCGCACTGGTTGATGAGGATCTCGACGAGTTGCTGCTTGGCGCCACTGAAAAAAAGGATCGTTGAGGAGAGAGCGAGAGAGAGAGAGAGAGAGAGAGAGAGAGAGAGAGAGAGAGAGAGAGTCCGTTCTACCGTCTTCAAAGAGTTCAGCGACGTAGCCCCGGAGATAGAGAGATAAATTGAGAGACGCAGCGAGAGAGAGAAACAAAAAACCCACGTGCACTGCTTCAAAATCGGGCCGCTGACCGAGTAGCGATCGCAGAATTGCCGTTCGCCTTGCGGGCCGCCCTCCATGGCGCCTCTGTAGGCGTGGCATAGCCCGAGAAGCCCGATGTGGTCAGACCAGCGGGCCCCGGCAAAGGATCTGAAAAAAGACATCTCTAAGACGTTCACCGGCTTACCTCTGAGCCCCAGTCAACCGGCTGCGCTCCTTGATGGGGAACACCCAGGGCGCCGAGAAGGAGGAGGCGGCCGCCACGTCGCACATCGGGGCACCAACGCCCATAGCGCAGCCCAAGACGATAGTTCGGCCCATCACGGGGTCGACGGGCATCCGGGCGATGATTCGACCGAGCGGGGTGAGCTCGCTGTGCCGGTCGAGCGCGTTCATTTCTGAAAACAGAAAATTAAGAAGGATGAGAGAGAGAGAGAGAGAGAGAGAGAGAGAGAGAGAGAAACCGACCTCTGAGTACCACTTCTGCTTCTATCACCGTGTCGACCGGCGGAGGCTCGATGGCCTTGGCGAGGAAGTCGCCGATCGAGCCGAGGTTGAGCAGCTGAAAAATTATTGAATTAAAATTGACAGGCGTCAGAGAGAGCGAGAGAGAAAGAGAGAGAGAGCGAAACTTTTTCTGTACCTTGATCGTCAGCGCGATCTCGTGTAGCGGCGTGCGCAACATTTCGGCCATTCGGTGCTGCTCGAGCCTAGCAACAAGGTTAAAATTAAAACCGACGAAAAATTCTTACGCTTCATAGCGCGCCTTCGTGCATAGGTGAAAAGCGTAGCCATCACGCACACGACCGGCTCGTCCTCTCCTAAAAAGCCCTTACAAAAGAAGAAAAAAGTCGCACCTCTGCGCCAGGTTCGTCTTCGACGCCCACACCGTCGCAAAGTGGACCATGTTGTTGTGCGAGGTGTACATCTTCTCGCGCGCTCTAAAGCCGAGAAATTTCCGAAATTAAAAATACGCTTACTTGCAGGAATCGATGACAAAGACGACGTCATCGATTGTGACACTCGTCTCGGCAATGTTTGTTGAGAGGATGATCTGTAAACCGAACGACGTTTAAAGGCGTTCAGCGACGTAGCGAGAGAGTTATGGAGAAAGAGAGAGCGCTAGCGAGCGGGAGGCAAAACAAACTCCTACCCGGCCTTTGCGCCATCGTTTTCAAGAAGTTCAGTGCCTAGCTAGAGAGAGTGAGGGACAGAGAGAGCGAGAGAGAATGAGAGAGAGAAAGCAAGAGAAAAAGAGATGGATACACAGAAAACTGAAAATTAACCTTTCTCTGCCCCGGATAGCGGTCGAACACCTTCCGCTGCTCGAACGACGACACCTGCGAGTGCAGCGGCAACACCAAGTATTTTTGAGAGTTTCCTAAAATACAATTGTTGTTCTGCAAAATGATATTCTACCGAAGATCGGGCTCTGCTGCAGGCCGGTCATCACAAATTGAATCTCCTGCCATCCGGGCAAGAAGATGAGCACCGAGCCCTCGACGCCACGCTGGTCAATGTCCGTCAGTATTGCCTAAAAAAATCGGGTTAGAAACAATTTTTATTTCTTTTCCAGATTCTTAGAAAAATTTCCTGTTTGCCAGTGAAATTAGGCGATTCATATATTAAATTTTTTTACTCTTCTAAAACTCTCCACAATTCCAATTTTGCACTCACCACTTCAGCCGAATCCCCGATTCAGAAGTGTTCCAGCTCCATCCGCCGACGAACACCTCGAAAAAAGATTTGCTTGCCCGACGATTTTTTTCTAGCTTCTTCTTGTCATTTTCCAAGGTGGAGAACCGGTTCTCCAACTCGGAAATTACACATACACAAAAAATCTAATCCTCAATTTGAAACATCGGGCAAGCAAAGCTTTTCTTAGGTGTTCGTCTCGGTACTTCGTTAAAACCGCATTTTCAGCGAGTTGGACGTATGCACCTATCGAGATCTGCGTATCTCTCTCTTCCTCTTTCTCTCTATCTCTCTGTCTCTTTCTGTGTAAATAGGTGCATACGTCCAATTTCTTGAAAACGAACTCCGCAAGGCATGGGTGCTTATGGATTCCCCATCGATTTGCCGCGACACACAACGCGAATGACGCTTTCCATCGGGGTAGTGGATGCGCATGCGAAGCGGCGTCGCGTTGCGTGCAGCCGCCGCGGCGATGAATGAGAATCCATAGCCCTGGCTTGCCAGACGCTTTAGGGCCTGGGAAGCCAGAAAATAAGCGAATTGAATGCCAAAAAGCACCATGCTGCTTTTTGGCATTCTAGGTAACTTAAGTCTTCGATCCTGGCTTTCAGAAAACACGGGAAGCCAAGTTTTTTCTTCTTTTTTTTTTTAGAAAATTCTCTCGTCAGAGACGCCTCTGCGACGAGAGACTGACTAATAAATAAAGAAATCGATTTCTTCGTCTTTTTTTAAGCATAAAACGGATAGAATCTAAAAATCAGTACCTCGATGACCTGATAGGGGACCTCACGCTCGCTCATGTTCTGCATGGCCTGGCGGACGAACGGCGGGTACTCGGGCCCGATTTGGAGGAGCAGATTTTTGCTCTGAAAAAGCTGGATTAAACGTTTAGAGATTCTAACGAACGGCCGTATCTCCCGGATCGGCTTCCTCGCCGCCCTCCTCGTCGGCCATGACGGCTCGGCTGCTGCGGTCGGGCATAAAGTTCAGGTTCTTGATGATGTCCTCCAGGAAGAATTCTGAAGCCAGCAGCTTGTAAACATTTAAGCCAAAAATCGCCTACGTTGCACCGGAAACGTCCGGCCCTCCATCTCGATCACCGGGCAGTTGCCGAAGAAGTTCTGAAAACCCAGAAACGCATTGCGGAAAGGGTGTACGCTCACCTGGAACATTTCCGTGTCAATCGTGGCCGACATCAGCACGAAGCGCACGCCGCGGTGCTCCTTGGCCATCTCGCGGAGGACGACGAGCACGAAGTCGGTCTGGAAAAGATTTTTTGGTTCAAACCGGGAATCCGTAAAAATTTCGAAAATCAGATCTCGTATTTTCAGAATCTCGAAAATTAGAATCCCGAATTTTGAGAATCATGGATTTCCAAAATTTCGAATTTTCAAAATACCGAACTTTCAGAATCTCGAATTTTCATGACCGCTAATTAACAGAACCTCACAGTTTCCAAAACCGCGAATTTGCCGAATCCCGACATTTCGAGATTTTGCAAATCCACGACTTCGAAAATTCATGATTTCGAAAACTCGAGGTTCTGATCAGTAATCCTTAAAATTCCCCACATTTATATCACGTTCGTGGATCTCGTCAATGAAAACGTGGCTGACGCCGCGGAGCCCACTTTCCATACGCCGCAGCAGCACGCCGACCGTGCAGAACATGATGGCGCCGTAGGGGCGCGGGGTGACGCCGTCGAATCTGGAAAAGCGGGCATAGCACTTGAGGGAAGGATTTCTCTTTGGCATCCCTTTCTCTCTCTCTCTCTCCCAAAATCACTCACCGAACGCTGTAACCAATCGAATAGCCGGGTTGCTCGCCTCGTTCGGCAGCGACACGCTCGCACAGCGAAATCGCGGAAATTCTAGAAGAAAACGGTCGCAGAGACTAATTTTTGTACCTTCTAGGCTGCGACACAAAAGCCGCAAACTCGGCGCCACGACCCTCTCGGATGTAGTGTTCGAGGAGGTATTGCGGGACCTAAAAACTCGTAAATTCAGAAAAACTCGGAAAACTTACTTGCGTCGACTTGCCGCACCCGGTCTCGCCCTTGATCAGCGTCACTTGATTCTGTTCGATTGTTGCGATTAACTAAGAATTGTAGTTTCTTTCGCATGATCGGGGGGGGGGGGGATTTTTCTAAGGATCCAATTTTTCTAAAAAGCGAGCATTTTTTTGCTATTTTAAGCTTAACAACCTTAAAATTTCTCTAAAAACAGAAAAATATAGCTTTTTCGCCGAAAAAGCGGGATTCGTAAAGAAACGGAACACCAAAGAAAAATGCGTGAAAATGCGATTTTAAAAAAAACATCCAGTTTCTAACCTGATCGTAATAGCCGTAAACTGGTAGATGTTGGCGAGTTTCTTGGATCCGGGCGTCGAGCGACTTTTGCTGCTCCTCCTGCGCCAAGTCCTGGCTGATTTGTTGCAGGGATTGCTGAAAGCAATAAAACTAGTTCTAGAATTTTTTAGATCTACAAAAATCAAAAATAGATAATGCAATTCATAAAAAATGTGCTCCAAGTACGGCAAAAACTCACAAAAGCCAGCGGCGGAGCGTCAATATTACACGCGCGCCAGGGATTCCAATTCTGGGTGGCCGGGCACCAGGAGATGTTGCCGCCGGGGAACGCCTCCACCTCCTCGAAAGCCGCCAGTTTTGTGTCGATCTAAATCATGTAATAGCGTACGTATTCACCGTTAAAGATTATCATAATTTAATAGCGTCTAAAAATCTTACCAGTAAGCTTTGCGGAAGCTCGGGCGTCGACGCTAAGTCGGCTTTGACGGGCTGAAGCTCGCGCTTGTTGATGTAGGCCTTGACGCGCTCGAATAATTCGGGGTCTTCCGGAATTGGGAGGGATGGGAGCTGGAAAAAAATCTCGGTACTGAACTGTTAGCAGGGGCATAGTTTTAAAAAAAAACTTTTTTTAGAGTTCTAAGATTTTTCGTCACAATTTTCAAACTTTCAAAAATCTTTAAAACCTTTTGTAACTTCCTAGCTATCAAGAACTAAGAAAAAGACTATAAAAATATGTATTTATTATTAACAGGTTGCCAAAAACCTAAGAGATAAAAAAGACGAAAGAAAAGACAAAACTCACATTACTGGCATTCCGCTTGACCCGATTCCCGGAAAAGGCCTTGACGAGACCCTTGTGGAAGAGTTGCCGCATTACATTTGCCTAAAATTGAATACAATTTGCAATTTTGAGCCCTTACAGCGCATTGCGATTCGGCAACCTTCTTCGTGGAGCCCTGCCCGCGACCGGTGATCACTAGAAAATATTTCCAAATTATAAGGCACAAAAACCTGTATTCAACTGTGGCAGTCGCTGTGTCACCTCGCAGATGAACGTGCTGAAAACGACGAGTTTTCAGGAGATCAAGGCGGAATTTGCTTTTCAACTTTAGAAAATCGTAGATAAACTTTTCCGGATTTTCCTAGGATTTATTACCTCGACATGCCGCCCTCCATTTTCCTGGGCGCGTAGCTGATCGCCGGCATTTTGAGCTTGGCCAGGAATTCGTTGACGGCCTAAAAAACCTTAACTACGAACCGTTTGGGCCCTAAAAACCTGTTTGCTGTTCTCGATCGTCCACCCGCCGTGCAGATCCGCGCGGAAGTCGACGGATTCAGACTGAAAAAGGAGATTTTTAAGGAACTAGCCTCGAAATAAAACCTTTGCCATTTCTTCGGCCTTTTGGTTGATGTAGTTCTCGTGCTGGGTGCGCTGTACTTGGAAGCTCTGCTGGTTTTCCTGCGGCGCCCAGTCGCTCGCGCCATAGCCGCCGCCGTTTCCTGAAAAGTAATTATCTATTTGTGCTACTAAAAAAACTAAAAATGTCTTTTTTTCCTCCTCTAGTGGCTCCAAATCGAAAGGTGAAACCGTAAATTTGATTCTGGTCTCTTGCTAGCAAGGGGAATGAACCTTCCAATTTTGGCTCTTACCTCGTACAATTTTACACTAAATTTTATAGTTTTTTCTATTCTCGTCTGATCTCGAAAATTGTAAAAATCGGCAAATTGGATTTCCTCGATTTTAGTTACTTTTTAGGCATTTTAAGCCGAGATTTCGTATTTTCAACATTTTCTAAAAGTTTGAAATTGTAGCCAAAAACGGAGCTAGGAGTGTATTGTAGCCAAAAGTCGGGCCTGCGCCGCTAGATTCCCTAGCAGCCCATTAAACTAAAATCAAATTTTTTGGTGAAAATGTTAGGTTTTAAAGTTAGTGAGGTGTTTTTTCGGAACCAGCGCGGAAAACTATTCAGGTAAATAGCGCACAAACCCCAGTTTTGGTATAATAAAAGTGGGTCCCCTATTCCGAAATAGCGCCGAAATTCCTATCGTCAGAAGTTGCGTTAAACGACAAAAAAAGCAAAAAATACGTTTCGTGCGCCCTAACGTGTTAGAACCATTAATTCTAGCGACCGACCGGTTTGTGGTGTCCCCGGGTCCGGCTTGAATGAGTTCGGCTGCGGCGGGCCATCGCCAAAACATGAGCCGAACGGCATGGGCGCAGCGCTTGTCGCCTCGAGAGATGAAGCCTGGAATTGTTGGTTAACTCGCAAAAGACCCAAAAAATTACCGTCAACATTGGCACTTCATTTTGCTGGACGTGTCCCTCGCGCACCAGGTAATTTGTGAAGTCGATGGCCGCGTTTGTCGCCTAAAATACCGTTTTCTAGTGAAAAAAGACGCCAAACCGCGTCGTTTTTGTTCTGCGAATTGCCGAGCCCCGTGTAACTGAAGCCAGGCACGCGCAGCTCGCATTTAAACCTAAAAAGGTGTTGAGACGGTGAATAATAAAGGAAAGCATAGAAAAGGATCGAATTCTCACCTTTGGGCGCCTTGACGATTCATCCCCGACGTATTGTACTGCGGGTACACTTTCTTGTTCTTCCCCAGCCATGCGTACAGGAAATCCTTGATGCTGGTGGCCATCGCGGGCCTGAAAGTATAGTAATTGGGCTTTTTCTTCAGGGATAAGCAATTACACACAAAGAGAATCTTAATAGCTTTGAAAAAATCGCCGAAAAGTCGATTTTCAAAGGCTAAACGCCAAAATGTTGGCTTTTCCATAACAAAGATTGTTGCGCTACTGAATCTACGGTTTATTTGATGTTTTCCGGCAAAATTTGGGCTTCAAAAGCTTGGAAAAAGGAAGATTTTGGGTCGCCGGAGCGACGTTCAAGCCGCCCGGGGCATATTACGGCATGGAATGCTCTGCGGCTGGGACACGCTATAGCGCGCTACTCAACGCGACTAAAGGGTCAAAAATTGCGAACTTCAAGGGATTACTGTGGAAATCAGAAAAAAGTGTTCTAATCGAAAATGGAAAAATGAGTCTTTCGCGCTCTCGCTCTCTCTCTCACTCTCACTTTGTCCTTACGAAAGAATACCGGATGGCGACCGGAACGATTCACAAACCCGTCTCTACCACCCCCCTTTAGCAGATCAACTCGACCTACTCATCCAGACTTCCGGCTTTTTTTGTGGCCAACTGGGTCGACTGGGGGCAAAAATCTAACTAGGGGAAAAGCCGGCATCTTCTCCTCCCCTCCGAGGGGTGTTAACTCGATAGTATTCAGAGGATAGGGGGGTGAAGCTCTAACCCCCGACCCCTGATTGCGAGCCACAGCGAGAGAGAGAGAGAGAGAGAACGAGAGAGTGAGATAGAGAAGGATCCGATGGGGGATGGGCTGAAGCCACACTGGCTGTGATTTGGTTATAGAGAATGGGCCACCCCGTGGGCCACGCGACGCCCCCACTTGACACTTGCATCGTCAGGCTGAATGGTGTTTTTTTTTGGGTATTTTAGGTCAAACTGGCCTCAATGATCTCTGCTAGCCTGCCCCTTCCACCCTAACTGACTTGCTAGCCTGCCCTATAGGAACCAAAAGTCGCCGTGATTTTCAAGAAGCTTCTCCAGCCCGCAGCTCTAATCTATGTGTAGACAAGATCAACAAGTTGTGGACTCTTTCCGGCGGCGTCTAGTCAAAACAGGGCCCAGCCTTGGAGAAACTAAAATCTGGACTTTCTCTCGCTCTCTCTCTCTCTCTCTCTCTCTCTCTCCGCCGGGAGTGGTTGTTGTGTAAAAATGGAATAAATGCATATGAATTAGCTATTTGGGGGGGGCAGAGGTCTGGAAAAAGAAGGTGATTCTGGAACGCCCTAGGATTAGCATTTGTGGGATGGGGTCAGAAATCGGGAATTTTGGACCTCATGAAGGTCATCTAGGTTTCCAAAATTTTCTGCTGGTCTGCTCTTTTCTTTCCCAAATGATTGCTGCTAGTTTTCTGTGATCTTCTGCTCGAAGAATCTCTGCTAGCCTGCCCTCGTTTCCCAAAGAATCTCTGCTAGCCTGCCTTCCTCGAATTTTGCAAAAATCTCTGCTTTTTCCTCGCAGGATTTCGGCCCGATTTCAAAGGGGCAGTGACATGATAAAGTCAAGTAATTCCAGTTTCTCCTCCGCAGTCCTGACTTCCCGGTCCCTTTAAAAATCACTAAATTTGATCTGCCCTCACCCTCGGAGTTTCGAGAGGGGTTCCCGATTTTTTTGGGGTTGCTTGATGAAGTGGCCGGGAGGCAAAGGAGCGACCCTTCACTTTTTTGCCCTCCGCCCCGAGCCTCGCGTCAGAAGCTGTCCCTCCCAATCAACTTCTCGGGCTTCTTCCTCGCCTGAGGTCGTCCAGGGGATGGCCACGTAGATTTGGAGATGACCTGCTGGTTGATACTATTGACGCTAGGAAATGTCTATTTACTCTTGCTCATGCTCTCTCTCACTATTGCTCTCATTCCCTCTCTATCTATATCTGTTACTCATTCTCTTGATTCCTCCCTTTCTCCCTCTCCCTCTCTCGCTCTCGCTCTCTCTCTCTCTCTCTCTCTCTCTCTCTCTCTCTCTCTCTTTTCTTTCTCTCTCACTCTCGCTCACTCTCGCTCTTTCTCTCTCTCTCCTCATGATTACAAGAACCGAGAACGAATTTTTTCAGAGAATTCCAAGCTCTCATTCGCGCGCTACCGTACCCCTCTGAAGTTGCGAATCCCACTTCCTTACGACCTACCAAACCCTAAAAGTGGCCGTAAAACTCATAAAAAGCCTTAAAACTCCCTGAGAAGCTCGAATCTAAAATTCCGCGGGGCTCGAAATGCCGTCGCGGGAGCCCCGGTGCTCAGTTGGAATTATTGCCAGGGGCTCTAGGGCAAATTCGGGGTGCGGGGTTTCGGGGAAAAATTCGGGCATTTATTAATACCCCCGCCGGCTTGCGTGCATTGCATTTTGGGAATTGTAGATTGCTATCGTAGTTGCTAACGTAAGTCTGAGGGTATCGCCTAAGCTTTAACTTGAGCCAAACCCTAGGAATAAGTCGAAGCTTAAGTCTAAACCTAAGCCAAGCCTGAGCCTAAGCCCGAGCCTAAGGCTTTCTCTTGCTCGGCTTGGCAAGCCTTCAGAGATCTCTTGGGAATTCGGCCTTAATTTCCGACTTTTGATGCCTATTCCTAGACCAATTCCGCTTCAATAAGTCTAATATGCAATTCGCGAAAATAATTCGAGAAGGCCCCGGAGAACGCATGGGAGATGAATTGGCAATTAGCCGGTTTGTGGTCAGCGCCGGGTTTTTTGTTTCAAGTTCTTGAATTTTGCCGACGCTCAGCTTTGAAGGAGACACTTTGAGGAAGTCGAGTTCTCAAAACCTAGCTACTAGTCTGCCCCTTCCATTCCCAAATAATCTCTGCTAGCCTGCCCCTTCCATTCCCGAATGATCTCTGCTAGCCTGCCCCTTCCATTCCCAAATGATCTCTGCTAGCCTGCCCCTTCCATTCCCAAATGATCTCTGCTAGCCTGCCCCTTCCATTCCCAAATGATCTCTGCTAGCCTGCCCCTTCCATTCCCAAATGATCTCTGCTAGCCTGCCCCTTCCATTCCAAAATGATCTCTGCTAGCCTGCCCCTTCCATTCCCAAATGATCTCTGCTAGCCTGCCCCTTCCATTCCCAAATGATCTCTGCTAGCCTGCCCCTTCCATTCCCAAATGATCTCTGCTAGCCTGCCCCTTCCATTCCCAAATGATCTCTGCTAGCCTGCCCCTTCCATTCCCAAATGATCTCTGCTAGCCTGCCCCTTCCATTCCCAAATGATCTCTGCTAGCCTGCCCCTTCCATTCCCAAATGATCTCTGCTAGCCTGCCCCTTCCATTCCCAAATGATCTCTGCTAGCCTGCCCCTTCCATTCCCAAATGATCTCTGCTAGCCTGCCCTCTGATTTCTCAAAAATGTCTCTCCAACCATCATAAATTTGTTTTTCTCAATCTTCCCAAGCCATCCAATCCCAATTTTCTGGCGCGGGTATGTCCAGTAGGGTCCCGAAAAACCTCAAAAACAAAGGACAATTCGCGTGGCAGGACCCACACGCGGGGCTCTATTCCAAAAGACTCGAATGGGGAACGTCAACCCATTCCAATTTTCCGGGGAGCTCCAAAGAACGGCCCGGGGCTCGCAACAAGCCGAATGGGGGAGGATGAGTTGGACCCGCTGCCACGCCCAAAAAACGTTCTAAATTGCTTCTTTGGGGGCTGGAAACTGGGGGTGAATGGGTTTCGGACACTCCACTGTTTTTGGGGGTTAAAAAATTCGTGTTTTGAAGGGACTTTGAGGCTAGGAATTTCGAGGTTTAGTGAATTCTCGTTGGTCGCGATCTTTCACTTTCTCATTCTCTCTGTCTCGCTCTCGATCTCTAGCTCTCTAGCTATCTCTCTATCTCTCTCCCTCTCTCTCGCTTTATTTATCTCTTCCCTCGCTCTCCTTCAATTCTCGCTCTCGCTTTCTCTCTCTCCTCTCTCTCTCTCTCTCACACTAGCTTTAGATCTCTCTTTCTCTCTCGCATGCTCGCTTTATCTCTCTCTCTCTCTCTCTCTCTCTCTCTCTCTCTCTCTCTCTCTTTTTCGATTTATCTATCTCTCTCTCTCGCTCTCTTTCGATGTCTCTCTCTCTCACGCCCTCCTAATCTTCCTTTCAAAACTGCCTCAGAAATCTCTGCTAACCTGCCCTAGTTTTGTATCACTACGGCCGGCTTGTCATTAATGCGTCCGCAACTATCTCTGCTAGCTTGTCTCGAACCCTATGTAGGTGACGACACCTTTAAAGGACCATAATACACAATTTCCGCAAAGAATCTCTGCTAGTTCGCCTCGGCTAGTCTTGGGTTGAACCAGATTTCGACTAGATTATCCCGGATTGCCTTTCCAAAGAACGCTACAATTCCATTTTTCTTATACCGCCGATGAATGGCCCCCGGAGGCTTGAAAACAAATCCAATTTGCATCTTTTTGGCCTGAGTCCCCCGTTTTTGTTGGTCGTCCATTGGAACGGCTCGTATAGCAGCCGGATCAAAATGGCCGCCTGCCCCTCATCGCTAACCACAATTTGGGCCCTTTTTGGGCCACGAAGTGGCCCAAAAGGGCCCGCCTAAAAGGCCATACGGTCAAAGATCCTGGTCATTGTTTTCCTCCATTTTCCAATTGTCGGCCTGTGGGAGGGGGATGATAGCTGGAGGGCCCCCACAATTTCCTCATACGGCCCCTGGGGGTCAGTGGCCCAGGCGGTGGCCCCGAAAAAATGTTTGGGTTGCTAAATTTAGGCAGGAAATTGGGGCGAGTTTTTTTAGCGGAAATTGAATGGGGTGGGAAGTATTTTAGGACCAGGAACACAACGCATTGCCTGATTTAAAGGGATCGTGCTAAGCCCCCCTCCATTTCTCTCGCTATATATCTCTCTCACTCACTCTGGCGCTCTCTCTCACTCTCCCTCTTTCTCTCTCGCTCTCTCTGTCTATCTCTCTCGTTCTCTCTCTATCTCGCTTCCGGTTTCTTTATCTTTCTTTCACTTTTTCTCAGGCTTTCTCAGGTTCCCGCTCATGCTCCCTCTCTCTCTCTCTCTCTCTCTCTCTCTCTCTCTCTCTCTCTGTCCCTGTCCCTGTCCCTCTCCGGCTCTCTCTCCCTCTCTCTATATCTATCTCTCTTTCTCTGCAACATCTCTGACCTCCCAGTCCCTTTAAATCAAAGTTATGAAATTTGGAAAATATTTCAAAGTTTCAAAACTAATTCGTGTTGACTGGCGTGGCGGACTCCCGGCAACCCGAAAAACTTGAAATTCGAGCAATTTTTCTGCCAAATAAGCTGCAGAGCTGTGATTTCATTATCTCTATCGCTCTCTCTCTCTCTCTCTCTCTCTCGCTCTATACTCGGAATTTTTGAACTTTTTATTGAGAAAAACGTGAGATCGGCCCGGTGGTGTTGTCATTTGCAGCCCACGGAGGGGGGAGGGCAGTTCGCGTGAAGGCGGCTAATTCCGTGCAGTTGTAGTCTCCCGGGACTCTGGTGTTTGGCGCAATTTTTGTGGCGCCAATTTAGCAACTTTCCGGCTTTTTTGGGCTGTGACCCTGAATTATTTTAGGAGTCCGAAAGGCGTGGGTATAGGCGTAGGATTTTGGGTTTAAAGGGACTAGGAAGTGCCAGAATATACCGCTCCATTGACTAGGTCTCGACAGTTACGCGACAGGCACAACTACACTTGCCTGAAAGTTCTATTCCTAAGTGATCTATGCTAGCTTGCCTGAGCCTGGCTTTTTGGATGGCCCGGTCCCTCTAAAAGCTGGGGCAATCCGTTTAGGGTAGCTTTGGCTTAGGATTAGGCTAGGGCTTAGGCTTAGTTTTAGGCTTAGCGTAGGCTCAGGCTTACGTTTAGGCTTAGGCTGAGGCTTAGGCTTGGCTTGCAATTAGGCTTAGGCTGAGTTTCAGGCTTAGGCTTCGAAGTGCTTAGTTTCCGGGATAGGCTTAGCAATAGCTTAGGCATAGGCTTAGGCTTAGGCTTAGACTTGGCTTCGGCTTAGGTTTAGGCTTTGGCTTAGGCTAAGCTCATCCAGCTTGGAAATTTCCGCTTCTTTCCTGTTTCCGTTCACCAAAACACGTTCAATTTTTCAGTGTTCCCATTTTCACGTATTTTCCATCCGCTTCTCCCCCTTCGGCGTGGGTTCTTCCGTGCCCTCTGGCTACTTACTGCCTAGCTGCCCCCCAGCCCAGCTCAATATCTGGGCCCGAAATCTGGTGCTTCTCCCCCTTCTTCCAGCCGACTAAATTAGTTCTTTTTCTTTTTCCTTTAGTTTTTTCATTTTTGCCGTTTTTCCTCGAGTTTTTCACGCCAAGATTCCCGAGTTTTTCAGTGAATATTCGAGACCTTCCGGAAATTGTTTATTTACCCTAGAGAAAGTGTTATTTTCTTGAATCAAACCAGTTCCGGTGCCCTTCTGCCGAAAAATAACGCTTTAAAGGGATTCGGAAGCGTGAGAATCGGCCTTTTCCATCGACTAGGTCTAGACAGCTGCGCGGCGCGGCAAATTAGAGGTGCAGCTTTGGACTAAGCTCGCTTCTTGATATAAATCTCATTCGTATTTTGGCGAGTCGCGTAGCTGTCTAGACCTAGTCGATGCGAGGGGTCGATTCTTGGGGATCCTGGCCTCTTTAAGACGGATTTTTGCGACTTTTGAACCAGTTGTTCTGATTTTTTCGGTGTAGAAACCACACTCTCGCTCTATCGCTTTCTTTCTCTCTCTCTCGCTCTCTCTCTCTCTCTGTCTGCATGTCTCTCTTGCGCTCTCTCGCTTTTTCCCGGGTTTTTCTTAAATTTTTATGTTTTTTAGCCGATGTCTTCCCGAATTGTAGCTGCACTTTCCATCTGACTACTGTGAGCAAGGTAAATTTTTGTTAAAAAAACTATATTTTATAACTAACTATATTTATATATGTATTTTAAATTTTTCCAAACCAGTATTTCTACCATTTTTTTTCAGAATGACGTCCCCCGAAGACTTCGACTCGCCGGAAGCCTTCCGCTTCTGGGAGGAGAACTGCCAGATTATCCCCCCGGGAGAGATCAGCTTCATTTGCATTGGGATTGTCGGTAGGCATCTGGCACGCCAGATCCTAAGGCATCATTACTAGCCTGCCCTGAACTGCTTGAACTTGTTCTCAGATTTTTAGAAAAATTTGAGCTGTAGATATCTGAAACCATCAGCTCCTGAGAAACCGCTGCTAGCCTGCCTTCTCCCAAAAAGCGGCACGATTGCCTAAAGAATGTCGGCGAGCCTGCCCTGAACTGCTTGAACTTGTTGTCATCTCTTCACAAAAAAATTTTTTCAATTTAAGGCAGCAAATTTTTAGGTTGTACCATTGCCGGAATCAGCGTCATCTTCAACACGTTTCTGCTTGCCTTGTTGGCGCGAAATCGAAAACATCGCTCATCACATCTACTTTACCTGACCTTCTTGGCGGCGTTCGACATCTTTGTGTCGAGTGAGTGAGAGAGAAAGGGAGACAGAGCGAGAGAGAAAGAGAGAGAGAGAAAGAGAGAGAGCGAGAGAGAGAGAGAGAGGCAGAACCCGAGAGAGTGAGAGAAATAAACCTACGTTTAGTCGCCTACATCCTCCTTTTTCCCGTGAACATCTACATTGACTATTTCGAGAGCGAGCTGCTGGCAAATGCGTGGTAAGTACGCCAAGCTACGCTGCTTTTCCCCTCCCTCAAGAATCTCTGCTAGCTGGCCCAGATCCTGACTTTAAAGGGATGGTTGCACCTAGCGAAGCCTAGTTTCTAAATGCCTATCCTAAAATGCCTATAGGCGAGTTTTGGCATCCCGTGTCCACGTCTAGACCTAGTCGATACCAAGGGTCGATTCTAGCTTTCCTGTCCCTTTAAAGACCCAGGGCAAGCTAGCAGGGATCCTTGAGGAACTGGAGCTCAAAAATAATCTTTAGGTACACCTATATGCCATTCATGCTGTGCGTCAGCCACGTGACCATGACCGCCTCGGCGTTCCTGATCGTCGCCGCGGCTTTTGAGAGGTAGGCAAAGGAATATATTAAATTTGTAACTCTGTTATTACCGTATTACCGTAATAACGTATTACCGTAATGCCGTACTCTCACTTATTTATCAAAAATTTCGATTTTCTGGTGCGATCTATGCGAATTTTCAAGACTACAGGAGAGAGAGCGAGGAAGAGTGCGAGAGATTAGCGAGAGCAAGAGAGACAGTGAGCGAGAGAGAGAGGGATAGAGAATAAGAGCGAGAGACAGCGATAGAGAGCAACATTCACCCTTTTCGCGCCTTCTAGGTACAATTTCGAGCTGAACGACCCGAGGTACCTCGCCCGCGAGATCGAGTAGAGTTTTTTCCAGGACCCAACCTTTTCAAGGAGGCTGCTGCACTAACCAATCATTTCCACAAACAACTTACTATTAGTTTTCTAACAGTATAGAAATTATCGGACGAGTATTGCTTTTTAAAGGGACTGGCAAGCGCGAAAACCGACCCTTTTCACCGACTAGGTCTAGACAGCTACGGGACACGCCAAAATATAGCCATACAGATGCACCACGCTGTGCGCCGGCAACTTGCGGGTTCCTTTAAAACGCAAAGAACATGGCATTAGGGATGCCGCGTAACTGTCTAGTCCCAGTCGAAGAAAGGGGTGGATTTTCGGGCTTCCTGCTCTCCTTAAAGGGATGGTGAAATCGATTATTGGGTCTCAGCTTGGCTTAGGCCTCCGCTTAGGCTTGGGCTTCGGCTTGGGCTTAGGTCTTAGCGAGGCTTAAGATGAAGATTACTGTCACCATCCCTTTAAAACCCCCCAAAGTCGAAAAATTTGCCTTACATCAATGCGCTTTCCGTTTTCTGGTGGTTGGCCCGACTGGTCGTGAATTGCGCGCTGCTCTATCTGAATTGACTTGCACTGCTTAGTTCTGGCTTTCAAAGCCTGGGTTACTGGTCCCTTGAAAACGCCCGGTTTCCAGATTTGTGACCATCTCGAAGTTGAGGACGCAATTCGCGAAGCGGAATCGTTATCTGATCTCGATCACCTGCTTGGTGTTGGCGTTCATCTCCAAGGGGCCGATGTACTTCGAGATGGAGGTGGGTTTCTTGAAGAATCGCTGCTAGCCTGCCCCTTCCATTCCCAAATGATCTCTGCTAGCCTGCCCCTTCCATTCCCAAATGATCTCTGCTAGCCTGCCCCTTCCATTCCCAAATGATCTCTGCTAGCCTGCCCCTTCCATTCCCAAATGATCTCTGCTAGCCTGCCCCTTCCATTCCCAAATGATCTCTGCTAGCCTGCCCCTTCCATTCCCAAATGATCTCTGCTAGCCTGCCATTAACGTTTTTAGGTGATCCCGAACGAAAACTGCACGGGTGCCAGCCAGTGGACACCCCGCCAAGTCGCCTGGCCCGACAACGAGACGCTGATGACGATTTATAGGGTTGGTCAAGACCAAGCTCAAGCTCGGGTTTGAGCATGAGATTGAGCTAGAGCAATTTATACTGTTTTTTTTCAGTTCTGGTTCCGGAACATCATCATCACGTGTCTGCCCTTCTTCCTCTGCTTCTACCTCAACTTCCAAATCATCCGGCGGCTACGATTGCAGCATCAGGGCGCCAAGCTGTTCCGTTTCGCTACTTCGGAACATCGGGTACCTCTCTCACTCCCTCTCTCTCTTTTTCTCACTTCCTCTCTCTCTCTCTCTCTCTCTCTCTCTCTCTCTCTGTCGCTCTCTAACACTCCTTTTCAGCAAAACATCCGTGCGGCCACACTAATGCTAGTATGCGTCACGTGCTCCTATCTGGGTTCCAACCTCCCGAACGTCGTCCTCTACATCCTCGAGGCGTTTGATATGGTAATGGTATCCGATCCTTGCCTACCGTATCCTTCTAGGAATTCCTCAAAAATCCTGCCATCCGGCCGTTTTACACGTCCATCAGCGATTTGGTTTCGTTGCTGACCGTGGCGTCTTGGTAAGCGAGAGAGCGCGAGAAAGAGAGAGAGAGAGAGCGAGAGCGCGCAGAGCGTACGTGACGGAGTGAGAGAGGGCCGGGAAGAGAGTGAGTGACAGCGAAAGAGAGAGCGGAAAAACGAAGGAGATAACGCAAGAGAGGGGCGATGGAGGGAGCAAGACAGTGAGAGAGAGAGCCAGAGCGAGAGAGAAGGGGAACGCGTGAGAGAGAGAGAGATCTACATATTCCAGCTTCCTCCGTCTGCCCATCTACTATGCTTGTAATGCCCGTATCCGAGCGGAAGTCCTGGAAGTCTTCGATGAATGGTGGCTCTTCGTGAGCCCGAAAAGCCTGCACGGCATCAAGGTATTTTTCGGCGGTTTTTTGGGCACTTCTGGGTCGCTAAAAAGTGCTGTAAAAGTCTGCTTACTGTACCCCCCCGGTTCCAGCCGACCGTCACGGTGGTGCAGCCTGTGCGCAAAGTGAGAAATCGTGAAAAGTGCCCCATTTTCAATTTTTTGGCTCGCCATCATTACCTAGCCTTGCGTACTCCTGCGTAGCTAGAAACTTTTTGGTTAGCTAGCTGTCGCACCAATTTTTTTCTTTTTTGAGAGTTCGAATCGTTCATAAACCCGTTGAGTAACACCCCTTGCCCTTGCTTAAAACGTCCACTCATTAGTGCGCGAATCATCCCCTAGCTTCCCTCACCCGCCTGTACCGTATTCCCTGATTTTTAGACAAAACGCCCCCGGCCGAACACGACCGTCCGCTACTGCCCCACCGATCAGGGATTCATGCTCTTTGAGGCATTGAAATTTTCTCGATTTTGGAAGAGCACTATTGTATTGTGTTGTGCTTCTGGACGCTAATGTTTCAAAGTTTTGCTTGTTTTTGTCGATTGGAATGCAGCGGAAATTATGGAAAAGTCGAAAAATCAAGATACCTTCACTGTCCCTTTAAAAGCTGTATTTTTGGGATACGGCATTAAGAATTGTCAACCTTTAGAAAACCGCCTCTCGACGTAGCGATCCCAAACCAAAATGTTATGGAACTGGGTTGGATAAGGTAGGCGAGGGAGCGAGAGAGAGAGAGAGAGAGATAGAGAGAGAAAGTGAGAGAGTGAGAGAGAGAAGGCGAAAGAGAGAGCGAGAGACAGAGAGACGGACAGAGGGCGAGAGTGAGAGAGAGAACAATTTTCCAGGTGGTCCTCTCCGTGGCGTTGACAGGAATGAACGGAACTCTGAACGTGAGGAGAGCCAGCGCTCATGGAAGACTCGTCGAAAAAGCGGAGGTTCGTTGCGATCTATTTCTGTCTATCTCTCTCTCTTTTTCTCTCTCGCTCTCTCTCTCTCGCTCTCACTCTCTCTCTAGCCCAATTTTCAGATGACCGACATGGACCTGCTGCGCCCCGTTTTCTGCCAGCGTCGACAGTCCGACATGTTGTCCTGATATCTCTCTCTCTCTCTCTCTCTCTCTTCTCTCTCTCTCTCTGTCTCTCTCTCTCTCCCGCATTCCAATTTCTCTCCCAAATTCCTCCCCCGGGTCTACATTACCATAAGTGTTTTCAGCGGCAAATCAGGGATTTTATAATTCTATTTTTCTAAAGATTTTTTGTGATTACTGTATTTTACTGTTTGTTAAAACAAAGATTTATTGATGTTTTTTCTTAAGTAAAATCAATTCTACACGGTCGGCAACACTTGAGCAACGGCAATAAGGAAATGGGAGATCACGAAATCATTTAAAGGGGCTGGAAAGCCCCCGAATCGACCCCTTCCATTGACTGGGTCTCAACAGCTACGCGACACGCCAAATTACGCGGTTTTTGGATTTTGGGTCGGGCTCAAACCAACTATCTATGGGCTATAAAAAGCAAATTGAGGCGTATTTTCGCGTTTGTCGCGTAACTGTCGAGACCTAGTCGATTGAGCGGTCGATTCTGGCGCTGTCTTAGTCTCCTTATAGTAGCAGTATAACCAGTTAAAAGTGTCTAGATTCTATTCGCCACCGGCACCTGAGCATATCTGCTCTTGTTGAAGGAGCGGAACATCATCGTGCTCTTCCGGACCGGCCCACCCGGACGTTGTTCATCTGAATTCATAAAAAATCATTCAAAAATCAAAGTTCAAAAATCCAGGCATGCTAGCAGAAACTCTTAAGGAATTTTTACCTAACTGGTCCCTTTAAAAAGTCTAAAATCGACTTACTCATCATCGTATGGCCATACATGCCGGGGCGGAGTCGATACGGGCGGTGGGAGCTCGTGGAAGATTTTTTTGACTGAAAAGGAAAGTCTCTCTCACTCTCTCTCTCTCTTTCTCTCTTTCTCTCTCGTTCTCTAAAACTCACCGCCCTCCTCAGCCCGATCCGACTCGTGATATAATCTGCCGCATAGATGGCCAGACACATGAAAACGAGTAGCGAGATGACGAGTTGCACAGCCCATTGGGGGATCGAGGTCCGGGGCTGAAAATCAGGGTTTAAAGAGGCTAGGAAGCGCCCAAATCGACCCCTGCCATGGACTGGGTCTCTACATTTACGTGGCACCCCGAAAAACCTTTGAAATATGCCTTGCGCTTACTTAGACTTAGGCTTAGGTTTACTAGTCACGATCGCTAAATCCTGCCCCACCTACCGTAGCCAACGCAGTCCCAAAAAGCCGCTTCGCGGTGTTGAGCGCTATCACCGTCTCAGCGAGGAGCTGATTGGTACCTCGCAAGGCTGTTGGGCGACTTCTGGTCGACAGACGGCTGTAGTCGTTTCTAAAACTCTTTCTTGCTCTCTTTCACTTCTCCCCCCCTCTCTCTCTCTCTCTCTCTCTCTCGCTCTCTCGCTCGCCTTCACAACTCACTGAAAAATCGGGACCAAGTGCGGTCGATGCGTCCTCTCGCCCACCCAGCGCTCAACGTAGACGAGAAGGAGATCGGGGCGGCAACTGTGGGCCCAGGAGTCCTAAAAAAATAGGGTACGATTACGATATGCTACAATTTACGGCTAGGAACTGTGCAAAAAGGAAGGCAGCTGAAGCTCTAGACGGTGGTGGAGCTGCAGCCAGATTTCCACAGGATTGGACTCTGAAAAGAGAGAATTGAGAGGGACAGAGGACAGAGAAAGAGAGGAGAAAGAGAAAGAGAGAAAGAGAGAGAGAGAGAGAGAGAGAGAGAGAGAGAGAGAGAGTGGAAGAAAGCGAGCGCGAGAGAAAGCTAGATGGTGAGAGAGGGAGCGAGAGAAAGAGAGCGAGAGAAAGAGAGAGAGGGAGAGAGAGAGGGAGAGAGAGAGAGAGAGAGAGAGAGAGAGAGAGAGAGAGAGAGAGAGGGATAGACGGAGAGAATGTTTTTTTACTCACCCAGCCCAATCAGCCAGCGAAACCACCATCAGGGCTACAGTCGGCCTAGGGTCATCAGAACAGCTGAAAATCCAAGTTTTTTCGTTTTTTTTGTCTCCTTTTTATGAATTATCGGCCCTAATTCCCACCTGCCGCAAATGCACCCGCTCAGATTCAGCCTCCCAATCTGCTCATCAATGAGTTCGGTCTCCGTCCGCGACAACAGACTTCCGGGATCGCAGACGGCGAGTGACTAAACCAAACTAACGTTTTTAAAGAGACTCGGAAGCTCGAGAATCGACTCCTCCTATCGACTCGGTCTAGACCGCTACGAGACACGCCAAAATACACATAAAATCGCTTTAGATTTAAATTGTTGCTTCATTTCTCGTCCTCAAAGGTTACCAGTGAAAATGGAGTGTCGCGTAGCTGTCTAGACCTAGTCGACGAAAGGGGTTGATTTTGACGTGTTCGAGTCCCTTCAGAAAGATAACAGCTAGGGTTAATTAAGAAAGTGCTGACTCCAAAGCCTGTCATAGCATCGTGTAGTTGTCTAGACCTAGTAGATGAAAGGGGTCGATGGAATGGAATTCATCGCTTGTTTGAGTTCTTTAAAGAGACAGAGACAGCTAGGAAGTCTCAAGTGCGTTGAAAAAGACTCGAAAGCCTAGTGTAGCATCGCGTAGCCCTATTCCGTAAGAATCTCTGCTAGCCTGCGCTTGGCTTGTTATCAGTGGCCAACTTACAACATATTTTTTGTCTCAACTCACCTGGTGGTACTGTACTTGGCAGAATTCCTGGAATCCGGGCGAGTCGGGCCGAGGGATGTTGCACGGGGAGAGCGAGGTGGTCATTATACTAAGGGTACGCCTGTTCCCATTTTTAGACTTCATGGGGTTACTGTAACTGTCGCCATCCCTTTAAAACCCACTTCCGCTTCTGCTGGTCGGTAGAAGGGTGTGAATTTGGCCGAGGTTTTTCTGGCTCGATCAGGGAAAATCCAGCATTGTCCGTGTTTGGAGGCGGGATCCTTGGCCATGCTGGTATCGATGGTATCGTGATTTCGAATGAGGTGTAATCGCTGAAATTACTTGCTTCTAGCTCTCTCTCCCTCTCTCTCTCTCTCTCTCTCTCTCTCTCTCTCTCTCTCTCTCTCTCTCTCTTTCTCTCTCGGTCTATCTCAACTACCTAATCGGTTCCACATCCTCCATTTCTTCCGCCGTAGCCTCGCGTAGCTGAGGGCCGATCGCAGCAGTGGCGCTGAAATGCAACAATGCAGCTCGAGTGGGAGAGACAGCGAGAGAGTGACAGAAAAAGCGCGAATGAGAAAGCGAAATAGAGACAGAAAGAGAGAGAGAGAGAGAGAGAGAGACAGAGAGAGAGAGAGAGAGAGAGGGAGTGAGAGATAGATCGAACTTACCATTCCCTCAGCAACCCGCAAAATACCAAAAATCCGATGCATTTTATCTGTTGGCACGCCGCATGGCCCATTTGCGCATCGGGCCAGGCAGAGGCGTTCGGATTTTGGCGATCTATGTCGGCATTGTGGCGCGATTATGGGCTAAAAACGATCTTGAAGGAGGCAGGGTACTAAAAATGAAGAAAAATAATCTCAGGATTTAGAAAAATTAGAAAAACAGAAATTTTCCATAAAAACAACATGTAACAATATTCCATAGTGTATTTTTGTGTACGTAGAATATCCAAGGCGACGAATAAAAATAAAGAAAAAAGATGGCGTTTAGCTCGTTTTCGCTCCCTCTCTCTCTCGCTCTCTCTTTCTCTCTCTCTCGCGCTTTATAGCTCACACTCTCTCTCGCTCTCTCTCGCTCTCTCTTGCCTAGATCGGAGGATTTGCTACCTGAGCGTCGAAAGTCGAAATTGACAATGCCAAATTGCCGAAAAGATCCAAATCAAAAAAAAACCTGAATTTTTTAATACATTTTCGCACAGTAATTCGGCACTTTTGAGGGATTTTTCTTCATAGAAAGTTCGAAAAATTGCAATTTCGCGATGTTTCGGCATCATGAAACGTCCAGCTTACGAAGCTTCGATATTTTGAAAATAGACCAAAAACCGAGGCACCAAAATACCAACCGCCTCGTCATTTCCATATGGTGAAGCCGTGGGGAATTTCCCATGGCTAATTGCCCCCCCTCCAGCCCCTAGAATGGGCGTAACCTCGCGGAAAATCGGCATATTTTGACGATGCGGAACAAAGAGGAGCCGGGGCGCCGACCACTTTTACGATTAGCTGAACAAAGATCTGGGTGGTAATGGGCTGGATTCCACAGCGGATCTCTGCTAGCTTGCCTCTTTAGCCTTAAAGGCGGCAGAGAGCCGGGAATTCTCACAGAATCTTTTCTAGCTGGCCTGTTGCCCTTAAAGGGAGCGTGACACCAGCAAAATCCGTAAATTAGAGGCACTGTCAATGCACTAAAATTTCTTAAAGGATCTTGGCTAGCCTGCCTGTGACGATTTGAAAAGTTTCGCGCTGGCTTTGATGAAGACCAGCTGACTTTTGTTGCGAAAGGTCGGTCAAAAAGTTTAGCGGCAGGTGATTCTCATTTTTGGGGCTAAAAAAGAATGTAGCCGACGTGAAATTGAGAGAGAGAGACAGGGAGAGAGAGGGCGAGAGAGAGAGAGTGAGTGACTGAGTATGAGAATGGCATAGAGATAGAAAGACAGAAATGAATAGAGAGAGAGAGCGAGAGAGAAACAGAGAAAGAGAGAGAGAGAGAGAGAGAGAGAAAGAGAGAGAACCGAAAGTTATTCTCGACAAACATAACCTTAGAAAGCCGCGTTCGTCCGTCCTAAATCCTCTCGGGACGCCCAAAAATACCCCAGCAAAAAATGACGAAAGGGCAGATTGCCAAGAGGAAGATTGGTGCCCCTCACATAATGTTTTATGGGCGGATGGTGGCGCCCGGATTTCCGGATAGATACGCCATTTTTCGTGGTTTTTGGGCCCTGAAAATGTGTTTACAAATTATTTGAATTAATTTTGATACGGAAGGCCATTTTAAAGGGACTGGGAAGCGTTAGAATCAACCCCTGAACTTGACTAGGTCTAGACGGGTCCGCTGATTCAAGCGCAGTGCTTTTTACAGGGACCCGCAAGCTTTATCTTTACGTTTTTTGCCTTAGATGCCCAATAGCTGATTCCACGCCCGCGAGACGCGACGTAGGCGCCGCTTGATCGCTCGCGAGAGATAGTACGCTCTTTTTTAATGTTAAAACCTAAAGTTAAGTTAAAAAGGTAAGCAGGAAAAGCCAGTTAAGAGATTGAAAAGTGTGGAAAAAGACTTATAGACTGTGGCCGGAACGTCCGGTTTCCCCGGGGGACCCCTGGCTGTTCCCCCCAAATTGGATGTTCGGCCCCCCGACTTTTGCAACTGCATTTCAAAGCTCGGAGAGCACGAGGCATCCATCTTCCGACAGAAGGCGAGCGTTTTTTAAGGGGATTAGTAAGCGCGCGAATCGGCCCCTTCGATCGACTGGGTCTCGACAGATACGCGACACGCCTAGACGTTTTTAAACATGGACTCGATTTTAGCGGAAACGCCTGATCTCTAGACGCGAGGAAAATGAGGTTGGCAATTTTCTAGGGATTCCACATAACAGTCGAGACCTAGTGAATCAGAGTGGTTGATTTTGAGCTTCAGAGCCCCTTTAATCGAAAGCAGGGGGAGTGTGTGAGAGGGAGCGAGCGAAAGCAAGATAAAGAGAGAAAGAGACGGAGAGAGAGAGGGAGAGAGAGAGAGAATCAGAAAACGAATGAGGCAGAACGGAGCATGAGAGAGATAGAGTGAGGGAGACAGACAGACAAATAGAGAGACGCCAAACAGCATATCAGAGAGGTATAAAAAAAATAGTGAATCGCTCAGGAACATCAAAACAAGCTTCCGGCTCCCAAATGACGACAAAAAAAAAATCGAGATTTGGCATTTTTGCGGCTTCCACAGAACCAGGAGGGCGGAAGAAATAATTTCAGAATGCCGGGATTCCGGCGGGCTTCTTCTTCTTCTCCAGCTCCCCCCCTCCAATTTTTCACCACAAAAAAGTCGGGCTTTTTGCGCCCGGCGCGCCGGCGCAAAAGAAGAAAAATGACAAATAATGCCCGGAATGGCTGGGGGAAGGGGGGAAAAGCCGGATGGCCCGGCCATGAAGCCGAGGAGGAAGATGGATCTCAGAATTTTGCGCGGCCGAGAAAAATCGGGTTTCTCTCTCTCTTTCCCTTTCACCTCTCTCACTCTTGCTCTGTCTCTCTCTCTCTCTCTCTCGCCAGAAAAATGCCGAAATTTATGCCGCCGAGCTGGTCAAAAGCTTTTGCCCCGAGGTTTTGTGTGGATTTGAGTTATCGCGCTTGGAAATCGGTGCCCTCCCATTCGTCGTCTGGAGCATGGCGGAATGCCCCGGAAGTGATGAGGCTTCGGCTTAAGCTTAGGCTTAAGCTTAGGTTAGGCTTAGGCTTAGGCTTAGGCCTGGACTTAGATTAGGCTTAGGCTTAGGCTTGGCTTTGACTTCGGCTTCGGCTTAGGCTTAGGCTTAGACTTAGGCTTAGGTTCAGGCTTAGGATTAGACTTAGACTTAGGCTTAGTTTTCATCCAGAACTTCATGCAGGGCAGGCTAACAGAGATTCTTCAGGAACCCACGAATGCAATTAAAATTCAACTACGAAAATGCGTGCCCATTCCTGACACCTGGATTCAGCGAGAGAGAGAGAGAGAGAGAGCGAGAGAGAGAGAGAGAGGGAGAGAGAGAGAGAAAGAGTGGGAGAGAGAGAGTGAGAGAAAGTAACTTTAGTTTCCAAGAGCTTCTTAAAACTGCAAAGGTATGCAAATCTAGAGCTATTTTGTAAAAAAATCGCGTCTGAGGAGCTGAAGCTCTTCAGACTCCCTTGCCCGCAAAACCATTAGGGAAATGGCGTACAAGTTTGTTCTCCCGGGGGCTTTTTTATGGCCTATGCTGTGGGGCTTTGTGGAGGCGCAGCAGAAGCAGAAGAAGCTAATCAGTGTTATTCAAGAATGGGCCGGCTTTTTGAGGCTTCCTTCTGGATTTCTCGATCGATCTCGATCCAGAGAGAGAGAGAGAGAGAGAGAGAGAGAGAGAGTGCGAGAGAGAAGCCGTTCCTTCCGTCTGTTTTGTTTTCCGGCCACACAAAAAGAGAGGGCTTTTGTTCCGCGCACGAAATGGAGTTATGCCCTTCGACCCCCGGGCCGGGTGCCTGAGCCGGCGTCTTTTGGATGCGTTCGGAATTTTTGGACAGGGATTTAAAAATTCAAAAATGACGTGGGCGGCGAAGAATCTCTGCTAGCTGCCCCAGGTCAAATTCCGCAAAGATTTTCTGCTAGTTTGCCTGGGCTAACAATTCTCGAAGAAGAAGATTGAAGTGAGAGAGAGCGAGAGAGCGAGAGAGAGAGAGAGAGAGAGAGAGCTAGAACCCGGAAAACTCAAAGAACACCAACCCGCTCCGAAAAAATGCAGAGAAGGCCCCCGGGGCATCATTCCCCGGGCCTTAACAGATGCAGCTTGATGGCCGGCCATGCTGGAGGAGGACGCTTGAACGCACAATGAACACGGGGATTGGAGGGTGAGATTGGCTTTTTCTTGGAATGGATGCGGAGCGCGGAAAAACACGAAATTCTGAATTTAAAGGGACTAGCAAATGCAAAAATCGACCCGTTCCATCGGCTCGGTCTCGACAGCTACGCGACGCTCCAAAATACGCATCTTCTAGCCTGCCGTGAAATAATTCGGTTTCTTGAACATTGTTATTTTTGAAGTCACTGGACATCGAAAAACGAGTTCTTTTGCTCATTAAAACTTTTGGAGACATTCCCCAAGAATCTCTGCTAGTCCCCCTCCAAACTATCTTTCTCCAAATATTCTCTGCTAGCTTGCCTTAAATAATGCGGTTTGTTAAATTTTTATCAATTTGAAGGGAACTAACCACTCAAAAACAGCGAGTTTTGCTAATTAAAATTTGCGCTCATTCCTTAAGGAGCTTTGCTAGTTTCCCTCCAAGCGATCGTTTCCCCAATAATCTCTGCTAGCCTGCCTCAACAGATTCGATTTCGCTGGTTTTTTCCACGTTTGGCGTTCGTAGTTTTGCCTTTCCGGGGGGGCTGGAATTGTTTGCTATGTTTTGCCGGGGGAATTGTGGAAAAGGAGGACGAGAGAAAGAAAGAAAGCAATAGAGAGAGCGAGAGAGCGAGCGAGAGAGAGAGAGAACAAAAAAGCTGTCATGCGAAAATAGTACGCCGGGATCCGATGCGCAGACGGCGCTGCCATTTCCAACCCTTCTCCCTCCCCCATATGACCCGTTTTCGGTCTCCGGCCTCGCGGAATTCATTGTTATTCACAAATTTTTGTATATAAGCGCCAAATACAGTAATAACGACACTAAATTTGCATAATTTTCGCCAAAATACACGAATGCTAATGCTTTAATTTTTGACGCTTTCTCTGCAAAATCTTATATTTTCTTTTTAATTTGTCCTAAAATGTTTTAATGTGTAGTTAATTATTTGACTCTGGCAATCTTTTTTTGAATTATGCACATTTAGGGCAGCAAGTTTTAGCCGAGCCATATTTTTGACTGGTTTTACACCGAAACTGTGTTTTAAAAAACCTAAAAATTCGCGCTCCCTCTCTCTCTCTTTCTCTCTCTCACTCTCTCGCTCTCTCTCTCTAACTCTCTCTCGTTTTCTCTCTCTGTCTCTGTCTCTGGCTCTCGCTTTCCTAAATTTTAATATTTCCGAGTCAGTGCTGGATTTCATACCAAAGCGCCCGGATCCGATTTCATGGCTTTTGACGCATTCTTCTCTCTCGCTCTCTAGCTCTCTCCCTCTCTCTCGCTCTCTCATGGCCTTATCATGACTTTGACAAACGGTTGGACTCCACGTCACCCTGTAACCCGTTAAAATGCGCTCTTTAGTTTCTCGTCCTTGCCGAAATACATCAGATAACTGGGTGTAAGACCGATAATTCGTCGCATCGGTCCCTTGTCGGGATTCCTAAAAAATCCCTGCAAGTCTGCCATCGTCTCTGGCTCCTTCTGAAAATCTGCAAGCCTTACTAGACTTCCTAAAAATTCTCTGCCCAACCTTTTGAATTCCCCAAGGATTTCTGCTATCCTACCTTGCCCAGTTCCTAAAAATTCTCGTTCAAGTTTATTGGTTCTTCCGGTTCTTCAAGTCTTCCGGTTTTCTCGTTTTCCCCAGAACCTCTGCTAGCCTGCCCTCTTAAGGCAGGAAATCCCATAGGAACTGTGCTCGTTTGCCAAATCATTTTCCCTCCTGAGGAGTCTCTGCTAGCCTGCCGCTAGATGTTTTTCAGGAGCTAACAAACGGTTTTTGCTTTTTCGTGATTTTTTCCCATTAAAGGAACTCGGAAGGCAGGAGCCCACCCATTTGTTTTAGACGTTTGTGGAAAGGCAAGATTCTGATGTTCGCCCCTGGCTGTAGCCGTTTGGGAGGGCGCAGTTGTTCTGTATTCGCGCCTCCTAACATTCGAAGCGATATTGGTAGGGCCTGATCCTTGCCTTCCTGGTTCCTTTAAAGGGAGAAAGGGAGCGAGAGAGTGAGAGATCAATAGAGAGAGAGGAAGAGAGGAGAGAGAAGGAGCAAGAGAGAGACACAGAGAGAAAGAGAGAGATAGAGAGAGAGAGAGAGAGAGAGCGAGAAAACTAAGAGACAGCCACAGAACCTCTCCCTTAAAACTGCTGGATTTGCCGCCGCTACCGTAACCCTATTTTTTTCAGGTATGCAGCGTCCCCTGCTTCTTAATGGCAACCCCGGCCAGAGCACGGTGGCCGCCTATAAAATGGAGATCATTCTAGATGGCAGTATCTACAAACCTGGGGATACGGTATCCGGGACGGTAGGCATACTGGAATGCTCAAAAAAGTGATTTTTTAGATTTACCTCGACTTGATGAAACACATGGCTTGTGACATTATAACGGTCAAGATGTTTGGGCAAATTCGTGTGTATTGGGTGGAGGAATCGGTGAGTTTAGAGAGAGAGAGAGAAAGAGAGAGAGAGAGAGAGAGAGTGAGAGATCGAGACGTAACTTTTTCAGACCACAACGTACGCGCTACGCCAGACCACTCCCTACGAACAAAAGCGAACCCTCGTCGATCGCAGCGTCGAGCTTTGGAAGTCAAGCGACTCAGCGATGGTGCACCGTCCTACTGTAAGTTGTAGTGTAACTGTACCTTTTACCTTTAGAAAATGAAATAATCGACATTTTCAGCTAGATGAGATCCGGGATTTTGCTTCGAGCAACAAGATCCGAGCCCCACTAAAGCGGAGCGACGAGGAAAAGGCTGGGTTTTCGGCGGGTGTGTCTTTCTCCCGCTTTCTCTCTCTCTCTCTCACTCCCTCTCCCTCTCCGTCTCTCTGTCAACTGGAAACCTCAAATGATCTCTGCTAGTCTGTCCCTTCCATTCCCAAATGATCTCTCTTAGCTCCAAATTTATGGAAAGTTAGCGGTGATTCTTTGTCAAGATAGAGCCATTA